CACACGTGCGTTGCGTTTCCGGGCTAAGGAGGGTAAGGAGGGTAAGGAGGGTAAGGCTATTCCGGGCTAAGGAGGGTAAGGCTATTCATCTCTGTCGGAAGGGAATATCGCTTACGTCTGTCTGTGTCTCTCTGTACGTTTATTACATCAGGTGTGGAAAGGGAAGATGCCAGTCCTAAGGTGCGGCTTACACGCACTGTCGCCAGTAGGATGCCCCCAGTAGGAGTTGGAATTTCATGTAAGTGGGGGGTTCGGAGTTGCGCATGGCTTGTAAAACGACCCCGTAGGTCGGTACAACTTCCTACCTGTAAGTACGCAGCAGCTTCATTTGCTCCTGGCGTTCCTCAGCGAGCTGCTTCTGTTTGGGGGTTGTGCAAGGAAAGGGTGCCGGAAAGGGCAGCAAGAAGTAGCTCGTACAGGAAGGCACGTTGCATCTGAGTGTGTCGTGTTGTATCTGAATGACCCAGGAAGGCGAAAGGTTGTAGCGCTAAAGGTGGCGCAAATGGAGGCGCCTGAAGAGAGTCCCGCTGTTCCGGGGCCACGATAGGACGAGCAGCGAGTAAGATGAGGTCAGGAGGACCAATGGATAGCATGAGGCTGTGTACCTAACGCGCCCCGATGTTGGAGCCGGTCTACTGGGTGGCATGGCGTGTGTAGCATGGGAAGGTATGGATAGTCTAGGGAGCGCCGTTCCAACTGCTGAACCGTCGGACCATGAGCACACTGCACAATCTGCCATTTTGCTATTGGTTGCGGGGCGGCGACGGGCCGAGGAGATACACGACAAAAGTACATCCAAGCCACGATCGCATTTGCCTAAGGATTGATGGCGGATGGATCCACCTGACGCTCGAGGTGCAGCCTCCAAGAAAGGAGGTCATCATCGTCGTCACCGATTCCGCAACCTGGGGCGTGGTCAGCGAAGTCGTTGACCTCCTTGAAGACGCCCTGGAACTGGTGAGATGAGGTGTCGAAGCTCTGCAGTCCGTTACAGTGGCTCATAGTGGCAGGGTTGGCTGAGCCAAGGGATTGGCTTGCCAAGGGGGTCGATGCGGGGAATTGCCGTCTACCCAATTCATGCGGAAAGGAGGGATGTCGACTTTGTATCTGATGCAAGTGCGTAGATGCAGCTGATTGGTGCCGAGTGCTTTGCAGGAACTCACAACACCACGGCATCTAGGACGGGCTCCGTGCCGTACACGGGCGTCCGTTTGTGGCAACGAACCGTACTGCAATAATCCAATTGCGGATGCTTGCAGCATGGGGATATTGTTTTACTCGCATTTTTAACACCGGCACGGTGGCGCTGATCCACGTGTTGGTATTGTTTGTGCTGGCCGGATTTAGCGGAATAATGCTTGCGCGAGGCCTGTCGCATTCAGCCAGGTTCTCGCATTCATCTAAGAAGCGTTTTAATTTTACAACTCGTGTGCGTGCATCCCATTCCACGATGGCGCTAAACTATCCAAGGCCCATTGAGATTAATCCATCAGGGCCACATACTAGCACTTTCATCATGCTACATGGGCTTGGCGATACTGGTGATGGATGGAGCGATATAGGGTGTGTTTCCTTACGTGTTGGCAAACGGTCAAATATATGGTGTCGAGGATTACAACAGGGCGTTTCCCTTACAGATACATGTACAAGGCATCTCTTCCAGGAACCAAGTTCATCTTTCCACATGCGCCACGGCGCCCGATTACTCTCAACTTTGGCATGAGCATGCCCGGCTGGTACGTACCTTAGCAAGTCAGCTGCTGCCACTCGCTGTACGCGCGTGGTCTCCGTCTCCTGATAAGCATGCCTGTCCCGCAGGTACGATATCGCATCCCTGGAGGACATCCAGGGCGGCGAAGACGGGGCCGGGCTCAGGGAAAGCCAACGGTGAGCCGGAGGGCAAACACGCCCGGCATTTCACCATACGTAGTAGAATCAGATTTTTCAGCCGGGAACCTTTTCAACCCTTCAGACATCCTGTCCTGCCCTGCCCTTCTTCTGTTGGCACCTTGCACCCTTCTGCTTCTCCCCCTGGGGACATCAGATACGTGGAGGAGCTGATCCAAAGGGAAATCGCGGCGGGGATACCCTCCACCAAGATAGTGATCGGCGGCTTTTCTCAGGGCGGCGCGGTGGCGCTCATGATGTTGCGGTCCAGCATTCAGCTGGGCGGGGTTGTCGGTGCGTGCGGCGTGGCAGCGTCCTGGGGGCAGTTTCAGGAAGTGACACATTGGGCGGTAAAACGGTAGAGCCGGGATGGGACGAGATGGGTTGGTCGATTGGAAAAGGAGTAGAGTGGAGTAGGGTGCGCGGTGCTGGGGAAAGGGGTATGAGGAAGAGGTCGCTCAGCGGAGGGAGGGCGCAGGGATTGGGCCTGATTTAGTGTGGTCAACGCTCTGATGGGTCAGCATGCGAGGGGAGTTTCGATCGGGAATATCTCCAACGGAACGAGCCCTTGCTCGTCCGCCCGGCATTGCTACCAGGGAACCCAGCTACCACATGATAGTCATGGGCTCGAGTTATGCAATGTATCGGGCCCGGCTTGAATGTGCATCTGTGCCAAGGGGCTTGGCGCGGTTCCGAAACTTGCTGGTCGTCGCCGGTTGCGATGCGTGCGTGGGCGCCTGGGTTTTCGTACTGCTTTCGCCGTCTTGCCTCGCAACTCGGTTCTCCTTGCTCGGTCGCCGCAGCGCTGAGCGCCTACGTGCCACTGCACAAGGAGCAGCCCCTGGTTTCGGAGGCCAACTCCAAGACACCCATCTTCATGTGCCACGGAGATGCGGACCAGACAGTAGGTGGACAAGACCTTGGAAGCACCCGGTAGCCGGGAGGGAGGGAGGGAGAGAGTGAGGGAGCTACACAGTTGAGAGTTGAGAAGGGACGAGAGATGGAGCCCCGCGACATGGCTGGGGTGTCGAGCTTGGAACGCAGCGTGGCAGCGGGGAAAGCTGGGCACGCAATGTTAACATGTGCAAGGGTTCGGGGCCGGCTGCCTGATGGGGGGAATACCTGCTGCTGGGTGTGTGCTGGAGCCCTTGGGTCTCGCGCAGACGGAAGGAAGGATGAATGGCGGCCGGACTGGCAAAGCGCAGAGATCAACCCTTCCATACATCATCTTAGCGCTTTCTTGCACGGCAGTGTGATAATGAGAGGGATTCGCTTCCTGTGTTTGCGTCGAGAGTCTGGAACAATGTGTAGTCGTTCCCTACCATGGCAAGGCGGCTATCTAGGCTGGTGTTGTGTAATTGTTTCGCCGCTGGCGCCTCACCCGCCCATAAGTAATCATCTGGCGCCTCTCATTCGCTCATCCGCTACCCCACGGGTGACCATGTACAGGTCGCCTTCGAGTTCGGGCGTCGGAGCTACCAGATGTTGCTCAGCCTGGATGCCAACGTGGAGTTCCAGACTTACCTGGGAATGGCGCACTCGGTGGGTGGGGGGCGATGTCGGTGCGTATGCATGTCTTGGGATGAAGGGGGCGTGTGTCTGCCAACTTCACGTGTCCCGACCCTGCTCCCATAGGGGTGTGCTTTGCCTGCCCCTCTGTACTAAAGACCCTAAAACCCTAACAAAACCCTCAAACCCTGAGGCAGACACATCGCCGACGTCCGAACACTGATATGAGTGTGAGTCGGGTGGCTGCCGCTTCCTCGACTTTACTGAGGACCCATCACTAAATTGCCCTTTTTCTTGCTTCAATCCCACTTGTAGGCGTGCCAGCGAGAATTTGATGATGTGCTGGCGTTCGTCAAGCCAATTTTGGTTTAAGCGGCAGTTGACGGTGGTACGGTGGTTCTCATTCCGCAGCTGGTGTGATGCCACGTGTGGCAATGGGAATGGTGGTGAAATAGTGGTGGGCGATACAGTTATTTGCTGGTCAGCTCAGTCGTGGTGTTGGCGCCAGCGGCGTCCAGGTCTGAGCCGTCACCATAGAAAGGATCTATTGGTTCATGTAGTGCAGCTATCCCATAATGAACGAAACAGTTTGCGAGTAAGCGTACGAAGGGACCATTTTAGTATATGTACGTGTACGCGTGTACTCTGGAAACTAGGAGAAGTGTCAGTGTGTTATTGGAGTGTCCGCAGGGGGGATGTGGCCGTCAACGTTGGTTCTTGCGAGTGCTCCTGCCGAATGCCGGATGGCTTCGCGAGCGAACCTGTGTTACCTGTGTTGCGGCATAGCCACCTTATGATCGCCAACTTGTTACCTTTACAGGACGCCTTCATGCTACCAACGTGTTTGATTCTGGCCAGCATGAAATTAGCCTTAATCTGGCACCGCAGCAATAGTGGCAGCCATCACCGGACTATACAGCCTGCCTCCAAAGATCCACAGTAACTGTATGGAAATCTGCCGTTGGCAATAGACCAAGAGCTACGGTGGAGGGTATGCAGTTAAACGTTGCAATGGCTTGCGTGGCTGTAGTCGCCACGTAAGCAGAACCAAATCCTGGGACTTTCATGTACTACTTTTAAACTGATAATTACACTGCGCATGCGAATTCTTCCTGAAGCCGACAGGAGCGACATCATGTTGTCCTTGTGCAAACCAGCCGCCTGCACTCGCACGGTAAATGCGATGTCGTCTAGGTGCAATTCCCGTTCTTTTATGAAAGTGATAAGCTTAGAGGATTATTCGCAGGTCCTGGCGACGCCAGGTCGGAACAAGCTGCGAAATGTGACCCTTTATGCAAAGAAGCCCCCAAGTGGAGGGTACGTGGGATGATCTGTTATTGTCATCCTCCACTTTCGTATCCCAGGCCTTCCGTAAAGCTTTACAGCGGAACGGTTGGCGAGTGTTCCTTCAGGACGCCGATATGAGACAGGTCAATTAATAATACCTTTTCGTGCAGGTCGCTTGACGAGCGTGGGTTCATTGGCAAGGACAACAGCGGGCGGCAGAACATATTTCCCACAAGCGTAAGCAGCTTTGAACGTCCACGAACTGTCTGGGACCCGTCTGGATACTCGAATTCGATACTGGATGTTGGGAGGAAAAGTGTCTCAATGGCATACGGATTTCTATGTGCGGAGCGTGTCGCTATGCGCAGAGTAGAAGCGGGATTGCCGGATATCCCTGTTGGCTTCGAGACCTTCGCTCGCTTTGCAACTTGCTGCCCCGCCATCCGCCACCGCAGAGCAAGGCGTACTACAGCTCACCGACCGCTAGCGCTGTAGCTTCATCCGGCCTTGGCGGTGTTCAGGGTGAGAGGAGGCCCGGTTGCAGGAAGCCTTGCGTTTATCCAGACCGCAAATACTGACTGTCCAGGCCATCAATACTTAAAAACAGCTTTGCATGCAACACCCATTAGGTCACCCCAATATTATCCGCCGCCTCAGCAGCACAACAAACCAGCAGCACACTGAATTAGAACCCTGTGCATATGCTATCCCTGTCCACCAGGTGCCGGCGTGGTCGCTGCTGCACTGGGCATCGTAGTCCTGGCCACCTTTGGGGTCATTTCGAATCAATCAACAGAAACGCTGGCCCAGGTATGCAGCAGCAGACAGCTGAAATACCAACATTGTAGACACATGCCATGTACTTCCCAAGCCGCGCAGCAACCAACATCCGGGTACCATTACATGTCCGAATGCATTCGTGCTGTGTCACAGGAGAAAAGAACTAACATCCCTACGCCTGCTACATTGTATCCGTGATGAAAGAAAGACCAAACGGCCTGATGAAGCCTATACCCATCATTACTATCGCCCTGCCGTGCAACGAAACAATACAGGTCAACAACGCGTACACCGGTGACTCGCTCAGCGTCGTGGCGGAGCGCCTGTCCAAGGGGCTGTGAAGGAAGATGCTTTCCCGCTCCACGTGGGGCGAAATGAACGGACGCCGCACACCGTGGAGTGGCCCGTAACTGCCAAGGATGCCTGGCCCGTCGAACTCGTGTCTAAGCGCTCTGGCCTGGTTTATAGCCATCGACTTGTTTACGCAATATAGGCCTATCAGTGGGTGAGTTCTGGCTGCGCATGTGACAGCGCATAGCCACCTTTTAAGTAATCTTCGTACAGCGGTGAAGCCACTTGTTGGTAAGCGGCAGCAGCGTTCTCACTCGGACAGGCAGATGTCATTTCCGTTTCTTATGGCAACAGTAGACGGCAAGGCTGATTGAGTCATAAGCTTGCGTCTAGGCAATGGCATACTCAAACCCTGTAGACCAACTAGGCTGATACACGCCTGTGCGCTCGCACAGACGGCAAGACCCACCACAATCCCGGCGCGCCAAAGCACGGCGTTGATCATCACTGCCGCATGCATGTGTAATAATACTTTCTCATAGCCTAATCTCCATGCATCCCGCAAGCCGCGGCCGCCGCGCAACCACCGTAATAGCCATACATTCAAGACACAGGGCAACGCAGCGATGCAAAGACGTTCCCCCAACATACAGACCCATGATCCGCAAACAACTTAGACGCAACTCCCAGCGCCCAGCACATGCCGCCTCACTGCCACGCCATCTCGACCATGGCGGAACAAGTCGCCACGCTGCAATCCAGCGCGCCTTCCCTCTATCTTCCACCCGCAGCCGCAGGACAGCACGCACGCATCCCGCAGGTAGTTAACTTCATGCCTCGTCGAGCGGCTCAATCTCGCTAACCGCTGCAGCGACCTCTGCCAATGCGCTCATACTCTTAACCGCAGCCATGCCCCCAGCCATTCCGCGCTCCTCCTCGTCATCCACCTCGCCCTCCACAATTACAACATGCCCGTTGTCGTTAGCGTGTAGCTTCGACAGGCCACGCTGCGGCCCCGCGCCTGGCACCGGGCTACTGCTCATAGGCGGCATCATTACTGGGCTGATGCTGCCCCCCCTACTAACTGATCTCCCACCCCGCGTCAACGAGCTTGCCGCCCGTGTAAGCGAACCCATTTTCTCCAAACCCCTGCTCTGAAGCCCTTCGCGTGACGCACCACCAACCGGAGTGCCGTCTGCCTGGCCACAACCCTCCACTGCCGCCTCACCACGGACGGACGCCTCACCGGCATCCCCTCCGGTGGCCAGCGGCGCCGGAAACCTGGCATCGCCACCGCCGCTGCCGCCGTCATCCACGCTGAGGTTCGTGGAAGTGGCCACAATCGAGTCGCTGGGCGAAGGAGTGGTTGCCGCATTCGCGGCCGTGGCAAGGTCCACCAGGTAAGGGTGCTGCAGGCACTGCTCGCCAGTAAGGCGCTTGTCAGGGTCCATTTCCAGAAGTCCCAACATGAAGCTAAGTTCCACGTCCGAGACTTTGCCACGGTAGCGCGCCCCCAGCGTCATGGGCTGCTTAATGTTAAAGACGATACCGGTGTTGTGCGGGTTGGCATAAAACATGTACTGGTGGCTGGGAGCCATGGGTCCCAGGATCTGCTGCACACGGTACAGCTGGTCCAGGTCCGAGTCACCCGCGAACAGTGGCTCGCCGTCCAGCAGCTCGCCCATCAGGCAACCAACGGCCCACATGTCCTACGGAGCGAGGTTTGCACATCCGGGGCGTGATGGAAGAGTGAGGAGGCAACAAGGGAAGCGTGAAGGAGGCTGGAAAACACGGTCTGGTTCTGGCCGGCGGCGAGTCTTTGGGTAGGAACCAGGAACCATGCATGCACGAAAGGGACCAGACACAAGCATGGTGGGTCTACACGAAACGTAAGCAGCGGTTCGAAGAGGCATTTGGCATCCAAACGACGGCTTGGCAGGGATGCGTGGCGGCCAAGTTCCAAACAACCTCGCAGGACTCTATTCAACAGTGCGACGGCGATGACTCACCACCGGCGGCCCGTACATGTACTGGACGTGCTTTCCTAGCGCATCCCGGTAGGGTGGCCCAAGCAGTAGCTCCGGCGCGCGGTACCAGCGGGTGGCGACGTAGTCAGTGAGGTGTGAGCTGGGGCCAGAGGGCAGGTACCTGGCGAAGCCAAAGTCACACAACTTGACGGTGCCGTGTTCGTCCACCAGCAGATTCTCGGGCTTGATGTCCCGGTACACCATACCCTGTACAAACAACAAAGGCAACATGCATGGATTGCGTGTAGGTTGCCGACGCCCTCCCATCCGAGTTGCCGACGACTTCACGTTCTCGTCCCTGGCTCATTATATTTCCAAACGCGTCAAGCCCTGGCTTGTCATCCCCACACCGCCCTTGTGTCGTACCTTACGATGAATGAAGGCAATCGCCGAGCACAGCTGGAACATGATGAGCCGCACCGCGTCCCGGTCCATGCCGCCCGGCTGCGCCTCGAGGAGTTCCAACAGGTTGCAGGGCAGGAACTCCATCACAATAAACAGCCGGTCGCCTACCATGAACCTGCAAATTGGGGATAGAAATTAGGCAATTTTGTACATCGTACTTGTCCCTCAAGTGAGGGAAACGATGGGGATTGCAGCGCCTACAGCATTTCGCACGGGCCTCTTTGAACTTCGCATTGAGGGCTTAATCACTGGGGAACTAATCCTAAGTCGCATGCCGCGCGCATAGCCCACTTACTTGTCTACAAAACCCACGACGTGCGGGTGTTGCAACGCCTCCAGCACAGCCACTTCGCGCAAGCTGGTGCGCTTGACATCCTCCGCGTCAGGGTCGTTATCGTCGATCTTAAATTCCTTGATGGCCACCCATTGCACAGGCTCCGTGCCGCGAACCTTGCACTTCATCACCATACCGTACGCGCCTTCGCCAACCACGTGCTGTACCTCGTACTTGCTCGCCAGCACCCGCACGCCGCCCGGTTCTGTACGGTCCATCGGGTCACCGGCGATGCCACCACCGCTGCCGCCCGTGCCCAACGCTTGCGGTTCGCTGACACCGTCAGCGGAGATGGACACCATCTCACCATCTGCGGGCGCGGCGGCAGCTGCAACGGCCGCCGCCGCCGCCGCTGCCTCGTCATCACCCTGCAATAGGCCGTCCAGGTTATCTATGAGCTCCAGTGCCGAGGCTTCATCATCACTGAAGCGCATCTCGGCGCCGGCGCCCTGGAACATGGCCGATGTGCGCGCAGAGCTGGCGGCCAGGCGGGCCATGCTGGCCTCAGCCGCTGTCTGGTCGACAGCTGCGGTCGTGTCGACGACGCCGTCCAGCCCGTAGCTCCCGTCCTCCAGCAGCCGGATGGCACTCTTAGCAGCCGCAGCAGCCACCGCAGCCGGGTCGGACATGTCCAGCATCGCTGGCTCCTCAGCGACAGCATCCGACAGCGCAGCCGCCGCCTCTGCATCCGCATCCTGCTGCTCCTCGTCTAGTGCGGCCTTGAGCGCGTCGATAGTGAGCTCCTCGGGCTCTGACGCAACTGGCGGCTGGGCCGGTTCTGTGGCCCCGGCACGATTTGACACCGCCTCGCCCTGTTCCCGCAGCGTTGTGTCCTCCTCAGCTGGCCCTTCACCTGTGGCCGCGCCGCGCGACGCCTCCTGTTCCGGCTCAGATGCAGGCTCTGCAGAGGGCGACAGCTCGGCGCGCATGTGTCTGACTCGGCGTCGAGCCAGGTGCCCCCGCATGTGCGCCTGCACGCGAATGGCTGCCGCTTCTGCTACCTCAACCGAGACCCCTTCCTTCAGCTCATAGCCCTCCAGCTTACGCGTCGTGGCTGCCGTAACTGCTGTTGCCAGGGCAGCCTGTCCTGCCTCACGCCCGCGGCGCAGCTCCGCCACATGGCGCCGGGCAAAATACCCACGTGCGTGCGATTGTATGCGGACGATTGCTGCGCGAGCCATTTCGGGTGTAACACCCTGTGGCAGCTCGTATTCCGATTTGGTCAGCGACGTGCTGGGGCTGGGCAGGATTTCCGGCTGCAATACCTGTTCTGGCTGGGCCTTCACTGCTTCGCGCTCCTTCCGCATCACTGCCATCCGGCGCCGAGCCTGGTAACCGCGCGCATGCGTCTGGATGCACACGGCGGAGGCTCTGGCCATCTCCGGGGTCACGCCCGGAGGCAGGGAGTACACGAAGGCATCCGCGGCCGTCGTGGCCTCCGATGCCGATATGGCCATGGTTTCAGATGACTCCAGGGGCTGGCACTCGCTGGACCCGGAGGGATTTAACTCCGCCCCTGCCTGGGCACCCTCTAGATCCGCAACGTCCGCTGTCGCCTCTTGCCTCGACTCCGCAGCTGCACCCTCCGGTTCCTGTGCATCCGTAGGACCCGTGCCGCTCACGGTGGGGGACGCTTCGTCTCCATCCCCTTGTGGGACGACTGCAATTTCAGGTGCCTGGACAGCCGCCTGGGACTCTGGCTCCTTCGCTGCATCGCCTGAGCCCAACTCTGCACCGTCCTCATCCATCTTGCACACTTCTGGCATTGCTGAGGGGGCTCCGGCAACCCTGTCCAGGCTCGAGGTGCCCCCAGCATCCTGCAGCAAGTCCATGTCCTCTTTAGGCGTACTTTCGGGCACGGCTGCATCGCCGGATTCAGGCTCAGCCTCCCCGGCGCATTCAGGAGCCCCAGCCTGAACCGTCACACCCACATCGCTGCTCGGCAGCGGACCTGCCATATACTCCAAGGCCGCTGGCTCTGGACATGTCTCCGCCGTGACCTCTGTAGATGGCCCTGCCGCTGGCGGACGCGGTTGCGCCTGCTCCAAAACCTCATCGAGTTGCTGATCGGGAACTCCGGCCTCGGGTGCCCCTTGCAGACTTGCGCCAGCTGCCTCGTCTGAAGGCGCCAGGATTACTGGCGGCGGGACTGACCCGTCCTGCTGCTGTCCATATTCCTGCGGCCCAGCCGCCTGGCCATCCGCAGGCGCCACATCTTCAGCTGCGGCCCCGAGTTGTTCCACCCCTTCCGTTCCCACAGTGCCCTCCCCGGCAGTAGCCAATGCCACAGAGAGACCGCCATCTGACAGGGCTCTGAAGTCTGCCATCGTCAATGTCGTATCCTCCCGGTCGATCAACGATGACCTAGGTGTGGACCGGTCAGGACTTTCCGTCTCTTCTTCCGCCTCCGCACCAATACCCTGGTCATGTCCGGACCGCATTCCGGCCTCGCCAGGAAGCTCCGGTGGTCGCAAATGGACGTTGGGCAGCGCGTCAATTTCCTGGTTATCAGCCCTATCGCCCATATCAGCCGCCGACTGGGCAGCTGCAGCATCCTCCTGAATATCGGTGGGCAGGGGCCGTAACCGCCGCTCGTACATGGGCGAACGGCTGCTGCTGGCCATGGGGGACGGCGGCCTGCCATCTGAACTGACCTCGGGCTTGTCCGTGGCGATAGCGTGCGGACGGTGCCGCCGGTGGTGCTGGGAGGATGGAGCAACTTCGCCCAAGAGCTGCTTTGGATTCAGTTTTGCGAGTGGGCGGTTGGGGTCCTCGTACAACTGCAGGAACTTGGACTGCGGGGAAAACAACACGCCGCGCGCAACAGAAAGCCCTATTGTGTGCACAGCTTTTGAGGGCTAAAACAAGGCGAAGAGTGCGCCGAGGGCCAAGCTATCAGGAGAAACATGGCACGAGGCAGCCCGAACACGATCCAGCAACACAGTCGGCCAGACTGCCCTAACGAAGACGTATGCACAACAGGCGCTGTATGTCGGAGATAGAAGTCAATATGGTTACTATGGCAAACGTCGCCTTGTGAAAAGTGCCGTGTACCGTGTTTAGGATGGATTTAGGATGGATTGCCGCCAGATACTGTCACCCACTGCGCTAACGATGCAGCCTTGATGCAAAAAGACAATTGCAAATTCTCGCGAAGCATCAACTAACCTTAACAGGTGGGTCCAACCGGGGAGCTGCCGCCTGTATCAACTCGTTCCGAATTCCATAAATCACCCCGTCCAACTCCTGCGCGTGGCGCAGCCGCGCCACCTCCGCCGCCACCTCCGGCGGTGTGTGAGGCAGGCGATGCGGCTGGCCGCCATAAGCAGTACGCGGGTAAAGCCGCGTGGCCTCGCCGGGACCCACACCGCCTGCCGCCTGTTGCGCAGGGGACCCCTGGTCGGTCGCAGGCCGTTGCGGAGTCCCCCGCGGACCCGCGGCAACGGCTGATGCCGTTGCCACAGGCTGAGTATACGGTGACCCAGGCCCTGGCCCCAGCGACGGAGATCTGAGTACTGGATGATACTGCACCGTCAAGGGCTTGGCCAAGGAAGATGTATTTGTGGAGACGTACGGTAGCGCCCGTCGGGCATGACTGGCTGTGCCCGGTGTTGACGTGCCTGGGGTCCAGGATTGGAAGGTGGGGAGAGCGTAATTGCTGCCCCTGAAGCTTCCTTGCTGGTGAGCTGCACTGTGACTGTTGCCGTTTGCAATCTCGGGAAGGTGAAGCTGGTCCTGTCGACAGCAGGCGCAACGGTCATGCGGATCAGTCAGATTACGGTACGCATCACACAGCCATTCCCCAGACCAATTAAATGAACCGCTTGGCACCCAAGCAGTCGCCTGGTATCGTTGGCGGCGTTTACGTATTGCGGACGCGCTTTCTGGCAATGATTTTTGAACACTACTGGAATGCAGGGACGGGGTTCAAGTAATGTGCAAAAGTTTCAATTAACCGTCCATGAGAAGTCAGTTGCGGCTCGAGAATTCCACATTACTCGGCCGGCTGCCTTCCCAAGCAACCGACGCCCTGGCCGTGGTAAGCGACGTCACATGACCCAAAGGGCGCCCAGTGACTACCCCTCTGGACCATCGCGAGGCACACCTGGTTACCAGCCGGTGTGCTCATAGTTTGCTGCAGAGCGGGCGTGCCAGCGTAATGCGGGCTCACGCGACCCACAAGTTGGCTTGTGTACTTCTTTGGACTACTGCCAAAGCCTGTTGTGCTGTACGTTCCACTCGCCGGCCCAGCCCAAGCCAGCTTTACGCCTGGAACCATATCATACTGTATATCCAAAGGTTGCGACGCCCCGGAATGCACAGGCACCTGTAACATCCAATGTATGGTTATTGAGGGTGCAAATGAGGGGATCATAAAAAATGCTGTACAGTTGGCTAACGTATAGGATTATTCGCAAGCATTTGCAACTATACCAGTACAGATGCTCGTTATTAGGACCCGCCAGCCCCAATCCATTCAACACGCACCTGCTGCGTCTCAGCCCGCCGGCCCTGACGGCTAACCCCCTTAAAGGCATTGGCATAAGCTGGCACGCTGCTCTTGTTGCGCCGAGTGCCACCAGGTAGGGTGATGAGTGCCTCATCGAGTTCCCGCCGTGGTGAAGGGATCACCGTATTGGTGGGCATGCCGTGATTTTGATTCGGGTATTTGTGGTCACGCAACTTGGCCTGGGTTGCGGGGTACATAGGCGCAAGCGGTCAGAACACAGACTATGTATTTAAGTGGGGCGGCATGGCAAGCAGTCTCTTACGGGTTTGAGTGTCCGTGTCTCCGGCTCCAGGGCAGCGAGAATCTCCTTCAAGCTGGCATCCCAGCTAGTGGCTACACCAGCAATGCCGGACTGCAGCTGCACCTCCTGTGGTGCGGCCGGTGTGCTGTGCAGGCCAGCTGGGCGCGGCATCTTAAACGCAGGGGGAATGCCATTTGATGGGTGTTGGGGGCCACCACGGTAGTCGGTTGCCGGCCCTTCGTTACTTGTAAGCCCCGTGCCTTTCAACGCAGTCGGAAGCAAGCTTAGGGCATATTTGTCCGCTGCGGTTAGGGCCAAATCCAGAATACCCCTGCGTGCACGGAACAAAATGCGGGTAACCCAATGACACGGCAAAGTCAGACCAGTCGAAGTTGGCAAAAGCCCTTATCCTACGTTGAATGTAAAACTCTGATGCGATTGACAACTTACCCAGGCCGGTGCTTCGGTGGAGACTTGCCCGCAGCGGGCCCATCCACTGCGTCGGCCTTGTAATGGGCCGCCCTGAAGTTGGAACAGATTCTTGTAGTCAATCCAATGCTGGTGAGTAACGTGAGGGTCTAAGGTTAGCAAAAATTGGACGTTCTACTTACCGAAGCATTTCCTGCCTGGCTCCGCTCCTGGCTGAACCGAATCCGCTTTACGGCAGTATGGCCAATCCTCTTCTTTGTGACAATGCAGGCGCGAGGTCACAGCATGATGGTCGCTGCCTTAGAAGTGGAGGTAAGTAACAGGTCGCCACATCCCTGCACATAATTGTACGCTTAGGATGCCTATATTCATACGAGAAATGACATGCAGCAACGTTTAGCAGAGGACGCAAAACATAAAACTTTCGAAGTAGGAAGTACGGACTCCTGCAGCTGTCAACCATGATGTGGCTCATGCATAGGCCGAAACTTTTAGTAAGGTCCGTGATAAATTGAAACTATGAGTATTATCATATAGATATATCGTTGGCGTGTGTGTTGGCTATCCGAACGTTAGGGCCAATGGAAGACCAGGTCGCTTTTAATTTGGCAGTAAACGATATCGGTCTACTTCAGGGACTGCTGCACGATGCTTTGTCTCACAAGTCCAGTGAATCTGCATGCGTTCAGCGGGCTGTGGTAAGCTCCACTGTCCCAGCCGTGAAACATAGCCATTTGTGATAACTTTACCATGTGCATGCGGGACAGGAAGCTGTCTTAGCTGTGCTTTCTGGAAGCAGTCAGGGAGAACCCCAACCGTCCCTCGACGTGCCGCTCGATAAGGACCTGTTGCAAAGGTACCAGTACAACAAGCACTAGGCTGCCGTTACTTTGGATTACGCCCGGCCGGTGATGAATCTATTTCTTCACCTAATGCAGGCTGCCTTGCGCGGGAGGAACGACCGACGTTGCAGAGCTTGGCGCTCAGGTTGGTTTGTTTTTGTGCAACCGCTTAGAGACGCACTTAGAGCTGTGGGGCCTGTAACTGCTGCTGCACGATACCACGACGATGTAGTGCTTCTCTGGACGTGCGATTTCATATTTGCACCATGCGTGACGCTGGTTAGGTTTCGGAGGCGATTGAAAGCGTATCTGCGCTTCGGCGGCGTGCCGCACAAGTTCTTATGCCCACCTTAGCTGCGCAACTTGAAGCCCTGCGACCTATACAGCAGAGCGCGATGCTCGATCTCCTTACGCCAGGTATGGGCTGGTAATCAAGGTTTGTTTGAGCTGAATCCGTCAGGGTGTTAAACGTGCATTGTCGTCTGTGGACCAGGTCGGCCTGACAGGAACCCCCTGACAGAGGCAGGCGAATTGCAGTGCAACACCGCATCAATGGTGAACGACAGCCTGCTGAAGGCCGTAGACAAGCTCCCTGCCTTACGGTAGGTTTAACAGCCACTGCCGCCAGTCGGACTGGGACCATATCACAATTGAGTGCAGAGCGCCCTCAAGGTATCGCGTCGACATTGACGTGCAGCATCTAATGAGCATCTCGTGGTTTGTTTATTGCAGGGCGCGCATCGACGAGGTTACAAGGCGCATCTGCAATGTGACGCGAGCGATTGAGCAGCAGAAGACATTGGGTAGGACACAGTCTACGCCTCCCCGCACGTTAACCCCTTTGAAGGGCGCGTCTGATGCCGACTGGGTTGTCGGCGTCGTTGCCCGAGCCGCACGGCAGTGATGGCACGGCCTTTTTGCATCCTTTGCACTACACAGGTGCACCACGCTTCCGCAGAAAAAGCTTTGCCTCATCCGGTGTACCTGTAAACACCACGCGCCCATCCTCCATGTAGCTCGCAGCATCCGCGAACTGCAATTCTTCAAACCTGAGATCGATGCGGAGGAGCTCGGGTTACATGAGCCTAGAAGAACGCTGATTATCCTAAGCAGCGAACGTTATTTATAGGTTTTCAGGATAAACCGCAGGGTACGGTGCTCATAATAACAACGAATAGCAATGTGCACGTTGTACGTTCTTCAATCGTTCGGGTCTCCTGTCGTTCTTGGCTCGATTAGACCGGGATCGGGTTGCTGGAAGCTTACGAATGCTGGCAAGGCAAGCGTTAGCTGTACTAGTAATTTCTTCATTGCACAACGGCGCCAAGCTACGCTAAACCTAGATCACTATCTGCAGCGGTATGTCTCTCACCTGTGCGTAACCCAGATGGCTGTCACTTCCTCCTTGGCTGAGGCGATGCTGCGCACAGCCTGTAACACTCCAAATTGATCTTCGCGGTCCAAGAATGTGGTGAGCTCATCAAGGAGCAGCAGCTTGGGGTTTTCGGCAAGGGCACCTGCCATGTGCGCCGGTTTGCAGAGTGCTTCCTTAGCGGGAACCCTCTTCTTTGCGACGTGAAATAGTTCAATAAGACACAAACCTTCAACGAAGCTTCCGCAAGCCCGCACCAAGCTCACCGGCAATGGCCACACGCTGCCTCTGTCCACCAGATAAAGTGTGCGTAGCTCGATACATAAAGTCCTCCATGTTGACAAGACGGAGGGCCGATCGCACCGCAAAAGCTACCTCCGCCTCAGTCAGCTTGTAGCTGTGGGTAAGGAGCCAATGTTTTGAGGCATGCTGTGGCTCCATCCCCTTCGGATTGCTAAGTGCAACCCTTTGGAAGAAGGATTGACTGCCCACGTGCTCATGAAGCACAGTCTCCGGCGGGGCCAAGTTGCCACGTATAAGCAAGTTTGGCAACCCCACCGCACTCAAAAACCCATCTTTGCCACGCTCACCGTGCCAACCGAAGCATTCATGCACGGAAAACCCTCCCTGGAAAGCTCACCGCCCAAGGCCGAAGGCAACATCCGCAGCCACGGTAGGCATGACAACCTGATGGTCTGGGTTCTGGAATACAAAACCACTGGGCTGATCTGTCTGAACCAACCCGCTGTCTGGTACCACGAGCCCGCCGAGCACTTTCAGTAAACTGGATTTCCCGCACCCGTTGGGTCCCAGCAACATGTGCAAAGAACCACGCCTTATGTAAAGGTTGACGCCCTTTAGCACAGGACGCTTTGCCCCTGGAGGACCTAAGTGAAGGCGAAGGTCTTGTACGAGCACGGAGTACGCACTTGAAGTGCGGTGCACAGCTGTCTGCAATTCCTTGTTTTTGGAGCATTCCACAGTACCCGTGCCTCTGACTTTGCTGTGCTTGCTTGAGCACCAGGGCTCAGGCACGAGCCCCACTCGTCGCAGAAGCCGTACATCGCTAGCGCATCTACCTGTGAATGCTGAAGCTACTAAAAAGGTGAGCATTTAATGAAGAACCCTGATGCCAAAGACACTAAGCATGAGGACCGAAACCTGCGCAACGAAAGAAATTACTTTATATTCACCTGCACTGTGGCCATTGAAATAGTAATGCCAATATGGGAATGTGGATTTAGTCAAGTAAAGGGCATCATGTAAAACCTTGGTGTACAACGCCGCTCCAATCTCGGCCCGAAACCAGCGGCAAGGTGCAGTGTATGCTAACAGAGATACGCACATCACGTAAATTACTTCGGACGGCGATTACCATCAGGATTTCTTTAAAAATGTCTGGGAAGGCAAAAGAGTCGGCTGTAGACTTGGCAAAGTTTGTAGACAAAGGAGTGCGTGTAAAGTTAGCAGGAGGCAGAGAAGGTGATTAATGCTTGTTTCATAAATCTGAGGACCTGGGCGAATATTCAAATGTAGAGTTATGCACCGATTGCAGTGCAAGGGATCTTGAAGGGCTACGACCAGCTGCTGAACCTGGTGCTCGATGAAGCTGTGGAGTATTTAAGAGGTGCGGATGCGTGAGATGATGTAACTATGGCATGGTAGTCGTGATGACCTGAAGCTGTCTTTATGTGTATGACCCAGACCCGGAGGATCCCCTAACGGTAACCGACGAGACACGATTGCTTGGACTGATGGTAAGGCCAGAAAGGCATAAAAGGGTCATGTTGTCGAGCGTTTCTGAACTACTGGTTACAATGCGGACAGGTTTGCCGTGGTACGGCTGTTATGTTGGTGGCACCCTCCACTGGTATGGAGGAGATTGCCAACCCATTCCTGCAGAAAGAGGACAAGGACGGAGAGGACGCGGGAGCCGCATAGCCCGCTACAAGTTCCGTTTGGGTGTTCGGTCGGAGCATCATTGTTGCAATTTGGAACACCGCTCTTTCCAGTGCCCTTTCAACAAAATAACCACGCATGCCAGTGCTACATATATGAACTCCACCTGAAGTGGCACCAGTGCTATTATCCCATACATGGGGTTTCATTAAAGCCGATACTTCCTGCACCGATTCCTTAACATCAATCAACGGATTGCCACGACTTGCATACACAGCTTGCAACAACCATCAAGCCAGCCTAAGCGTCACTCAGCGCTGCCGGGTCTGCATCGTCGGGGATGGGCAACTGGTCACCTAGGCTGACAATATCCAGCACTGGGCTGGTGCTCTCGCCAGTTTCGTCAAGGGTGTCGTCGCACCCGTTGTGGTGGCTGACACTCCCGACCTTTGAGCCTACAGGACTGGAGATGTGGTAACGACTGCAAGCAAACACAGAAATCAACCATGGAATCAGCCAATAAGCGTGGCGCTGTAATATCAAGCGATGGAATATAAGTGGCTCACCTGTTTGGCACACGGGGGGATACATTTACAGACTCCGCAATGTGAAGAGAGCGGGGCATGGACAGATGCTCGCTGCGGGTCCTGTTGACAGATGGAATGGCAATCAGTTTTAACTGAATTTGGCAGAAGACACTATCGCAAGTTCTAAACTCACATGATTTGGGACGACCGGGCCGAGTCGGGAGGGTTTCGAGCGAAAAGGATGAGTCGACTGACGTCCGCCAGTGCGTGGTCCAGCCTCTCGCACTTCGTTTTCCAAGACTCAAGCTCGCGCTGACTTTGGTCATAAATAGCCTTCAGCATGTCATGTCTCTGCAAGTGCACAGGTTGCTGGTGTATCTACCATGAGTGGCGACCCTTCGACCCTCACTTTCATACCTTTGTAAGATCAGCGTAACGCTCCGCCTGCTTGTTTAGGCGCTCATTCATCTCGGTCAATGCGATCTGATGCAACGTGACAATCTGCTCCTGGCTAGCCTGCACGCCGTGTGAAAGAGGAAACAGAGTTGTTAGGAATGGCAATAGAATGCCACCTCAAGGACACTCAACTGAGCGTATGTTTACCTTCTGATCGCGCAGCTGGGCATTCAGCCGATCGATCTCATTTCGTAGAGTGAAGTTAGTCTGCACCATCTCCTTGTCACGCCTGAGCAAACACAGCACAAGTGAGAAAGGGGATGGGAAATAGTTCCAGGACCAACTCCTGCTTACGCCTTCAGAGCTGCACTGCGCTTGTCCAGCTCATCCTTCAAGGCCTGAACCTCGTGCAAGTGTTCCTCCTCCAGCCTGGATATTTGCCTTTGCGATGCTGCTGCCGACTCAGACATCTCTTTCAGCGCGTTCAAAGTCCGCGCTTCCTCCTAAGAAAGGAAAAACAAGAAAGAAGTTGGACACCACCGCATAGCGTACTACCTAATGAACATCTATGCAGCGATGCGCGGATACTCAACTGCTCAACCACTTTCCCCCTCACCTGCTGGATCTGCTTGCGTAGCTCTGCTACACAACCCTCACTAACGGAAAGTCCGTCTCGCAAAGATGCCCCGTTGCTCTGCTCAAGCAGAAGCTGCTCTACGATTGACGCCTTAGCCGCCTCGACGTCGGCAAGACGTGCCTCAAGGGAGACAAGGGCCATGGCCCGGTCCTGTTATTAGATAAGACACAGATTTTGCTGAAAGAGGTTAACGAACAACGTAACGCGTGTTATGACATACCTGCAACTCCGCAGCTTGCTTTGACGTTTGAGCCTCAAGCTCAGCTTTAGCTGCTTCCAGGGACTTCACCTGCGCATCAAGGCCTGCCGCACGTGCTTCTAATCCTGCTGCCACGCCGCGAAGTTCTGCAACCTGCTCTCTGCTAACTTCGTACTCTGCTTGTGTTGATAATAGCTGAACGCGCAACTTCTCCGCCGTAGCTTCCAGCTCAACCACCGCTTGCTCAGCCTTCTGCAGCGCTTCTTGCACCGCTGCATGGGCAACCTCGCGGTCAGCAGCGGTAACCTCCAGCGCCTGCGAACGAGCCGTCCAATCCAAGACCCGCTGCTCAGCTGAAGCAGCGCGCTCCTTCACCTCCTCGGCCTCTGCGGCAGAAGCACTGAGCTGTGCACGAAGGCTAGTCTTCTCCTCATCTGCGATACGAATGAGCTCCGCCTGCTCACCAATGCGAGCCTCAGCAACCCCTAGCTGCTCTTGCAGCTGTGCCATGCGCGAAGACAGCGACGACATTTCTGCTTTAGCAACGCCGTGAGCCTCCGATTCCGCTGCGACGTCATTTTCCAGTTCTGATATGCGCTTGAGTGCGGACGAGCATTCCTCAAACTTAGCCTGCAGCTGCTCGCCCAACTCAGTTTCACGGCGCTGACGGTCAGCCAGCTCATCCCGCGCGGACACTAGCTGGCGCTGCAAGCTCTCTACAGTGCTGCGTTCCTCAAGGACTTGGCCCTCCACTGCACTCAGCTTGGATGAAAGTTGCATTATTTGGTCTGAGAGCTCCCCACAAGATGCCGCATTCGCGTGATGCGTCTGTGCCAGCTGCTCTTGAGCCTACAGAGTTAGCAGTAACAGCGAATAGCGTACAAAGGTGCTCTTGTAATCGCAACCCACATCACATGAACTCCGAAGCGCCACGTATACGGGTCTGGGAATAAACCGCATCACGTACAGTACGACGACTACGAGATGCCGCACCGCACCTCTGCAAGCCGACCCTGCAGCAGTTGCACCTCGCTAAGAGCGCCGTCCAGCTGCCGTTCTAAAGCTTCCATGCGGGCCCCTTGGTGACCCAGCTCCGCCTGCTTATCGTCCAGGAGGGCCTGAAGCTCAGCTTCACGTGCAGATAACCGCGTGATCTCCTCGCTTGCTGTTTGCAGCTTGGTATCTTTAGTCGCCGACTGCTCGTCCACCTGAAACAGATAGGAGTACGAAACCCTTAGGAAAGCAGTTATACAGGTTCCGCACGAATGCGGGTTGTCCGTCAAAGTTCGGGGCCGTGGACTATATATCTTGCAAGTTAATCCCCCCGTACGAAACGAAAGTCGAAGGCGGTTTGGGTCCTGCCATCCAGACCCCTCCTCATCCAGTCACTCGATATTCGTAGAGTTCAGCAATCGCCACCAATCCAGCATGCGACACTTAGTCCATGAACTAGACCTCATCTCCATACCGCAGTAGCTAGCCATAAACCTCATTTTCCGATCAATGTCGGGGAACTGCTCAGGAAACTTATATCGTAGTAACGACGCAACTTACTCTATTCCTTTCTTCCCGCTCAACTGCCAGCTGTGTCTGCAATTCCAGTATAAGTGCCTGCTTCAAGGCGAGCTGCTCTTCTTGCTCCGCAATCGTTGAGCCAGCTTGCGCAAAGTTTTCAGCCAGGACGCTGCAGCTCTCCTCTAAGTCCGCCTTGTCCTTCGCCAAGGCTGCTGACTGGGCGTCAAGCGATTCACACTGCAGCCAGCATTGCAACCTTCTAACGTGGAGCGCCAAGAACAAGAGTTACCACGAACGGATTCCGAAGACACGCCTAGCTTCCACATTATATGATGTGTGAAACAGGGGGGTGTATCTTCGCCCGTGGCAGCTACCCTGCGAAACCCTGCCTTCCGCGGTATTTCGGAGCACCCTCATCCAGTCACCCTAGTTAACTTCTCAGTGGATCGCTCAGGTTCCGCACCCACCACCAGCATCCAATGGAATCTGCCGGGTCGACAGCGGCCCAACTCCATTCCTGGTCGGCTCGCAGGTTAACTTTATCCCAGGTCACCACCGTCCATCAACTAGGGGCGCAATACCTTCCACCATCGGAAGGACTTTTGACCCTAATGGGTATCGATCCCGGGATCTCCCGGGGGCAATAGTCACGCCTTACCAGTATTGCCAAACCCTAGTATATTATGTGTCAGTATTACTAATCACGTTACGCCTTGCAACTGGCCCGTCATTCTTCACCTTCGTGATCGTTTCGTCACGTGTATTAATGGCTGCCTGCAGCTCTAGCATTAGCTGTATACCATAGTCCTTCTCGACCTGTAGTTGCTGAGCCACGAGTTCCTGCTGTGCCTGGTCCAGCTCCGCGCGTCGGTCGTGTGCCATGGCATCCAAAGCCTCAAGCTGCAGCATGGCGATGGGCGACAATACCTTACTATGGCTAATTGTTTTTGATAGAGCATGACGTTCCGTCCCCCTATCATCGCACCTGCTCCACAACCGTTGCCAGTGCACCGGCCCCGCGGCTCCCGTCCATGCCGCCAATGGCGGCAAGCCCTACTAACCGCTGGTCGAGAAGCCGGTTCTCACGACGAGCCTGGTTTAGGGCGCTAACCATCCGCTCACGGTCCTGTTGCAGCTCTTCGCGCCGTTGTCTCTCCCTGGATTAGGGTTTTGGGTCCATCAATCCTTGTTTAAAGATGCCCAGTAAACGAAAGACCCAGCATAGTCCTCGGGCAGGAAGAGGGCTGGGAGTCCCTGAATGTCTGTCAAGAATGGAAGTGTTAGCGCCCTTCGAATTCTTATGGTACAAAAACTTACTCTTCCAGGCGAGAAGCCAGCTCCTCGTTTGCCTGCACTAGCGGCTCGGTCACACCGGAACGCATTCCAGCCAGTTCCATACGAAGCCGCTCTATCTCACGCTGCATAGCGATGCGGTCACCCTGCACTGTCCAGTTGACCTTCGCATCGTTGCGAATGTGCTTAGTTTGCTTTGCAAACCGAAGCGTGCTAAGCGTCTCATGCGAGCAGATTGAGCTGGGACTGACGTTGGCGATGATTAGCGTCTTGGCGTTGCCGCCCAGGGATGACTGCAAAATTCAGGAAACGCATGGATTATGGAAGGAATTATAATCAAATGGCATTGTATGATACGCACCTGCAATAGGAACGTTAACTTCGAATCACGATAGGGGACGTGACCTCCCCCACCGTTCTTCTGCGACTTCACGAGCTCTGTGGTAACGCGACCCAGCGCGGTGAGCGATTTGTTGATGTGGCACGCCTCCTTGAAGTGCTCGCCAGCAGCATTGCTACCTCCGTGAGCGCCGCTGGCAATGCGCTCACTCCCTGCAGACGGGAATACAGAACCAGGCGACAGGTCGAAACGGGAGCCATCAGTACCTGCCGAGCTAGCCCAGACGCCCAAGTTGATGAACGTCGGCTCTCCACAGACGCAGGCGAGGACCGCTCCCAAATGCGGCAAACGCATGTGTACACAACCGTTGACATAAGAACAGCCACGAAATGCAATTGTTACCTGCGAGATCGACAAGATTCAGCCTGGCGTAGAAGCACTTGTTGATGCCGTTGCTGGTTACAGTTTTCTCCACGGTGCACATGAAAACTGAGTGTGAGCGGCTGGATTCCCGATTAAGGCGGGTTTCGCCTGTATGCCGGTTCTCTGCCCCCCGGAGAAGATGTTGAAGCATCTCGTCCACTGAAAGAGGGCAAACAGTTTCATAAAACACAATTTTGCTTCGCGTTCGTGACATTTGGGTCAGCGCGTAAAGGACTAAGCAACCCAAATCACTACATAATATGTACCAAGGCCCCATGCTGTTGTGCACATGCAACCGCGGAACTTAGATTGCTGGTCACGGAACTAAGAGAGCTGACCAAGGCTCCAAGACTCGTGCTCACCGTTTAGGGCAGGAGGCTCCGACAGCCCGTCAACGTAGGGTCCCTTCTCTGGATCTTCCCGGATGGGTAAGTTATTGGAGGTAGGGCATAACAGGTCCGCAATGGTCTCGTTGTAAATCTCAAGAAAGGCACACCTGCAATTGTACTTAACGGTATCTGGGCCCCTTGCGTTCTCGTGGTCCGTGATCTTTGTAAATAGGTACTCGAAAACTCGAGGTGCAAGGCCCCGCTTTTCGGCGCAACTGATCTGCCCAATGACGGTATACGTCTTGCCGGCACCCGTCTGGCCATAGGCGAAGATCGAGGAGTTGTAACCCGCCAAGCAGTTGTCCACCGCGCCTTGTCCAGCCACTGAGACAGGAAGAACCCACGCATAGCGCTCAATCTTGCCAACGAACCGTTTGAAATGATCCTAGCAACGATCCCTGGCAAAAACGTCGTGAGGCTTGCGTTCAGGTAGACAGTTACTTTGCGCTTTAAGATGGTTGCACAGGATGTTGTAACCCAGGTCATGCACACGTAGCGTGTCAATGAAACGCCTGTACAACTGCTACAAGAACTGCCCTGGGCTCGGGTCCCAGGCTTCCACACGGCAAAGGAACCACGCTTCACAATTAGTGACAGAACCACCCTCGTGCAAGCGTGTCCTGCAGACACCCGAGAAAGCATGCCAGTTAGTATGTGCTTACGCTCAAAGACGTCGTGCTGTGGGGTCTCGTCGGGTAGCACTTGATCGAACGTGAATCGGTGTATAATGTTTTGCTTTTCCTTTACCGTCAACTGCAACGTGCGGCTGCCGATGACGGTCAAGCACCCCTCGTGCTTATCTGCAAGTAGTTGCATGCGGTCGTAAGCTGTGGCTTGATCGGTTGGCATGGCAGCAGCGTCACAATCACTCACCGCTCGCAAGCTCCTGTTCAGTCGGTGGCCGGACTCGCACAAACACCTGCACGACGAACGTAATTATTTCCTTGAGTAAAAGCAGTTATTTATTGTTTCAAACTAGTGCATACCTGCACTGAATCGTTTTCGAAATCTTCAGTTCCATCAGCGTCTCCATCTCCCGAATAAACACTTCCCGGCTTAGAAGGCGATTCCAGCTTTTGCTGAAACTCTGGACTGTCGGTCACCAAAGGTGGTGGCTTGCGAGCTGTGCCAGATGGTTGTGTGCGCTGCCGCGTACCGAAACGTTGAGGACATCGAAGTCAGGGGAGATGATGGGAGGTATGCAACGAATAGCTGTCCAAAATAAAGAATAATTGACTTACAGATCCAGCTGAAGAACCTGCTATCGGTGTCTTTTCAGTCCTCCCCTTATCAAGCTGAGCCATGCTCCCAGGCTGCTTGGGTAGAGGAAGCCGGCGCGGGGTATAGAGGCTGTCACCGCCACGCAGCATTTTGCTCCATGCAGCATCCATGGTGTGCAGACCCTAACAACCGCGCGCAGCCGACTAGGCCGCGCGCGGGGGTGCAAGCAAGGAGGTATAATACAACAATAAAACAAACAGAAGAGCAGAGTTTCGGAACACTTGATAGTAATTTAGAGAATATCCTACGAAGTATAATTGATAGGACTTGGTTGGGAAATACTACGTGGCTGAATGTGGTCTGTCTTTCCCTCTTTCAATTCGTGCAGTACTACTCACTAATGGTCACTTTGAACGCTACAGTGTTTAAGATATAACCCATCCAAAACGCGTTGTGACAAATTACATGGCAGACGGCAAAGCTGCGACAAGCACCCACCATTATCCTTGTTAACGTACGGAAATGTCCGTACAACACCATTGTAGAATGTTTTGAGGACCCAATCCAGTCTCTCAGCAAGAATCGTGGCATTGTCTTCATAATTACAGTTTCCTGTGCATCACATATACATATAATGGAGTCTATCACATTGAAGCGCATTAGCAGCGCCTCTTGCTCTGCACGGGTTGTGGCTGGCGCGCGCAGCCGTCGCCTGGCAGCTGCGGCTGTCCAACAGGTATGTGGATTCCCATCATCGTCTTGCGGCCGCTCGCAGCGCTGTATTTTGCTTTTGGATGCGCCTCAAGGTGCAGGTCTGTGATGAAAGCGGTCATGTGTCCGTTGCTTGTGGCGCTCCATCAAGGTTATAGTGAGGCTCTGTTAGGATTAATTCACGATTATTCCTGTTTCGTTTGCGGGCTTCTTGCCACATGGCTAATGAGTGGTCGTTACAACGGAGGTTTGCATTTTTCATTGCAAAGCTTCTTTTGCTAAGTATCAAAACCGTCTTTGCATCCTCCTTTTTTGCTCCAATTAATGCTGCTTCTTGTTACAGAATGTGAAGGAGGTCACTACCTCAACGAGTGCTGGCGCACTGGAGGATATTTACATTGGCTTTGAGAAGGAGGACGGCTACGGCTCTCGTGAGGGACGCACGGGCCGCATCATCCGGGATGACCCCCGCAAGTATCCCAGCCGTGATGAGTGGGGCACGGGTGGCTGGGCTGGCGGAGAAGCCGGCCTGTGGAAGCTGAGGGAGCAAGTGCAGGTGCGGCTGCCAGGGCTTTTCCAACGTTTTGACAAGTGCACCTTGACGTCAAGCTCAACGTGCTCGAATTGGATTGCGCCTGCAGAAGGAGAAGCCGGCAAAGCAGCCGACTAAGACTCCTCCCAAGGCCACCGGAATGCCGGTTACGGCGAATCCGCCCCCTGGAAAGGCGGCCATTTACGTCGGCTTCAACAAGGAGTAAGTGCCGATGTAGACGGTCTATGGCATTGTCGACTGTCCACCTGCGTGCGATTTTGACGCTTTGAACTGTTCCTTTATACAGCGAGCTGGACCTCAGGAAGACTGGCGCCAAGGGCCGTGTCGTTATTGACGGTAAGTTTCTGCTGGCTGTATTCCTGTTAAAGCTGGAACTGCTGCTCTACTGGAACCCCATCATTACCGGAATGCCCCTCGTGGCCATAATCGCAGACCCCCGCAAGTACCCCGGCAAGGATGACATCGGTCCCTTGGGTAAGACGCAATGTGTAACTGTCGCATTGGCATTGGGCACAATGTAATTTCAAAAGCTCAGCCTTATCTTTAGTGACCTTCTCGCGGCCTTTCCACGAGCGTCTTTTATGGACATGACGCCCTTCCGCAATTGCCTGTAGCCGGCGTCGCCGGCGGCTTTGCTGGTGGCGAGGCTGGCCTGAAGCAGTTCGTGGCGACTGGTGATGTTAAGCTTCGCAAGCCAGGCGAGCCTGGCCCGAAGCAATTCTCCCCCTTAACCCTCGCCGGTGTGGTTGCTCTGGCTGGCGCTGTGGGGGGCATCGTCCTTGACCTGGTGACCAACGCGGGTGAGAACGCTGTGACCAGAGGACTACTGCAGGTGCGCGGCTCAGGCTGCGCGCAGGCATTGTAGGTGTGCGTTGCTTTGCTGTACAGTTACAAGTCGGGACGCTGTACACATTGGAAGTCCATGCGCGTACTGTTTTAGTCGCTTCACGCCAAAACCTGGATTAAGGATTAAGTTAACGCGTACTTTGTTTTATGTTTAACCTGTACAGGCGCCAATTGATAAAAACACGAAGCTGCTCATCGGAGCTGCTTTGGGGCTGGTGGGAGTCTCTGGGCTAATTATAGCAGCAACAGCGACAGTTCGCTCCTTACAAGAGAAAATCCAGGAGACAGCAAAGGACGCCATAGTTTCAGCGGCATTTATATTTGTGGTGTTCCTTGTGGCAAAGGGTATCTTGGAAGACTTCTGATGCTTCTGGGAAATATGTATCGGGTAATTATTGCATAGAGGCGCTGATTGCCTGCATACCTCGTCCGTGAGAATTTAGCAGGCCTTTGCACCCATCCCTGGACGTTCCTACGTGCAATTTTGGGATTTTGGATACATTGACGCTGCGACGCGGGTTGATATACGAGGGTTGTCAGTGAGCGGGCGTTATGCGCGGGGTGTACCCGCGGAATGCTGAGTATCGAGAGCTCTTGTGCCGGGTGGGTACTTCCTCGCCCCACATGGCATGCTGTGAGTGGGTCCATGCGCTGTTAGACAGCCTTATTACTTATTGGTTTAAAGGACGTGCATATTGCTGTACTCTTTTTGGAAGAGATTGAAAGAGCTGTGGAAGAGTGCGATTCCTTGAGAGAGCATAATGTTGTTGAGATTTCGTCTGATTGTTTGTGACGAAGGAGTGGCGCACTGATCTAGCGGTAGGGGGCTTCGCCCTGCGTGGTGGGGCTCCACTGCGATGCATGTCCTCGTTAACAGACGATGCTGATGACGACTGTTCGAAGTGTTGTGTGGTCATGGAAAAAACCTCGATAAGGCGACAAGGAAGAGATTTGATCCACCTGCGTTGATAGGGACTGACATCAAAGCGGCAGCAAGCCATGGAAATTCAACTGAGCTTGTCAACCCGAGCGTGGTCACTCATGCCGCATTTGAGCTCTGGATTAGGGGCATTCGTCTGCATATACAGAATGCCTTTCTCAGTACATCACCTCAAGGTTCTGGCAACTATGTATATAACTAAGTTTCATCTGACCTGCAAAGCGACATGAGGCGACAAGACAGAAGCTACCTCCAGAACAATGGACCTCCTTTGTAACTGTTAGATAGTTGACTCGGAGACATGCAACGTGTGCTAAACAACTACGGCAAGTTGTATGAGGTAAAATCCTATCATACATCTACAAAGCTGCGTTTTCATCTTGTCTTTGTGATTGACTCACGCAACGCATGGGGCCGTCGTACCGTTTCTCAGTTAGCTTGCAGATTCCTGGGCGAGCAAGGACCACAACGCGTATATATCCAGGGGTTACAAATGACGATTACTGACTTCCACAGCATATTACCTGTGCTCAACATTCTTTGTATTATGACTTGGTAATGATAGATCTCGTACTGGAAAGTGGCCGACACATATACAAGGTCGGACCAAACCTCTTTTTGTAGCTAATCGTCCATCGGTGGCCGCTCCCGTGCACATAACAATTTGTCTGACACAATTCGCAAGAAGGGGTGATGTGCTCCAACAGAGTCCCATCCTTTCCGTGGAACTCCCAGAGCTGTGAAACCCCAAAGGCGGCCCCAAAAGTCAATAACGACTCGACAAACGGCTCCTGTAAGGGAAGGGCCAGGTAACAGTGCCAGGTTGGTGTTCATGGCTGCAGCAATGTATCGCCTCCCATGCTCCATAGCAGGCACCGCAGCAAGAGCCACAGCATCCCAAACACATTGTTGCACTGTTTGTGGAGCTTGTACAAGCCAAAGTTGTCCCCGTGACACTGGCAATCCTATTGACAGAGTGAGTTGGTCCGCTGCTGCCTGTGCCACCGGACAGGCCCAGAAGCCATGACAGCGAGGGGTTACACCTCCCAGGGAGCCTACTGGATAAACTCCACAACCACACACTGCTGGCCGCGACATCCTGCCACCAGGGGTTGAGTAACAGACTTAACGGACGGCACCATAGCTGCTCTGGATTCTGCACTGAGAGGCAACAATAGACTAGCCGCCTGTCGCCAAGGCGCTGGGATACCAGCTAAGCGAGCGACAATAGCATTAAAAGCACTCATTCCACTTACGAAAGGTACACAGGGATTGGGCTAGTGGGGTCCGCGGCTGGAGGTATTGATCCACTGTTTGATGCCATGCCATGCCCTGCGCATTGCTAGCCCTGCCTGGTCCGCATTGCTAGCCCAGGAATGCTTGGTGTCAAAACTCCAGCCCTGGGTTGTGTTAACTGACGGGGCAGTGTCAATCTCTTTTCCCCACAGAGACAAATTCAAACACCACGAATTAGGAACTAGTGGATGAACGTCAACATCTTCAACTGGGGGGAGATATGCCAACCGCTGTCACGAACATCTGGCGGTAGAACGATTACTCCGAACCAAGGCACCCCACCTGAGACGTAAATGGACACATGGGGTTTTACGTCGGGTAAAGGTCATGCAGGAAGGAGTGCATGACCAAGACCCAAGGCGGCCGTACTAAGACTGGCTGGACTATTGGCCTCACAAAATGCACCGCCCAGCACGCCCATCGCGCTTGAACGTGTTCTCGAACGGCTAATGCCCCCAAACCGCCCAAAGTTGGATGGCCATATAACAAATGCTTAGGAACCCTTGTGAACCGTCTGTCATGTGCAGCCAGGCCCAGGTTCCGATCAATAAGTTTGTTGAAACGTGACCGACACATACACCAGGAAATGGTGAAAGCACTAATAGGACCCGGGGCGCTTTGCTGTGTTTAACATTTCGAGACAGAGCAGAGCTTTGATACAGAGTAATGCGGTCAGCGGAATGGATTGTTTGCTTTGCATCGCCTATAAATGTTGCCTCGTTACGACCTAGTCCAGGTGATATGTAACCTCTACATCTCGAAAAATCAAAGCGAATGTCTCAAAATTGCCGTGATGGCGTCAGGTTACAGTAGAGGCGCGAACGGTTAGGACTACCGGATTAACGACTGCGGCATTCGGGCAATGTCAGGCTTTAAAAAGCTGAAGCTGAGCCAATCTAGTCTGCGTTCGCTATGCAAATGCCATCAACCCACTTTACAATAAACGATACTATACGATAAACGAAAAGCTCAAGCGGAGTGGACGGTGCAACCCTAGTGCTGGTCTTTTATACAACCTTAGAAGCCGTTGGATATCGTTCCTTTTTTTGCTCGATTACGCTCGGTTTCATAAATAGTCATCCCTCTGTTGCCTAGGTCGTCCAGGCCAAATGCCCCGTAACGCGCTTGATTCCGCATCGGAGGATGAGCAAGCCTTCGCCTTTGTAAGTTTCGCGCTTTATGGATTATGCTCGTAAACTAACCTGGGCAAGGGAGTAGATACCCGAAACCTCGCCTCTGTTGCAGGCGTTTGCAGGAAGGGGCGTGGCGCTGACGCATGTTGCGATCAGTAATCCGCAGTTACCAGCGGTATTTGTGCCTAAGCAAATAAATGTGACCTGCCCGTCTCATCTGTGCGCGCTGGTCGCGGAGCTTACTGCAGCATTTAAGGTAGAACGGACACGAGGCGCTGAACTGAACAACCGTCAAGACGTGGCATCCTTCAAGCGCATGAATGATCGCGTGAACGACCTGCTAAAGGTATTATTTGCATTCGTCGTATTTCCTACTGCGTCACGTTGGGTAGTTGGAGTGAATTTGCGTAGGGTACTTCCGGCATCCCTTGACCCTCACTGATCTGGTCGCCTGCAAACCTCTCATTGATCTTTTGGGTTGTTATATATTGTCACTTACCTCCCCGTGTCGGGATTGGGTCATTTGCGCGCCTGCGGCCTTCCTTGGTTGTGTTCGCCATTTCTCTAGCTCCCTCTCCGGTATTGAACCCTAGTCCTCCGTCACGCGCTACCACCATGGTAGGTCTCAATCCTCCCATTGAAAGTGGATAGGGCAGATATTTTAGTCGTGAACAATGTTCGCATTGCTGATGGCCTGCTTGGGGCTGTCGGCCTGCGAGTTTTCGAAAACGGTGAATGCATTGGAACGGCTGACAGCCGCTATTTGAGCAGAGCCAAACGGTGGGCAATCCTAGGGGGTGGGACGCTTTCGGGGAGCCCTGTGTGGTGTGGGTGGAAATTCCACCATCTGTATCGTCAATACGTCATGTCTTGTGAGCCACTAAACTGCTGGTGGCTCTTTACACATAATTTACAACCTCTACTCGATGGTATTAGCTTGCAGGCGTAACTGTTTTAATCGTTTCGCTGCGAAATTGTTCTGCTGAGCCCTGGTTCAAGAATCTACCCCGCTGAGAGCAACGCCTGTAGTTGTGCCATGCGGCATGTACTCTGAAGGTGTGCCATTCAACCAACAACGCCTGCACCTAGGAGAACGCTAAGCGACAAGTCATAGCCGTGTTAGTCGTAAACTTGGCTGGCTGGCTTGCGCCTGCCTCGACACCTCACAGGCAGATGACTGGGGGCTCAGGACTGCATCCTCCTCCGTCTCCGAGAAGCTGACATCCTGCTTGCCCCTCACATCTAGGCTGCATTTTAAGAAAGGGGCTTCACAGCGGCGTCATATCCCTGTGCAGGCATACAGCCTGGCAGGGGCCGGCGACTGGCGGAGCTATGCGGTGTGGAGCGAGCATAGCTATCTGCGGCACCTGCTGTGGGCAACGGAGGAGTTCGAGCTGATGGTACACATTGACAGGATTCCACTATTCCATAGGTTGCAGGCGGTTGTTCACAAGTCTGGTGTTTAAATCAGCTTGGACTAGAGTCCCAGGAGGATGGGTATTTTTGCGGCCCTTGAGCCGAAGCCACTTGATTGCTATTCAATAGCGCGACACCAAGGGGCACTTTGTCAAACTGTATGCAGTTTCACCGTTGGCACAAACACCACGTATCATACCCGCTGTTGGGCGGACGGACTCCCGGACTCTACCTGAAGTTCCCGGGTTGTGGCCGGATGATAAAGTACACGTTATCTATTTCAGCTACACAGAGCGCACCGTGCCAGTACCTGTACAGTGTAGGCCCAAGTATTACCACGCCTTGCCAAGCTCCTCAATTCGGCACCTTTCACACACCGTCTGGTTCCGCAGCTGCTGTGCTGGCGACCTGGCCAAACAAGCCGTGTGCACACGCATGCAGACAGGTAACGAACACATCTGCGCGTGCTTGTGTTACACGTTCTGGAGTTGCGTTACTTTCCAACGGTGTAATGGGCCCATACGAGCCGGGGCCCAAGGGCAAGCAGAAGATAGATAACATCGTAATGGCGTGCGTTCGCACTTACCTTTATCTACAGTCGGCAACTCTGGTACACATCTTAGCAGCATTCACAAACCTCGTGTATACTGCATATCCAGTGCTGCTTCACACGTGTTCGACACCTCTCTCTATACGCATACGCAGACAACTAACGTCACTGTGTAGATTCTATTGGTTCGATTTAGCAGTGCCATCGTAAAATGCTAATACGTAGCGTACTTTCTGGCAGCTCTGCTTGCGGGTCCCTCCCGCTCCACGACTTACGCCCTAGTGTGTGCGCGCCTGCCCCTGGACCCGAAATACCGCCCTCGCCTCCTGATATGGTCCTGCCGCAGCCACTGCTGGTTCGCGGTGCTGGACGGCCAAGTGCGCGAGACAAAGTACCCCCCGCTCCCGACGGGCAAGGAGACTCCGAAGTCGTTTCCGGCCGCTGCTGGCGGAGCCATGGACTTGGCGCCAACTATTACTGCGGACAAGGCGGTGAGACTGGCTCGCTGGCTGGCCTAACTTGTCCATGTGCTCGCGACGAGGTTGGGAGGACTCCACTAAACATGAGGGAGGGCCACCAGGATGCCATCAGGACATTCGATTAGATATCAAGTTTAACCCTCCTTAAAGGGTCGAGGAATCAGGAGGAACCAAGATAAGTGGCTTTGACTGATTGCTTTTGTTCCACCTTCAGGAACGTGACTAAATCACTTTACCCTGAGGTACGGCAGTACTGCATGCAGTAGTAAAACCATTCATAGTGATGCGGGCTGGATGCACCTCGGCTCCTCTGCGTTTTGCTGATTCACAGGTGGGTGAGGTGGCCTATATCAACGACAACATCGCCATGCATTCCGTGGGTTGCGTTGCCGGGGAGGGGCCGGAAGCGTCAGACGGGCACGAGGCACCGATGGCTAACAAGTGGCGGGAGGGCGTCGCTTGCACCCTTCACGTGTACTGTCCGCCTATACGTCGCGCCAAGGCGCTGGAGGGCGGCCGGATGACGGACTGCATCCCCGGGTTTTTCTCGCGGCACTCGATTTATGCGGAATGAGCTCCGTCGCTATTAGGTCGTCTTCACCACGGCTCGTCAGGTTTCATTCATCTTTTTGTATCTTTACCTTACTGCGCGTGGTCGAGGAGAAGAGTTTTAATGTGAGGGGATGTATATATACCTAAGGTCACGAGCCTCTTGGATGCGGACGGCTTTTTTCTTCATTCCAAGAGGTTGGACCATTGCAATCCAACAACTCATGTACATACAGGCATGCACCGGGGACCTGCCGGTGAAGGTGCGAGAGGGCCTTGGAGCAGTTTTGTACGCTGGCCACGTGTAGTAGCTGGCCGCTGAAAAGGCCTCTCGAGACGCTGGCGGAGCGCTTAGCGCGTATTTGTAGTTGTAGTTGTTCAATGTGCCGTACTGTGTACCGGCTACTACACCGCGTGGCGGCACGCTAGTTGCATGCTAAGCTCGTTTACTGTTCGCATACTTACTTCACGTATCGCACACCACGACACCCCACGCTACAGTGGGGACAGGTGGCAGTGGGAGGTGCTTGGACAGGTGCGCAACGGCATGCCTGTTCAAATGCTTGCTCGTCCAAGCAATTTACATTTTTTTCCGTTCGTTTTTTTTGTTGGCACTCACAATTAGCCGTTGCGATCCTGTGTGTTTTATTGTATGGATGGAAACGGTACACATTATGCAAAGGCACGCCTGTAAGGGGTTTTGTATATTATTAGGGCAACCTCGTAGGACCCCTGGCACATTTTGCAAAGTTGTTGTCTCATGTTGTTATTGTCTCATGTTGTTATTGTCTCATGTTGTTGTTGTAGCCACGTGTTATTTTGTAATCTAGCAGTTATACGATAACGTACGTCTTCGACGTTGCAATTGTCTGTTCGGTGTGTATATCGTTCAGGTTACCGCGCAGAACATATGCAGTCTGCATGGTAGCATCGGTAGCTGTACTACCACTATCAAATTTCCTTGGGAAAGGGAGCAGAACTAGGGAGAATGAGGTCTCAACCTGGGTGACCGATGGTGCAAAAACTGCTGTAAAAAAGGAAAACTCCACACGTACGGGAAAACTGGGTGCGCCAGCGATGCTCAAACCGACCTCCCAGCAGCCATTGCCGCAGAGGTAGACACCTAACCACGCAACAGAGAGAGCTAGCAACGGGCGCGACGCTGTACAAAGGGATCCTTGCGCCGCACGGTGACCAAGCGGCGCCGGCTGGCCGCATCCCGCCATCGTGCCGTGTGGCCTGAACTCCGTCCGAACTGCTGCACCTCATCCGGACCCAGCGGGACTACTAGGGCCGTGGGCGCGGGAGACGTAAGAGCAACAGAGCTCCTGATAGTGTAGGCAGAATGCCGAAATACAGGAGCGAGCAGCTATAAGTACTTGTTATTGGTGTCACCGGACCAACTAACTGACAAGCCGAAGGAAACCGACAGGCTACCGTTCAGAACCTAACTTTGAAGCTCCAGTCGCTTCTCTCCTGCCGCGTCTAAGTAACAATGAGCCGCTCAGAGTTGCATCCGCCGGCTGCTGTAGCTATCTCCAAACAGCCTCCAGGAATGCTCAGGGCAAGCGGCAAGACGGGACTCTGGCTGGGATTGGGCCTTACACTGCCGGACACGAAGAGACAGCAGGAGAACTACTCGTTGCTCTTGAGAGACCCTGGGTCGTGAGAGGTTCCTGGTCACCGCCAAAATGCAATCAAGTTCGGTCTGGTACTATCTGGTGTACAGCTGCACGATGGCGTCCTACTGCCACCGGCCGTGTGCCTTGCACAGCTCCAGTAGGACACTTTGGGCTCCTGCCGTGCCGTTGCTGCCATTGTGAAGGGAGTGCGGGCTGATGCGGGTGGAGATATCCGTGGCGCACATGAGCCAACAAGCCGGTCCTTGAAGCTGCTGTAGCTCAGGCTGGGTATGGGTTTGATGCCGCAGGGGCAGTGTCCCTGCGCAACCTCGTTCGGGTTATACAACCGCATGGGGTGGCTGAGGCTGTCCGGGTAGCGGCTGGAGGAAGAATGGACTCGTGCCTTCGGCGATTTTGCTGACGGCGTTTGTCAGCTGCGTTTCGAAGCTACAAGTACAGTACATGGTGTTGTTTGATGCTGTGTCGTGTCCAGCCGGAGATTGGCCTTATCTGTGCGGGGCCCGGAGAAGAATGACAGCAGTCGTAGTGGTTGGGTAGATGTGAACGGGTGGGTGAACGGGTTTAGGGGATAGGGAGAGGAGGGTAACCCAGATTAATGAGGGGTGCAAAGATTTTATGATGCGGCGTGGTTGAGGATGAGCTGCATGTCTTTTGGCCTATGGGGGCCTTCGAGTTCAAACAAGGGGGACATTGGTTTCCGAGGGCGCGAAATGCATACTATTATGGCGGAAGACCCCCTTAAGCTGCGGCAATTTCATGATTGCCTTATAAATGCAATTTATAAGGAAAATGGTAACTGTTACAGAAGTTTGCACATGACAGCTGTCGTTCACTTTGTCGCAGCGTGAATTTGGTTAATCCGTCGTGATTCATATCCATCATCGCCCACAATCGCCGTGTCAATAAAAACAACAAAAAATACTATCCGCAAAAGTCAAAGGCCCTAAATGCTATCATCATCTCTGCTCTGACTTGCACACAAAACTCCACGAACCAGTAAGGTTGAACCAAACATCATATGCCCATCACTACCGTCATGAACAATGTAGAACTTGCCAACCTAAGCAAGGAAATCGGGCGTTGTGCTAGTCCACTTCAATTACCCTGTTGACATGCAGCTGAAGGCAAGCAGTGCCAAACATCTTGTTTAAAGCATAGGTAAACACCGTGTAAACGTAACCATGTACCTGAAAAATCCCGTGCCCGCTGTAACGCGTAATACGATAGACAGGCAGCAGGTACAGCAAGATGTCTCTAATCAGTTTAGTGCACATGGCGAAAGCGCAAATCATTCTGTGCACAGCGAGTCAGTCGAAACACCACAAGCAAAGACACACACATACCAAAACGCACATACAAGCACCGATGAATGGCCATAACGCGTGTTTTGAGTTTTGTGGGCGTACAATCCAGTGACGTACATAAAACATCCCCAATGCTGCGAAGCACAGCCTGAACCGCCGTCACGTCTTCCTCCGTCGCGTGACATGGCGCTGGCCTTCAGACGTGCTATCTGTCATACATTACCCCTGAAAGCTGATGCGCATTAGTTCCTAGGCGATGCGGGTAAATCGGGCACGACTTGCCCCCAAATCAGAAAATAACCAGGAGAGCCAACCGCGAACACCGTTGTCGGCTCCGCACAACATCACTGAATAAACGTATTAAATTGACTCGCGCATGCCCATACGGATACAGCGGTGACTTCGCGACACGCGGCTGGTCTTACCATGCAACGCGCAGCGAAAGGGCGTTTAGGTTCTCCTGCCTCTCCACTGTGGGACAAATCCTCACGGCAATGCTACTACGCGCCACCGTAATGCATGAAAATTGGGGCGCGAGCGAGCCTGCACCTATTGCTAGTATCAAAAATGAGCACGCGGGCAAAGCGGCTTAGTACCACCAGGAAGAATAGTTTTTCCCGTGTGCGGCACTCAGCGACAAAGCATCCATTGATAGCTCGAGTACTTGGCAGTTGATGCCGAAAACATTCATTGTTTGTAGGACCACTAAGCCGCTTGGGTGCGCAGGCTTCGACGCACTCCTCTAAAAAATCTCCAACTACTCACGCTCACCAATCTCAATATCACACAGTTACGAGCACCCACGCAAATTGCTCGACTCCTCAACCAATCCACATGATGTCCGGCCGCTGACAATCTGTACCGTGCGGGGACAGGAAAAACATTGCATGCCATCTCATACCCAGGCAAAATCCCGCCTTCGTCAGGCCGCGTCACAGGAGGGACGGCCGTGAAAACAGGCCTTGACAGGTAGGTGATTATCGATGGACGCCGTCCGATCATTCACTCCGAAATACGCTGGAGGGTGATGCTCCCAACACTGCGTCGCTATCAGTGCTGCTGCCCGGGGCACCGCCACTCTGCTTCCTGCATAGGCTTGCCAGGCCCCCAGGCTTAATATTGGGCCAACGGTCTCCCCGCTCCCTAACCACGTGCACAGGCACATCCCCACCGGGACAAACCTCGAAGCCTCGCACGACTACAAATGGTCGATGCTGAGCTGTTGCCCCAGGGTCACCGTGAACCTGTGCTTCCGGCCAGGCCGTCTCGTGGGCCTCTAAGCCTTCCACACCACAGGGCGCAGCGGGCTCCTCGCCACACGGCGTAACCGCCGGATCCGGAACCAGCTGCTGCACCGTCGTTGTGCAATAACCCATCCCTAGATGATCCCATGACTTAAGCTGCTCCTTCCGGAGGCACAGCTGCTCTTTGACGGTGGCCCAGCGGCCCAGCAGTGCCGTGGAACGGCGCCACGGCGGCACATCGATGCCTTGGCTGGCAAAGTTCCGGGATATGGCAGACGCCATTGAGCTAATTAACTCGTGCAGGCGCGGCAGGGTGCCAATGAAGAGGTCGGGGATTGTGGCTGCGAGCGTGCGCTGGTACTCTGGAGTGCAGGGTGCCACCAACAGATGCTCGCGGAGCGCGGCATCGACCACCACCACCTCTTCGGTGTCCTCTGGGGGATTTAGGAACGACATGAGAAGCACGTGTCACATCGACATGCTAATGTGGGATGAAAAGCACAACGACATGCAAACATCGGATGGAAAACAGTCGTCAGGCGATAGCCTGGCCTCACCTGAGGTTACAACGATAAACGGCGCGCTAATGGACCTAGCAAACAGCGACATCCCAGCGTGAGGTTTCCCAGGGTGGATTATCACTGCGCGGAGTTCGTGCTGCAGAAGCAGGGACGCCATGGCCTGCATATCATCGAACCGGCAGTTTGCGCGGTTGTCCAATAGTAGCATTCGGACCTGCGTTTGTTATTGCAAAGCTAATTAGTTCACAACAAAGGCTAAGCAGGGTCCGGGGCATGCATTGCAACAGCTCACCTTTCGTTCCAGTGCCGCGCGAACGGAACACGCCGCCGGTTGAAAAGGAACGCATACTGCTCGCCGAAAAGCCCACATGGGTTGGACAGAGGGCGAAGCAAGATCATCGAAAATAAACTGTCCATAAGAAAAGGTGTAGGCCGTGTCACGGGACCTCGTCAATATGTGAAGTGACAAGTGCGGCAGCAAACCAGGTATTCGCTTGCGTATCTCTTACATGTCCTTAAAACACGTAAAACTTGAGGCAAAAAAATGGCGCAACATGTCGAAAAACCAGTTGGCGCCAGTACCTACCTGAAGCGGTGAGCATGTCGCCGAAGATTTTAATGAACTTGTTAAAATATGGCCTTCCCTGGATTTCCATTGGTTGGGATAAACCATTAGGCCGGTAGGCCCCTTTTGCCCTCCGGAGGCATCCTCGTGCGTTTCAGTCCTTCCGCTCCCACAAACTACGCCACAAAGGCTTTGCCTCCTGCTGCATGCTCTCTGACCACCTGCCCGGAAAAACTGCATTGATCACAGCTTTGTCTTAAGGCGGCGGGAAGGCGGGTGCTTGCGTATCAGAATGCGACACACATGAGCTGCTTAGCCGGTCTTAGCACCTCGCATTACTTCTCGAATTATTATTCATATAAAATAGACGCATTCCGTGTTGTCGAACATCTTTTCAAGTATCCTAGATACGCCGTACCAGGATATTTCTGCCGCGTCATATCGTCCTTCTTGCATCCGACTCAGCCTGCGAGCTGCAGCCGCAACATGACCGTTAGCTTCATATGTATGACTTACTTATAACGTTTGCTTCTACTTACATTGCGAATAACATGTCCCATGTTCAGTAACGTGGTGTTGTCCTGAGATATTAATATTAATTGGGTATCTGTATCTCGTTGGCCAAATCGATTTTTCCTTATCTCCATGGATTGAAGTTGTAGAGTACTAAATTCTGGCCTTATTCGAGCGTTATTATAACCCGAATTCCGTCAAGAGAACTGTCGGCGGCTAGATCCGGGACCACAGGAATTGTATGCCTGACGCTAATAGTTTTGCTAAAGAATTCCAGCTGCTACAGTATACAGACACTGCTGTGTACATATTTGATCAGATGGAACACCTGCGCATTCTGCAAGGGGTTCCACTTGGAGCATGACTGGGACACGTAAACTGATAATGTTTAAAGGGCTTGGGATATCCTCTAGAGGCGACATCTTTTGGTCGAGAATAAGAGTGAGAGGGGGAATCGAGGGAGACGGGAGAAGGCGTTAGGAATGAGAGGCCTCGGGGCAAAACATGGAGGCGATAGGAATTGTCACATCTCTTCCTCGTGTTGGTTACCAAGGTACAGTGCATCCAATAATTAGTCCAGTCGCTGCTGGGACAGATTGTTCGGCCCCCGCAAGCGTTTGTATGAACTCGGGGCAGCTCATCCTGGGCAGCATGGTCGTTCAGAGGAGTTAACGAGGCTTATAATTTGCGTTGTAGTGGAGGCATAGGTAATGGTTCTGATGGTGAAACGCGTCCAGGGCCAATGGAAAAGGCACAACGGATCTAAATGCGAACAACCGCATAGGAACTGATGCCGGAACGGTGCTCCTCGGACATTGTGGGGCTCCGGGTTAGCTTTTTTATACCTTCGAGCAGTTCTACCCAAATACAAGTAACAAGTCCCGCACACACGTGCGGGATTGTTCGTAAAAGCGGGGGGCATCATGGACGGTAAATTGGTATTGATGCGGGTACGCGGGGGCCCATTATTGTCCTTCCTCGTCCGCTTCAACGCGAAACGTCTTAGCGCAACGTGCCTGACCTCCCAGTCTTCCGAGAGGTTCCTTGCCAATCCCAGGGCCGGCGCCTCGGTCATAACGGTGCGCCCTTAAAAAACGAGGTCAAAGTTGTATGCTACAAGTTTAGCCGCGATGACCATAGCAGCTTGCCTCACTAAAAATCAGAGGACATATTACACATCGATAGCCATCCATGTTAACTACACCCACTGGTGAAGGTGATGTTCAGCAGCGGCACATGCACGACTCGTTAGCACCGCGCCTGCGTGCCGCGTGTGCGCCCAAAGGTGTTATAGGTCTTCCCGAGAATCCTGCGCGTGTCGTGATTTACAGATATGGCTGTCGGTCCAATAACTAGTGCAGATGGCTGTTCAGACATCCCGTGGTGTGCCCTTATGGCGGATTAGTGGGCCCTCCGAAAACACATCGGGCAAATCACTTGTGATGGTTGCCGGGTACGAGCCGCCTTAGCTACCCGGCTTATGCTGCCTGTTTTTCCCAAGTGCCTTTTCCGGGATAGGGTTGTGCCTAAGGCCGCTGGGATTCACCGGTATGCGATATGGGTCTTCAAGAGCTCTTACTGGCAGCTAGATGTACAAATCATGGCAGGTTTACCATTACAATACATTCGATTCCATTGTAACACGACCCGTTTAAGAGGAGAGGGGCAGGATAGGAGGGCGCAACTGCCTGGGGCCCCACCAGCTGATGGCGAGTTACATGTGCTCCAGAGCAGGAAAGAGCGTCAACAGCACCTGATATGGTAGTCAAGTCAAGGAATCGTCCTGTCTTGCGGCTGCAAAGTAACCGGGAGGACAGGATGATAGCTAAGTTGGCTTCCCGTTGCGCCTTGGCAAGGTGTGTGGCCTGGTCACATGAATGTACCTGCATCAGGTACAGCGATTATCGTACACTCTTACAGCGATTATCGTACACGCTCTGCCTTGCGTTCTCTGATTGCGTTCATGCAGGTTGGGAAGCATGCACCTACTTTGACTTCGCCCATCCCACGTCCAAGGACCCATCCAGAATGCAGTTATCTGGTCATAATCCCTTATTCTTTTTGTTTTTTCTTCCTTCTTTTTGGCTACGCTAGAACTTGCGGTCCCTGGCTCGTCTGGGCCATACGAGTTCTCGTGAGCTTGTAACATAACATAGCATCGGGGCACTTAGGGCCTGTACACATGCCAATACCGTTAGACATACACAGCCTGTGTAAACACAGGTTGAAATTCATTAGATCTCAAAATAGGCGCCTGAATCGGTCTGGTGGCGGCTTCAACGGAAAAGCCTACGAGTCCATCACCACTTACAAGCCGCCTTGTAGTGGTGCATAGTATAGGTTTATACGGGAGTATGACACTGCACAGACTGTGCCATACACATGTGCACGAACATCGAATCCAGCTGTTGTTCATTAGTAAACCCTGTTCGCCACGAGTCAATCCTAATGGATCTCTAAGTGGAATATCACTAAAATCTTGAGATCCTATATTATAATCAGCATCATAGCAGTTCAAATGACAATCTTTCTCCTCCAGCGCATGCTCGAGATGCCGAATCTAGGGCTCTTTACGGCACCAATCGATACTTCACGAAATATACCTCCCTGCACGATGGGCACCAGCAATACTTTAATCTCGTCGCTAGCTACCGAGACCTTGTTTGGATACGCAGTACGACTCTTCCGACAACGATGCAGTACAGGACGGACGACGTGACTGCATGATTCAATCCGGTGATAAAAATCTCTCATCCTGCAATAAGTAAGAACAAATTATCTTTATTGTGTTTAATATCTCGGGATTCCGCTATAAGGAATACCAACTTCCAAGTTCCGGTTGGCTTGTTGCCGGCGGCTAGGTCCCAGGATAGGCGCCGCATCGATTTGTTAATCTGGGACTTTAAGAGTGGCTGGAAATGACAGAGAACGCGCAGGCGAAAGAAACGGTGGCAGTAAGCCTCGACCACGAGGGTGAAGGCCCGCGGACGGACTTCACACCGAGTGTCGGCATTTCATCCGAGGGTGAGCTCAAAAGCTACTGCATAATCGGCTTGCAGGGTTTGGGAATGTGTTGCGCTTCAGCGCCTTCCGATGTTTGTCGGCGCCTTACGACGTAGCATTTGTTCATACAGAGGCTGCGGAACTCCTAAAACACCATGGACGCAACGAGCTTGAAGAGAAGGTCACGCCGAGCTGGCTCATTTTCCTTCGGCAGGTCCGACAGAATACACTGGTGGTTTCGTGGCACTTGCGCCTGCATGTGCAACTGCAGCTTAAATTTATGTGAAAGTATTGGGCCATGACGCTTTGTTGGTTGTCGTCGCGTAGTCCCACGTTGGGAAATGGCCTGGGTCAACCGATTGAGGAACAGGCGCTGAGGATTCCGTAATTGCCTTACATGCAAAGGCTATGGCGTGTTTAGCATTGTGGAATAATGCTCAACTCTGTTCTCGCTTGAGGTACTGACCCTTCCAATGATACATGATGTTACAATGCCTATCAGTTGCCTCTTCGTTCGTACGAAGCTTTGAGCTAAAATTTGCTCTGTTCATCATCCCTTCACCGCCCCCTCCCCCTACAGCTTTACCAGCCAATGCCTATTATGGTGCGTCTGGGCAGACTGGGTTGGCTTGTTTATTAGGACTTTGACTGGAAGGGCTCGGTTGCATTGCTACATTTCTTGAATGTGTTTCCTGGGTAGGTCTCGGGTGGAATGGTGAACTTGCAGTTGAGTTGCTGTTCTATGTACGCTCCTCCGCAGATTTGGATCGCTGCAATCATTGAGGGAGCTATTCAGAACTGGCCAGATTTTGGCATTCTGTTGGGCATCCAGTTTATTAATGCAACGCTTGGCTGGTAAGATCGTAGATTAGCTAGCATACTGCTGTTCGAGTCTTTAGTAGGCTGCAGTCTCGTTGCTAGCGTCTGAGAGTTTTCTGGATCAACTTACGAATGCAATGCGAAGCGCTTACATGCTTTTGAGTTGCAAGTTGTCAAGCCGAAAGCCTTACGGACCTTAATTTTACGACATGATATGAGGGCAGGCACGTTACGGCCCATCCGGCCTACACTAAATCTTACAACGTTACGACTCGCAACGCATGTGAGTTCGCCTCACAATGCATCCCGCAGTTTGTTTTGAGGACCACCATAACCTGGCCGATAGATATTCCACTCGGGTATCACAGCGAATCATCCCCCGTTAACGCACATCATCCCCTTTTTTTATCCCCTGCTCCAGGTATGAGACTACCAAGGCCGGCAATGCGGTGGCCGCCCTGAAGGCCTCCCTGAAGCCGCAAGCCACAGCCAAACGTGACGGCAAGTGGGTTAACCTAGACGCGGCGCTGCTGGTACCGGGAGACCTGGTACTGCTGGGTTCCGGTTCCAACGTCCCAGCGGATTGCCTCATCAACCACGGAACAATCGATGTCGACCAGGCCGCTCTGACCGGAGAGTCGTTGCCCGTCACTATGCATATGGGCGACAGCGCCAAGATGGGTTCCACCGTCGTGCGGGGGGAGACGGAGGCCACCGTGGAGGTGAGCAGGGGAGGGCAGGGCGTCTTTGCGCTCATGGCGCTCAAACTCCATAACTGGAATCGCATGCATCGATATCTCCACGCGCCATCCATTGAGGGAATATGGGGCCGCTACTTCAAGTGAGAAGCACGCACCCCTTAAAAGGAGGATGCCCTTGATTCATTTCGTTTTTCCGACCTCCGTCCTCAGCTTGCCAAATCCAGCGGTGGTGTTGGGCGCCAGCGGCCTCCCCCGTTTGTAAACATCTCAAGACGGGCGATTGGTGCTGGTCTACCTGCCCGCAGAACATGTAGTACGCCTGACCAATCTACACGTTGATATGGAATTTCTATTATGTTTATGTGTTCTGGGCTGAGCTCCAAAAGTAACGAAAGGTAGATATGCTCACTCGTGAACTCGAGATCCCTGTCTGAAACTGGTTCGCACACCTACCCTCTTGCGGAATCCGTGCAGTTTACCGGCAAGAACACATTCTTCGGCAAGACTGCTGCCATGCTGCAGCAAGGCGGCGACGAACTGGGCCACCTGCAGAAGATTCTGCTCAAGATTATGGTTGTGCTAGTCGTTACATCGCTCGCGCTTTGCGGCACAGCATTTGGCTACCTCATGGGTATGGGCGAAGATGGCAAAGAGGCCCTGAGCTTCACTGTGGTGCTGCTGGTGGCCTCCATTCCCATCGCTATCGAGATCGTGTGTACGACCACCCTGGCGCTGGGCTCCCGGGAGCTGTCCGCGCATGGCGCCATCGTGACTCGCCTGGCTGCAATCGAGGATATGGCGGGGATGAACATGCTCTGCTCGGACAAGACAGGCACACTCACACTCAACAAGATGGTGATCCAGGTTAGAATGGGGAAAGTATGAAAAGGGGGAGCGGGCACAGGTGCAGGTATGGTGGGGTAGGGAGAGCAGAGACGCGACATGATGTGGCCGTGGTACTCTGCGCCACCTTATACGCCCTGTCATGAAATTGGTTCTGACCCCGATTCTCCAATTGCAGGAGGATACACCCACCTACCTACCTGGCCTGGACCAAGCACGGCTGCTGAATCTGGCTGCCCTGGCAGCCAAGTGGAAAGAGCCGCCGCGTGACGCCCTAGACACGCTGGTGCTTTTATGCGAGCAGCAAGACCTTTCCAAGCTGGATGTTTATGAACAAATCGACTACATGCCCTTCGACCCCACCATCAAGCGCACGGAGGGCACCATCCGCGACACGCGCACTGGCAAGGTGTTTAAGGTGGGTGGGTATCATGTGGAGATATGTATGCCTTTATGTTTCTGCGGGATGTGTTGCGACAGGTCCTTAGGGATCCGTGACGAAGAGTACAAGGAACGACGGGATTGGTTAGTAATGAGTTAGCAGCTGCCACGGCCTTTTCTGCTTGCTCTGTTTGGAAGGTGGGTTGTAAAGCGTGCTATATGAACGCGTCACATGAGCGATCCCTCATTGCGGCGGCACATCGCCGTATCCAGGGTACCGGTGCCAATCGGAGATTCCACCCGTCGCTGGCGACAAATCTCAACCGGTCTTCTCTGTAATAAACCTCCCATCACTACAGGTGTCCAAGGGTGCCCCCCACATCATCTTGAAGCTCTGCCCTGACCAGCGCGTGCACCACATGGTGGAGGAGACCGTCTCGGCCTTCGGACTCCGCGGTATTCGCTGCTTGGCCATCGCCAGGACCATGGACGGTGAGTCCAAATGACAGTGCGCTTTGAGTTTTGAGTGGCTACTGCGTCGCCGTCCTGTTGAGATGTTGTCGATATCGTTCTTGGACCGCGGCCTAGAGCACTCTAGTCCTAGGGCCACGGGGAGATAACCCGACTGGCCTAAGCCAGAATGTTTGCATCGCAAAAGTTTCAGAAGTGTTACGAGAAGATTTTCATTAGTGTACATTTGCCTTTTCCCGCCTGTTCGGCAACTTACTCGCTTAAACCATCTTCCCTTGTGCGCGCAGACGATACATGGCACATGGCGGGTCTGCTGACCTTCCTGGACCCCCCGCGGCCCGACACAAAAGTTACTATTCACAAGGCTATGGCCTACGGCGTTGACGTCAAGATGATTACTGGTGACAACCTGCTTATTGCCAAGGTATATTGCAGCGCTGCGAAGGGCTGTGGTCCTAGTGGAATTGTGTGCCTGGGCTAGGCTAAGCCAGGTGCCCATTCGGTTTTATTTGATTTTTGGGCTGCAGCACGTGCATCTAAATTGATTGGCGTCTTGTGATGATCGCAGGAGACGGCCCGCGTGCTGGGAATGGGCACCAACATTCAGGATCCCAAGAGCCTGCCCTCCATGGACGCGGAGGGTAAGGCCCCGAAGGATTTAGGCAAGAAGTACGGCAAGATTATTATGGAGGCTGATGGGTTTGCGCAGGTGCGACGGGGTTAATAGTGCATCTACAGATGCAAATGATGTGTTTTGTTGCGGCAACCAATTTGGTGATATCTGAGCATTTCGGGCAGCTCTAGGCTCTCGCCTTTGGGACACGAGGAACACCCCATACCACGGCACGGACAGTACAGCAACTTACAGCAACTTTAGGCACTCCTTGCCCTGCCCTCGCCTAGGGGAAACCTTCGGCTAATATGTCGACCTGCAGCAGTAGTGGGGCACCATTTTTAAAGGCATCCCGGGCACTGGTTCACCGTTTGGCTTTTCCTCCTGGCTACACCGAAACAAGCCCCATGCTCGCGTCTCCCTCCTTCCAGGTTTATCCAGAGCACAAGTACCTGATTGTGGAGGCGCTCCGCCAGAACGGTTTTGCTGTGGGCATGACAGGAGACGGAGTCAACGACGCACCGGCATTGAAGCGCGCAGATGTCGGCGTGGCGGTGCAGGGCGCTACAGATGCAGCGCGTGCTGCTGCAGATATTGTGCTGACGCAGCCGGGTCTGAGCACCATCGTGACGGGCATCGTTACGGCGCGCTGCATCTTCCAGCGCATGAAGAACTTCATTAATTACCGTATCGCCGCTACACTACAGCTGCTGGTGTTCTTCTTCATCGCGGTGCTCACGCTTAAGCCCGCTGATTACGAGCCGCCACCGCAGCCCTGCGAGCACAATCCCAAGGAGTTGTGTGACGCGGAGTTCCCTAATTTCTTTAAGATGCCGGTAGGTCGCGTCAGGATCTGGCTGAGGCTGGAGCGCTACGAATCTTGCGGCTATGCCAGCGAGATGGTGGCGCAGCGTCAGGAAGATCTACGCTGCTTTCTACTATAAACCCTATATGACATGCTAGCCAAGCCACCTAGCCTTTTGGAACCATGTAGAAATGACCGTGCGCGCCGCAAGGGAGGGTGCTGTACACTGGGTTTTGTTAGACCTGCCACAAGACTGTACTTCGTCTGGTTTCAATTACCCAAGTTCGATTACCCAAGTCGCGCAGGGGCGGCCTGAACAGCGGTAAACTTGTTTTCACTTCGCTGACCTTCAGGTGCTGATGCTGATGCTCATTACTCTGCTCAACGACGGCACCCTCATCTCCATCGGCTACGACCATGTGAAGCCCACCACTATGCCGGAGAAGTGGAACCTGCCTGTAAGTCGCATTTCGTGCCGGACATAGTTCATGTCCAGATAGCAACATATGAAATGTCGAAAGTCTTCAGGGTACGCCGGCCACGACCACATCGACCCACCATGCCATGGAAATGCTCAAACCTCCTACCTGTTTGGCCTTTACCGCACAGGCGCTCTTTGTAGTGTCTATCGTGTTGGGAATGGTGGCTTGCGGCTCCAGTTTGCTGCTGCTGTGGGCGGCACTGGACAGCTGGAACCCGGACGGAATATTCCACAAGTGGGGCATTGGCCGAATGTCGTACGGCAAGGTAAGTGAAAGTTTTTGCTCGGTCAAAAGCCCACTCGGTCCCTGCCGACTGGCTGTTTCGGCTGGTACATGGCACCCAGTGCATCAAAGCCGCCTAATGTGGCATTTTATCAAATTGCTCAGCTACAAAGTATGTTGAGGCCGAAAAATGGGAATTTTTCAAGGGAGTGGCCGTCTTTGACAATTCCTACTTTTTCGGGTGTTCGCTTCCCTGGGCCTGCCTGGCCTGGAGCGCTGGTGTGCAGACTGTTGGTTGTTTCGCATGCTAACTGTGCCCGATCTAATTTAAACGTTCCTGGGTTCCCACAACCTCCAGATCACGACGATGATCTATCTCAAGGTGTCCGTATCGGATTTCCTGACGCTCTTCTCCGCGCGCACCCACGACGGCTTTTTCTGGTCATCGAAACCCAGCCCGGTCCTGATGTGCGCCGCCTTGTTGGCTCTATCTATTTCCACCATCCTGGCTTGCGTCTGGCCCAAGGGTCAAACGGACCACACTCCTACCGAGGGCCTTGCGTACGGTGATTATACCCTCATGCCATTGTGGATCTGGATCTACTGCATCTTCTGGTGGTTCGTGCAAGATGCTCTCAAGGTATCTTGAAGCCCTAAAAGCTTGGACGTGGGCGCTGCTTCGGAATTTTAGATCTCTTCGTCAGTCCTACGGGGGGAGGAGGCTATTTGTACCTATGTCGACGCTCGCAACTCACGGGCGGGCTTGGATTGGGAATGCACAGATGTTGTAGCCCAGAGCATGGATGAGTCCGGAGGTCCGGATCTGGAAATAGTGTAGCTTGGTTCCACATACTGTCCGACAGCGTTGCTGATGATGTACATCGGCGCAATAATTTTGAGTGGTAACGCACTGTACCTGCGCAGGTGTTGACGTACTGGGTAATGCACAAGCTGAACTTGTTCGACATCAACAGCGCGGTAAGCAGCTCCTGCTCTGGTACTCATGCTCAATTGGCATCTCATTACGAAGTGTTGACTATTTCGAAACTGCGCAATAACGTTTTATCTTCTCTGTTCGCAGTTGGTCGTGAACAAGCGTGACGCGACGAACGTGCACGGCGATCCGCTGGCGCGCCACAGCGTAGGCCTTGTTGAGGGCAAACTGCTTGCTGCCAAGGTGGGTCTATGGTTTGTACAGCTCACCACGGTTAGATAAACAACGCATTCCTTTGGCGTGGACTGACCTTTGCCACAATTCTAGTGTTTCCCCTACACTGGTGCTAAGGTGGCAGTCGCCTTCTCCCTTCAGCCACGCTTGATGCGAGTTTAATAACGCCAATGTGCCAGGTGGGAGAGGCCCAGGAGAAGATTGCGCACGTCATGAAGCAGGAGGGTGCTCTGGGTCGCTTCTCCGCAAACCTTATGCGGGCCTCCGCAAACCTCGCTCAGATCTCCACCAACCTCAAGCAGGTGCGCCGTGAGCTGAACCCCGTTGCTCCCGCTGGCTTCATTGGGACGTTTCTGAACTGGTCATTTAGCTTTCGTGTACTGCCAGCGCTGTGCTTCGGTATCTGTTATAATTGTGTAGGCCACATCGTAAAATATAATTTCCCACCACGTTGAACTATGCACCGCTCACTCCTGTAGGGTGGGCATGCTGTCAAGGGCGACATGGAAGATGGCGTTGCCAGCCTGGAGCAGGCAGTGGGTAATCTGGAGGTGGCCACTTCGGACCTGGATCCGAAAATGCGCGGCGAGATCAACCCCGTGCTGGAGGGTGTGCGTGACGCTGCAGAGAGGCTGGCGGCCAACACCGCAGCTGGGCTCACCGGGGCCAACACACAAGGGTTGTCGCGGAACAGCAACAACCATCATCCTGCTGCGGCGCTGTGAGGTATGGAAGAGGCAGTATGTTGGTAGGCGGGGCCCACTGCTAAGGGAATAAGCGCTCATCCTGTCGTTTGCCGCGTGGTGCGAGTCCGGCATACTTGCCGCATGCTGGTGAGGTGTATTATATCCCGCTTGCCTGAGCTCAGTGCAACTCGGGGATGTGGACTCTTCGAAGGAATCCTGCATATCCAAGGTTAGCGAGGATACTGGCAGTCGCACGGGTTGCATGACCTGGCTGGGCAGAGGCGGCATCGGTGGTTCAGTCGTTGTGGGTGGCGAGACGACCGAGCGACAGGAACTTAATGCTAAGTGAGCGGCGGAGTAGAGGAGTGTGCGGGAGGGTTTCTGTATGGAGAAACGTGTGGCCAGCGCCCCCTTGGGTGTTGGGCTGAGTTCGTAGGTCCGAGTTGGCGGGAATCGGGCAGACTGCTCTCGGTCATTTCTCGAAAGCCGATGGGAAAGGGAATAATGGGAATGCTGATAGGTATTATTTATGGAATAAAATTTTACAAAGTTTATCAAAAGCCTTCCATGTGGCTTTGGGAACCCAGTGCCAGCACAGTATTGATTACGAAGTGCGGCATGAAGAGGAAAGTGATTGTACGTGTCAAAAGGTACGCGGGAATGGGGGACCAAAAACAACGCAGCAAATAGGGCATTACCTAATCTCGCATGTTAAATTGCGGCTCCTTGCCTCATCTCGTTGATTGTACAGAGCAGTATGCTGCAGGATTCCCCGTCCAACGGTATGTGATAAGAGTTGAAGTTACTTTACGCGCGTCAGGTACTTACCTGCTGGCCTTATTCTCTTTCAGTTTCGTCTGTTTATTTTGGTGTTACGGTGGGTTTTGGAGCAGCGCTGGTGACACGTCTCTCATCGTTGAGTCCGGATCCATGTCTTACGATGCTACATACCGCATTGGCTGTTGTTCTGTCAATTGGGAATCAAATATCAGGTGAATTCCCGATTTTCTTTGGTTGGTTTTGGATGGCATGGCATAGTTTGCCCTTCACGGCATGGCGCCGCGTTGGTGCTTCTTGGGTTGAGAAAGTTGGTTAGTACCCCTTTGCTTCTTGGGTTGAGAAAGTTGGTATACCCCATTGCGGTATGCAGTATTGGCTTTCATGGCCACGCGATTACTCATGGTGATTTGGGCGTCTTATTGTGTTTTCGACTGACGATTTCCGCTTACGTCTGGAAAGGCTGCTGTTACCATTTTCATGGTACTAGATTTATTTAGAAATGTATGTATTGTCACATGTGCTGTGAAGGGTATGGCGCTGTTGTGGTCTCACTGTGGTGGTGCTGGTCGACCATCTAAAGGCCCATCTCATCGAAGGGGTGCTGTAATATGATTTCCATTTGCGGTGGGCTGTTGCCTACCGCTTGTTGGGTATCTGGATGGAAAGGAGTATTACTTGTTGCCTCTTCTTGGCCTTCTTCTGACATGATTGTAACGTTAGGGCTTTGCATTCATCTTGGATGCCTAAGCGTAAATACCTCCCAAGTATGCTGTGCACGTAGGAGCGGTAAAGCCACAATAACCGGAGCGCTTATTACATGACGGAAGCAAAAGCAGTTCCCTTTGTAGGTTATCGTGCACCGGTAGTTAAGGCGTGCTTTTCGACTGTCGAAATACATGACATTGGCTTTGGGACGCAATCCTGTAGGTTTTGGTTTTATAGCAAATTCCACACAGCAATCAAAGAGCCGACGCTTTGGACCATGCGATCAGGCCTTTCCTCTTAGATATTGTTATCGCTTCGCTGCTTTTCGATGATCAGGGTAACGATATAACTGTGCGAGTAGCATGGTGACGTAAGACTAATTGATTGCTAAAGTATCAGCGGTAATTTTATATGAGCGGTGTCTGCAAGTTTGCTCCTGTAGTGTGCTCCTGTCTTTTAGCTGACACGACCACAGTCTTAAATATAAGCTGTACAGCTGCTCTTATGTGGATTAGTGAAACGTACCGCCTTTCTCCACACCACCCATCATTAATCTCTGAGCCGGAACCCCAACCATTCGGTGACGCGAATCATAGCTAGTTTAACGGCCTCTAGCCGCGTGCCCTTTTCAGGACTGGTACTGGAAACAATCCCACTAAACTCTCCGAAGCACGTCGTACATACCTGTCTTCGAACACTTGTCTCCTGCCTTTTGTATTAACCTTGCATATGGTGCCATCCATTACGCCTACCCCACCCCTTGGAGCGGAGGTATTGTTTCTGCCCTGAAGCCTCCCTGAAATAAAGCTTAGTAAAAATTCAAAAAACCTGAATATGGCTTATCCATCCGCGACCTGGTACTAACGGCAATTTTGTTTCAGCTTGTAGTTACAAATGCGCAGCCTTATTTGTCAACGTGTCCAGCCATCGTTACCAAAGCCTATAAATGGTAGACATTAACAACTCAGGTTTCCTCATCGGACACCATAACACAACTTCCAAGGATAACCCCACAACAGGATGCGCACTCCACTTCGCTTCAAAAGAACCTCTCCCGGACTCCAGGGGAGCCATGCATCGCGCCAATCTGCAACACCATCCAGGCCAGGTACATACCCAGCCGGAGCCCCAATCACACATCAGCCTTCGCAAGGCTAGCCGACATGGCATCGCCTCCACTCCGCTCTGATGCCGACCGGAATGTCTGCTGGCCTTCACCTTCACATATGCCCCTTCCAACCCACCCTGCCTTACCTCCTCACCCTTCCCCTTCAGGGACCATATCTGCAGTGAACATTACCATCCTCCCTTCTTTCGATCTTGCACCTGTTCTATTCATTCCCTCCCATGCCCCGCCAACTTCCCTTCCCCACTCCTTCCCCACTCTCAAGTCTCTTCATACCAACATCCAATCTTTGGGAGGTTCTTCTCAAGGCAAACGGGATGCGCCGGGGGGCTGGGAGCCACCCGCGGGGCCAGTGATAGCCTCCCCTGCCGTGACTGTACCTGCTGCACGAACGGGGCCTTGAAAGGCCCGAGTGACTGTGTCCAGGTGCTGAGCCGCCACCGCCACGGGGGCCAAATGCGGCTCAATTTCAGCACGGACCTATTGACATGCGGATGGATTACGGGCATCAAATGAAGGGCAACTTGGGAAACAGGTGCGTGGCAAGAGTTTTTCGGTTAACATTTGGCGCCGCCACATTTGAGCAAGGATAGTGTGGCACGGCATGCTGCCGGCTTTTCTGTCCCAGAGATCTATACCAGTGTCGCAGGTACGCTGTCAGCTCAGCGAATAGCAACACAACACAGGAAACGGTATGGACGGCCTCACCTCCGGACTGAGCTCCTCCACGGCCTCTCGTAGCGCTCCCGCCGTCTCCTCAACGTACATCTCGGGCGGTAGTGCAACCGCTGCCTCCACATCGGAGGGTGGCGGCGCTCCTGGTGGTGTGACGGGTCGACTGCGGCGAGCCATTGCGCTGGTGCGTGCAAGCGCTAGGCCCTGTGAGACTCGCGCAATCTGGCCAGGTGAAAGACCTGCGCAACGTGCGGCGACCCGAGCGCAAACACCCCACGTCAATTGAAACCGATTTTCGGGAGTTCTAAGCCGTTATGGATCATTATATGTATGTCTGCCGTCCCATTGTAGCATCACATTCGCTATAGTCTAGGCGGTTAGGATACGAGATTCTCACTCTCGAGACCCGGGTTCGAGTCCCGGTAGCGAAATGCCTTTTTGCGCATGGATATATTATAATTAGTCACTTTAGAATTGTACATGTTCATTTTTTATCAGATCATTATCATTTATTATTGGAAACCCAACGAGAACTTATGTCCCTAGCCTTAGCTTACGATTATAAAGTGTAATCCCGCCGCCTCGACTCGCACTAACAGCCTACAGCCGTATACTGAACCCCGACTTTTACAGACTTAGTAATACTTGGCTAATCGCAATTTTGCTCTAGTCATATATTAAAGGAGTAACCCAGGGCATTACCTGGGGTTGATAGAAACGCCCTACATCGTTGCTTCAAGCAAAAGCTTGAGCTTTTCAAGGCTAGTCCAGTGCCTTACCTGTAAGGAGCAACACCCTGTAACACACAAACCTGCATGTCATGATCCCACGCGCCTCATGATCCCACGCACCCAAGGTTGTAATATCTCACCTGATGCCGACCTGGTAAACGGGACCGGCAGCATGTCACTGCTCCCCACACATTTCATAGTAACATATGCACCTCGTGGCACAGCCAAGCCCTTCCCAACCCTGCCATCCTTCCCATCGGTCAAACCCACCCGACATCCTCTCCAGCGCTTCCACCGCATTCGCGATGCGGTGCTGCAGCAGCTTCGTCTCCGTAAGGCCCACGGAGGCTGCGGCCAGTGGTCGACCCGGCTCTTCGGGGGAGGTGGCCTCACGCAGGTTGACAAGCTGCAGAGGGAGGGGGACCAAGCAGGGGGTCGAGACGACACGCAAATGGGAAGTCCAATTGCTGTATTCTATCCTTCTTACACGCTGACGGTATCATTGCATTATGCTCGCTCTTAGACTTATCAGAAATAGGGAAGTCAGGAGCCTAGAACACATCCCGTTTCAAGTTTCGTTGCATGTGAGTTGAAGGCTTTCCTTCTTCAAAGCGGCACACACATGCGTCCGAACAATGACGGAGAAGGGAGCTGAGCATGAGTGCGGAATAACACGGCCAACAGCCCTCACCTGGTGGGTGTTGATGTTGAAAATGTTGTACCTGGTACGGTATGTACGGCAGGACGTCAAGGCGGTACAATCCAGGTTCAGGGTGCGTACAGAGGAACGGCGGCGGCGGTGGTGGCGGAGTCGTAGCGGTGAAGCTAGGGTAGTGGCCAAGTCCACCCGCGAACGCTAGTAGTGAAAAGCTCAGTAACAAAAACCTCGGCCCTCCCTACACTCCCTCCCCTCTCACCAATTTTTGGCGTCCAGGGGGCCAACCCCAACCCCAACCCCAACCCCAACCCCGCCAACAGCCACTCACTTGCGCATCAGCCAGTACACCCCAACCTTCAGCGCGTCCTGTACGAACCACCAGAAAATGCAGTAGATCCAGATCCACAGCGGCAGCAACGTGTATTCGCCGTATGCAAGACCCTCCACAGGTTGCTTATCCAGATGCCCCCGGGGCCAGGCGGAGGCCAGGGCGGTAGACAGGGACAGCGCTACACCCGCGGCCCCCAGCAGGAGGGGACTGGGCCGCACAGACCAAAAGAAGCCCCCGTGAGTGCGCGCGGAGAAGAGCGTCAAGAAATCCGATACGGACACCTTGAGATAGATCATCGTCGTGATCTGGAGGTTGTGGGCAGCGGGAGCGGTTGCTGAGATTACACGATTGCGGAAAAGACGCCTGCGTATTTAATATTTATTTTATGAATATGCATATGTTATATTTAATATTTGTGTGTGTGTGTTACATGGTTGGGGGTGCGTAACCCCGTACCTGTAAAACTACCCATATGAGCCGAAGGCCCAAGGGCAATATCTATACGCCTAAAAGCCACGGAGAACAGGAAACACCGCACTATCAGTCTAGGCTAGCGCCCAAAGGGGATAACTGAGTTGCGGCGAGCCCACATACGTTCCAACATCTTCGCCAGACGTACTGGTTCCCAACATGCTCGGTTGATGATCGAATCCCTCTTCCGCACGAATATCATTATAGGCTGGGCATTCCAATAACACGTGTTTTTCATCCTCGATTTGGCGATTGGTACCACAACAGCGGCAAAACCGCTGCCCCCTGGGGATATGGTACTTGCCCCTTCGTGCTCTGTTTGCCTCCAAAGCCCAGCAACATAAACGAAACTGCATTAGCTTACGATGTGCTGAACGAGAAACGAAAACCTTAGCATGTGCTGGCCACATGACGGCTGCGGCTCCCGAAAAGGGCAGCCCCATCCAGTGCTTATACTTCGCCATTTGCACTCCCGGTTTCTTCCCATCTGATGGGTACTCCTCTGGCAAGACAGTCAGACGCGCATGGTCCCAGCCGCTCATCAAACGCTCTCTTAGTGCCGTTATCACCGCTCCTTCGGGTAGAGGCCTACTCAACAATCAGTCAACACGCTCCATTACCCCCATGACTTCTTGCGGTATTCCGCTCCACATATTGCACTCCAAAAAGGAAAACAGTCGTAACATTTAGGATCCCCAACCCTCCCATTCCGGGTTGGTCAGGGCATCGGTTATCTCCTGCCGTAAAACTGCATGAGCAATGGACCCCACTTGCTTTTGAAGGCGGTTCCAGAAACGGAGCATCTGTTTCATCATGTAATACTGTAAGGGGAGTTCAGCCAGCTCCGCATACAACAACCGGTGGGATGGCCGTGCCGCCCCCACTACCTGCCTCGTGAATAAAATCTGCAGCTGGACTGCGCTATCCTTCAAACAAGCTTCGAACATGCCCTCCGCAAGGTTGGCTTTATCTCGCCGCCTTCCCGCCCTGTCCACGACCTCTGCCAGCGCAAAAGGGCCCCACGCCTGGCAGCCATACAACAGAATTGCTCGGACTTGGGTTGCAAAGCACCGCATTCGCACGTCGGGGGCAAACAGCTTCATTTTGTCCAGCTTCGCGCTCAAGGAAAACATAGCGGACCGACCTGTATCACATAACTGCTGACGGCACGCACTAAAAGGCCGTTCTGGCCCGTATACCAAGCCCAGATAGCGAGCGCTATCTTTATTAAATATAGCGCTATATTAATAAATGATTATTTTAACACATATAATAACAATTTAATATATAAATTAGTATAATGATTAATATATTATTTCATTATCATGGACTGCCGGTGCTGTCAAAGGATGCAACGGAGGGTCGGGAAATGGATGTTGGCGTGTGTCTCAAAACTACTGCGTCTCAACAAATTAGGTTCGGGCGACTGGGAGAGACGCGACGGCAGGAAAAGCTGTAACGAGCGTTTGAGTTGGGACTGGGCAAACAGGTTCAACAGGCGGCTGAGCCGCTCCATCAGTTCGAAGGGAAGGGAAAGGGAAGTGGGGAGGGCAGGGAGAAGAGGGGGCCGCAGGCATTGGGACGTAGGGCAGTGGGCAGTTCTGGTGATGAAATGATCCTAGACTGATTTATCATCGTGGTGGTGATGGCGGCGAAGTGGGTGGAGTCAATTCTTCCCTGCCCAGCCTGTCACTGCCTGCCGTACCTTGCCGTACTGTACGCCACCGATGTGCCATCGCTGGAATATTCCGTCCGGGTTCCAGCTGTCCAGTGCCGCCCACAGCAGCAGCAAACTGGAGCCGCAAGCCACCATTCCCAACACGATGGACGTGGTGAACAGAGCCTTCGAGGGCGAGCGGACGGGTCCCGGAGGCCGGCAGGGGGTCATACGGTGAGCGGTGCAAGGAGCAAACAACCAATTGCCGACGTAACTACCCCTCCCCCCCCATGTGTATGTGCTGGGGGGAGATAGACGGGCTGGCCCACAGGAAGTTCCCCTTCGTAGCGGCAGTCGAGTGGCAAACCATTCGGTCGGTCGGGCGGAGGCGGGCGGGTTCCGTACGGCGTGTGTATGTGGGTGTGTATATGTGTGCGCGTGTGGACGTGTTCGTGCGCGTGGGTGTGTGTTTGCGTAATCCGACGTTGCACGGGGCTAAGTCCCGCGGGTGATCCCATCCACTCCTGTTGCGGTCACCAGCTCGAGCGGACTGTCAGCAGTGGCCCAAGGGCAGCTAACTCTCCCCCCGCTCCCCCCACTCGTTTCGCGCCCTCCCCTTTTGCCCCGCGGGCTTGGGACCACTTCACTCACCGGCAGGTTCCACTTCTCTGGCATGTGCGAGGGCTTCACGTAGTCGTAGCCGATGGAGATAAGGGTGCCGTCGTTGAGCAGAGTGATGAGCATCAGCATCAGCACCTGAAGGGGGGGGAAGGAGGGGGACCCACACAGGGACGCAACAGGACAGGAACAAGGCGTGACCGGGCCCCATCCAACACCCGTACTTTCAACCCAACACCCCTTCCGTGCGCAGAAAGCCGTACCGGCATCCTGAAGTACGACGGCCACGGCTCCTCATCGAGACCTGTACGACAGGGGGTAAGGGCGCGCCCAGATTTATGCGATCCTTCCCCTCCCCTTTCCCCTCCCCCTTCCCCTCCCCATTCCCCTCCCCTTTCCCCTCCCCTTTCCCCTCCCCTTTCCCCTCCCCCTTCCCCTCCCCCTTCCCCTTCCCCTCCCCTTTCCCCCCCCCCTTCCCCTCCCCTTTCCCCTCCCCTTTCCCCTCCCCCTCCCCCCCCCCACCGTGCGGTTCTTCCAGGTTCCGATTCTGCATCTCCCCCCTTCACTAACTTGTCCGACCCGCATCTTCTCTCCCTTGGGCCCCCCCTAACCGGGGGCAGCTCACCGGGCGGCATGTACTTGGACGGGGGGAAGGCGAAAACCGCGATGAAGAAAAACGTGAGGAGCTGCAGCGTGGCTGCGATTCGGTAGTTGATGAAGTTTTGCATCCTCTGGAAGATGGACCTCGCCACCACAATAGCTTCAATGATGGTGCTCAGACCCGGCTGCGTCAGCACAATATCTGCAGCAGCACGCGCTGCATCTGTAGCGCCCTGCACCGCCACGCCGACATCTGCGCGCTTCAATGCCGGTGCGTCGTTGACTCCGTCTCCTGTCATGCCCACAGCAAAACCGTTCTGGCGGAGCGCCTCCACAATCAGGTACTTGTGCTCGGGATAAACCTGGAAGGAGGGAGACGTGAGCATGGGGCATGGAGGGAGAAAGCGGGCGATAGAGGGACACGGGGAAGGGAAGAGGAGGGGGGGAGGGAAGACGACGCTGAAATACTTCACAGCTACCCCGCCATTCCGCGATATACATACATACATACACACATGCGCACATACGCGCACACGGATGGGCTCGTCTCCCTCCTCACCTGCGCAAACCCATCAGCCTCCATAATAATCTTGCCGTACTTCTTGCCTAAATCCTTCGGGGCCTTACCCTCCGCGTCCACCATGGGCAGATGTGCGGGCTCCTGGATGTTGGTGCCCAAACCCAGCACGCGGGCGGTCTCCTAAGCAAGGAGGGCGGAAGGGCGCCCCGCGGGGGTCGGTGGGTTAACCCGAGGGGCGGCAGGCTCCGATCAGCGGAGTAAGATTACACCTAGGCAGGCATATGCGCGCACCTAGGTATTAACCTAGGTATTAACCTAGGTATATACGTGCACACCATGTACGACATGTACAACATACCTTCTGGCCGTCTTTAGGCCTTAGTTGTGGGGATCAGATCGTGAGGCAGGGGCAGTCGCAGGTGGGTTTCCACTGCCGACTGGATGACGCGGAAGGACGTAAACACACACGAGGCACACAGCCCCATCTCCCCCTTCAATACCGTACGTCCGATAATACGGTACGCTAGTCCCTCCCCGCCCTTCCATCCCCCGGCCCCCCTTTCCCCCTTGAAACCCCCAACCTTGGCAATCAGCAAGTGGTCCCCGGTGATCATCTTGACGTCCACACCGAACTCCAGCGCCCTCTCTATCGTCCGTTTGGTGTCGGGGCGGGGCGGGTCTAGGAAGGTCAGCAACCCCACCATGTGCCAGGGACCTGAGCGGGTGCGGGGGGAGAGAGGAGGGGGAAGAGATAAACCACGAGCGTGTGCAGCTGCTGCCAAGTGGGGAAAGAGTGCTGCGGCGGCGGATGTGGGGGAGGGGGAGGGACACGAGGGAACAACGGGGGCCCGATGGAGGGGGTGAGGGGAGGGGAGTAAGGAAGTGTGGTGGAGGGGCGGGTGGTGGAGGGGGTCGGGGGCAAGGAGGGAGACGGGTAGCAGGAGGGTAGTCCGGATCCCCCTGCCCCATAGCCCTCCTCCCCACCGTCGGGGCTGTCCGTCTGCGCGACCGCCAGGGCCCGTATGCCCCGCCTGCCCAGCGCCTTCACGTGGGCCTCAACTGCCTGCCGTACACCCTGTTGTTCGGCATCAGCGGGGTCCAGCAAACCCAGAATGATGTGGGGGGCTCCCTTGGATACCTGGGGGAAGGGGGTCACAGGGAAGGGGAAGGGCAAGGGGGGAATTGAGGGAGAGAAGGGGGGAAAGGTACGGGGAAATGAAGCTCCAAAACACTGTGGAGAGGTGGAGGGTTTGTCGTAAACCGGAAACAACGCACACGGGGACCCAATGCACACGGAGGAGCTCCAGGGCGAGCACTAGCACCACCGTCAGTTAAAACCGGCCGTACAACAAACACCGATGAAGAATCCTAAAACCTCCATGCAGACTATCGCAACATACCATACGTGTACACACACACACACAGAGCACGCACACACACCCGTTCCCCAACTCCCCCCTCTGCCCCAACCCCCAGCCCTCACCTTGAACATGCGGCCATCCGGGGCCCTGATGGTGGACTCGGTCCTCTTGCTTCGGGCATCAAAGGGCATGTAATCCAGCTGCTGGTGGCGCTCCAGGGAGGGCAGGTCAGCGGCCCCCAGCACCAGGGTGTCCAGGGCGTCCCGAGGGGGCTCCCGCCACTTGGCGGCCAAAGCGGCGGTCTGCAGAACCTGGTGCCGGTCCACTCCGGGCAGGTAGGTGGGGCACTCGTCCTGGCGGGCGAGGAGGAGGAGGGAGGGAAGGGGAGGGGGACAGCAAGGCACGCGGGAGGGGAGGAAGGCGGGAAATATAGCCAAAGCCGGGAGGAGGAAAACAAGAGCCAACAAACACATACATGCAAAAGAAAGAAGTGGGAGCAGGTTGTGGGAATCGACGGATCATGTGTGGGATGGCTCCAAGTGTTGGGGGGTGAGGAGCTACATGCAGGAAGCAGCAACGGACCAACTGTCAACACGTCCACACCACCTAACCGAACGAAGTTCGTTACATTGGATCCGAGCAAATCACCGGTAGCGGTCCCTCCCCCCCGCCCCCCGCTCCCCCCCTCCCCCCGCTCCCCCTTTTCATACTTTCCCCATTCTAACCTGGATCACCATCTTGTTGAGTGTGAGTGTGCCTGTCTTGTCCGAGCAGAGCATGTTCATCCCCGCCATATCCTCGATTGCAGCCAGGCGAGTCACGATGGCGCCATGCGCGGACAGCTCCCGGGAGCCCAGCGCCAGGGTGGTCGTACACACGATCTCGATAGCGATGGGAATGGAGGCCACCAGCAGCACCACAGTGAAGCTCAGGGCCTCTCTAAAGCCCGTGTGGCGGCCCAGCAGGTAGCCGAAGGCGGTGAGGCAGAGGGTGAGGGAGGTGAGGACGAGTACGGCCATGATAGTGAGCAGGATTTTCTGCAGGTGGCCCATCTCGTCACCGCCCTGCTGTAGCAGGTTGGCGGTCTTTCCGAAGAATGTGTTCCGCCCTGTGAACTGGTGGGGAGGTGGTCGTGGTGGTGGCGGTGGGTAGGATGGCGAGGGGGGGGAGGTGCGTGTCAGTGTCTGTGCTGAGGGTCGCGGGGAGGTACGGATTTGCGTGATGACGAGTACGACATCGTCTGTACGACACGTAACAACATCGCCGAGAACCGCTCCTCACTCTGGCATGTTGTTCCATTCGCTAGATCTGCCCACAGCATCTCTTCCGCCCCGAAACCCCCTCTGCCGTTCCCTCCACACTCTCCCCCACCCGACTGTAAGGTCTTGCTCACCTGCCTCCCGAACACCTCCTGTGCTGTTTCCCCCTCCTCTTCCTTCTCCGCCTCCCCCTCCCCTTCCCTCCCTTTCCCCCCTTTTTTTCCCTTTCCCTTTCACCTCCACGGTGGCCTCCGTCTCCCCCCGCACGACGGTGGAACCCATCTTGGCGCTGTCGCCCGCATTCATGGTGACGGGCAGGGACTCGCCCGTGAGCGCCGACTGGTCCACATCGATTGTTCCGTGGTTGATGAGGCAATCCGCTGGGACGTTGGAACCGGAACCCAGCAGTACCAGGTCTCCCGGTACCAGCAGCGCCGCGTCTAGGTTAACCCACTTGCCGTCACGTTTGGCTGTGGCTTGCGGCTTCAGGGAGGCCTTCAGGGCGGCCACCGCATTGCCGGCCTTGGTAGTCTCATACCTGGAGCAGGGGATTGGGATGTATTGGGAGGTCAATGCGGGAAAAGAATGCGGGAGAAGGAGAGGGGTATCGGTGGCGAGGGGGAGAGGGAGGAGGGGGTTTAGGTACGGGGTCGGCTGAGGGGACGTCTCACGGTGGGCAACCCCCAGTCGCCTTCACTTCGCCTCCCTCTCATACCCACTCACCCACATACATAAGTAGATGCACATACATACGTACATAACGCTCGCCCCCATTTTCATCACTTTGCATTCCTCCGGCAACGTTTCCAAAACCCCTCCCTTCCCTCGCCACCCCCACTACCACCCACTACCACCTACCATCCCAATGTCGCATTCACGAACTGTATCCCGAACAGAATGCCCATGTCCGCCCAGTTCTCAATGGCCGCCTCGATGATGGCCGCCAGCCAAATCATGATGGGCATGGGGGCGGTCAGCTGCAAGCGGGAGCGGATGGGGGCCGTCGTGATTCTATTGGTCGTATGTTGGTCGTACATTTCCGTACTTGGCTAGGCTGCTCGGTAGCCCTCCCCCTCACCCGGAGGCAATGTCACCCAACCACTACTAGTACACGCCACACCACACATACATAAACAAACACAGTCCTCGTCCACCTCCACGTGTTTCGCGGTGTCTCCCTTAAATCCATCTCCTCCACATACGTGTGTACACACAGACATACAGATGGACAGACACGCATTTCAGCATATTCGTACGTATACACGGGGTGCGTACATGTACAGACAGACAGACGACAGACAGACAGACGACAGACAGACGCGCACGCACCTGCTTCAAGTAGATGAGCCAGGAGGGGGTCACCTTCTCCTCCAGCTCGTTACGGCCCCACTGGGCCAGCAGGGCGGAGGCCGCTGTGAAGGGGGGGAGGGGTGTACATGCAACGAGGGGGGGAGGAGGAGGACGTCATGCGGTCTGGGGGGTCAGGTTGGTGGACAAACGGAAAGGGGGGAAACCGGGTGTGTGAAAAGGAGTTGGCTGCCTCAGCCTCCCCTCAGTGTCAGTCTCAGTCTGTCGCAACCCTAACCTAACGTCTGCCGCAACCCTAACCAACCGACCAACCAACCAACCAACCAACCAACCAACCAACACATCGAGACTGCCTTACCTACCTCACCGCTTACCTACCTACCTACCTACCTACCTTGCGAAGTGAGGCCTTCAGAGGGCGCGAAGCCCTTGCGCTCCCGGGACGCACCACCGCCTTCAACATCAAAGTCGTCGGGCCCACCCTGTTCGTGAAGCCCTGCAGGCGCCGCAATCCTGACTTGATTATTATTATTATCATTGTTGACATCATTACTTTGTTGTTTCTGGTGCTGTTGTGCATTTTCGGGCGCTGGGCCTGGGCCCCGCGCGCCCTGGTTCTCGGCGCCGCGACCTGTCGACATACTACCACTTGTTACGGGACGCTGCGAGGTTCAGCGTTCCAAGTTCTGCCTGGGCAAAGGCTATGCTGCGCGACCAAAGGTCACAAGAAGTTGGTGTCTATGTTTTGCTGCCGAAGCCGACGACGAGAGGAGGAGGAAGAAGAGAGTGCGTTTCGGGCGGCCGGGGCAAACGAAATGCACTTGCGTGCGCCTCTCCGTTAGGGCGCCCTTTGAAAAGCAATAGTCACTCTGTGCTGGCTTGATATGGGATCCACGGTGGTGAGGTGAAGAGCATCGATGAAGTTGCAGAGTTTCATGTGTGTGAAATCACACGGCGCCAGTTGTGCTTCATGAAGCCCTGCGGGCGTTCAAGTACTCGGAAGCGGCACTTCCTGCTGGCTGTGTCACCCGGCACCACGTAGCCCACATTTAGGAGGAAAGCGCAGCGAGAAAATGGTTTTGCGAAAACGGCTTCGCCGAGGAGTTGTTGTATGTTTGTATTTACGTCGGGTTGGATATTACGGCTGAGCTGTGGACGACGTGACAAAGGCGCCGCGACATCGCGATAGCCCCTTGGTGAAGAGTTGCATAACCCTTCACGACCCGTACACCCCGATGCGAATATCCTGAGGACAAATTTGGGACCCAAGACGACAAAACGCGTATGCATATCCCATACTCAAGGAAGAATGGCGCGGTAGCTGTATAGGAACCTAAAGTTCATACTCAGTATTGTGTTGAATGGGACCTAATGGAGCTGGGCAGCGCGCGGTGCATCTTTCACGAAGGCTTGCGAGTGACCCGTGGGTCGGTCAACGTCGGCACGCTACATCATAGCCAAATTACGGGGTTACCGTAAGAACTAAAGCGCCACGCATGCTGCAGGAATGTAGCCCCTGAGCCCGTTAGCCTCAGCAGCCCTTTGGGGCCCTTTGGGGGCAGCGAAGCGCGGCTTTTTGCAGCGTTAATGTTGTTTTCAGCATTTCTACTGGGCAATCATATCGATGGCCTCAAGAATTTAGTCGCGGCGTCCAACAGCTATCAAACTGCTGTCAAAAACGCCAAAGCGTCTTGGCGTCATCAGATCAACGCCAAAGTGCATAAATAAATGCAGCAAAGCAACTCGTATTGTCCGGTAATGCCCCGTGCGCTCTAGACTGCGTGGCCGCGTCAAATGCACCCGCGTTCAGCCGTACACGTCCGCCAGGAATGAGGACGGGCTCCCATCCCTCCTCCGACCACCGCATCGTCGTCATCACTGCCCTTGCCGTACTCGCCTGGACTGGCTGCTCACGGGAGAACACCCCGGTCCTGCCCTCCCCTCCTAAGTGCGGCCACTGCTCGTCGCCGCAGCCCTGCCCTGCAGATGCCTAACGTCATGGCGTCCCCCTGGCAAGGGATCTGCACGGCCGCCTCGGCGTCTCCGGATCCGTCACAGCCCGCCAGCAAGTCCTGGCTGCTCTCACGGCCTCAGCAAGCGCTGCCCGCTGGGCCCCCTCGCGGCCCTGGGCTGGACGGCGGTCAGCAGTGGTGAGGTACTGGCCGCACTGCACGCTACACCCGCCGACCGGGCCCTGGCGCAGATGGTATCCCGGCAGAGCTCTACCAGGGTTTTCCGTACATCTCGCTCCGCTGCTAGCCCGAGTTTTCGCTGCAGTGGGCCCCACATGGGAGGTGCCGTATGGTGTCATCCACGGGGCGGCGTCATCTCCTCCTTACCAAACCCGGCGACCGGACATGCCCAGCCAACTACCATCCCATCACTCTGCTCGACACGGATTACCAAACCCTGGCACGTGTGCTGGCCCGCCGCTTGCTTCGCCGGTCCTTGGAGTCACCTTGACTTGGAGCAAACCGCATTCCTTCACTCCCGCCGCATCGGTGATAACGTCTGGCTCCTGCAGCTCCTTTCGGAGCTACTCCGGGCGGAACAACACCCTGCACCTGCCTGGCGTCTGGAGTCTGTGTGCAGGAGTCTGTGTGCAGGAGTCTGTGTGCAGGAGTCTGTGTGCGTGTTTGGCTGGTATTGAGGGTACGCTCCCTGCCCCTCGTCTCGTCCTCGCACCCTGTCCGAGAGTCTGGGTGTACGCTTTGCCCCTTTGTTTGAAGGCCCCCTGGGCATTTGCGGTCCTCGGGTACTTGCGAATGCGCGGCTCCCTGCTTCTTAGGTTGGTTTAAAGTCAACCGCTTTAGCATGTATGGCTACTGATGCGGGTTGGTTCCCTGCCCCCCTTGTAATGATTGCATCCTAATTAGGCCGCCTCTTATTGATCGGAAGAATCCTGCATGGCTTTCTCGTTCGCTCTGCAACGTAGTTGCAGTGTCAGCCCTCCGGTAGGGTTGCTGCATTGCGTCCATCGGCGCCAGTGAAAGCATTCATTTCTGGTGCGGGTGTGCGTTGTAAGTTGCAACAGTGGTGCCTTCTTGAAAAGAGCCACCGTCTCGGCTCAATGCAAAACCCCATCACGAGCATCGCTTACTCTCCAGTAGCAATGGTCCATGGTTTAACATCGTCCTGCCCCACGTGTGTATGGCTGTAACCCATTACCGTGAACGGTTGCGATTAGGTGCCTCATCGCACAGGACAAGTACGAATAGAGTTGGCTTGGCTCCATGATGTACGACACTGACTGCTTCCAGGACTGCTCAACCCAGGCCTTTTAGCTTACCCTCTGCTAAGGGCTCCAGGTTTCCGTACCCTGCCGTACAGGTCGTGCTGCTTCCCGGCACGTCGTCAACCCTTGCCAGAAGGGCTGCATGGCGAGCTATTACACCATGATGCGAGCTCTGAACGATCAGAAAACAGACGCAGCACGATTTGCTGCTGCTTCGCTTTTGCACCTCCGTTACAACAGCACATCGCGCGCACACCGCAGCATGCGGTCCCCACAATCAGCAGCAGTCAGTTAACCGCACCGCACACAGCCCCATGGCTCGACTCCTCATCATTCATGCGCTCCGCGGTCCCCGTCTTCCAACGCTAATGCATGCCAAGCACCAATCGCATGGGGTCCGTTTACAGAAAAACACCAATTATCACCGCGCAGTATCCCGTCAGAAAGCATCAAGACCCTCCTTGTTGACCCTCCTCCACCACTTGGCGATTCCGACACCCGCTTGAAGTCCTATATAGGCCGCCTTGTGAGGGGCAGGTCTTCAGGCCTTCGGCAGACACCGAGCTCCCGCTGCTCTCCTCACTTTATCCTGCCCACAAGCCATATACTTGCTTACCACCACCACCACCACCACCACCAATAGCATGGTGACAGCATGACCTCCCTTTAGCGACCGATGCCGCTTCTCTTCCAAAACGCCTACACATCATCTCCCCCTATCTCCCGGCTTCTCCTACGCCCTACCGACAACCACCGCTGCTCAAGATCAAATTTCCTTTCAGTTGCCCGCTCCAGTCTCCACAACACCTCTTTTGGGGGTTGGCATGGGTGAGGTTGGCGGAGCGGTGTAGGACACCGCCGTACCCGAGGAAACTCAGCCAGTGCAGAGGTGGGGAGTGTAGGGGGGTAGGGAGGAGGAAAAGGTAGAGGTATTTTCCCAGATGCCCTCATGCCCTCAGCTCACCCGGGTTGGGATGAGAGAACTCACCGCACCTCTATGCACCCCCAACCCCCGCGGCATGTGGCCTGTTGTGTCTCCTTTTACATTTTCTTACGGTTCCCACAGCCCCTCATGACACCACCACATGACATTACCTCCCTCGCACCCGGTTCATCACAACGTGCCATATCGGGGATTGCGGTGGGTGTTAGGCTGCGTCCTGGAAAGGATGGTTGTACGGTCACCACCGTGCTGCTGGCATCCCTCGAGGCTCCGACTGCCATGACAATCGTCGCACCAGGACCTTGCTGGCACCTGGCACAGCCACGTCTGTTACCCCGGGGTAAAGGGGGCCGCCCCACCCTCCCTTCTGTATGTCAGAAAACACATGCACACATCCACTACATGGCGTGTGTGTGTGCCATTCTATTCAGTTAAGTCCTGCACACCGTCTCCGCTTCGCTATCCGCCACGTGGAACAAGCCGTAAACCCTCTTGTATCCTAAACCTCTGAAGTCCTCCCACTCCACCGCTACCACGCCCACACCCCACGCCGCAGCGACACAGACCATATGCTTCACGTCACCACCATCATACAGCGGCCGTCATGGAAGGTACTGCCAGCACCAGTACCTCCACCCCCGTATCGGCCGCTCATTAGTGTGCCCGCTCCGCCTACCTTACCTTTCCTTACCCTCCCCGAACCACTCCTGGCATCCCTCATCTCTTCACTCCAAGAGGCACACACACATAGACAACATGCTCCGTCCAGGTCGCTGTCCTCACCACCACTACTACTCTTCCTTGGACTCCCGGTCGATCTTGAGGATGGCCATGAAGGCCTCCTGGGGCACCTCCACCTTGCCCAGGGCCTTCATCCGCTTCTTTCCCTCCGCCTGAGGGCAGCGGGAGAGGGGAGTAGCCGTGCAGGGGGCAAGGTGCATTGAGCCATACGGGGAGAGGAAGGGGGGAGGCAGGCTGCCGGACACGGAACGCAAGGCGCAGCGCCATAACACGACGCAACGCAACCACGTGGTTGAAGGTGCCGCGCAGGTGGCCGTAGGGCAGCAGGGCGAGGACAGAGGAACCACATTACCCGCAGAGTGCAGCGGAGTGGCTGCAGTCCACACACGCGGTCTTCAGTGCAGCTGCCAAACGCGCGTTGGGAAAAGAGCAAAGCACCCCGACCCAACCACATGTTCCATTCCAGCACCCGCCCTGTTCCACCCAAATCCACACCTTCCCGACGGACCGCAGTGGGCGGCATAAACCATATTCCCACCTTTTCACAGCACACCTTAAGGCTCTCCGGGATAGAGGCCGTGCTTTCCCCACACACCCAGGTCCTCCGCACAGCCCACCTGCTTCTGCAGCAGCTTCTTCTTCCGGCTAATGTCCCCTCCGTAGCACTTAGCGAGCACGTCCTTGCGGTAGGGGGCAATGGCCTCACTGGCAACGACCTTGGTGCCGATACACGCCTGAATGGGGACCCTGTGTCGGATCAGATCAAGTGGGGTGGGGTTATGACGCGTCAGACACGGAGGGGGTCGAGCCGAGAGGTTGCAAATAGCTCGTGTGGCGCGACGAGATACCAAATCCGATGAGACTCGGTCATCATAGTGACGCACAATCCTTTTCTCCCTCCTCGCCCCCCTTGCAATATCCGTCTGTTCCTGTATCAGCTTCACTCGTCTGTGGTTCATCTTTACCCCCACCCTTGTGGAAGGCAGACACGGCTGATGAGCGAAACGTGGTAATGCCCTCGAACTCAGCTTCCTTAACCTCCTCAGTCCGTACACTGTACGTACGTACGTATGTATGTATGTAAGCCGACCCAAATAACCAAGACAGACAGGAGACAATATACAATGCAAGCGCCGCTGTGCTGCCTTAGCTGCTGCTTCTGCTTATGTCGGTTTAGTTGCAGGTCCTGGAGCTTTTGTGGTTGCTTGTATGTGTGTATGTGTGTATGTGTGTGTGGTATACGGTACATCACCGGGTTGTGGGGGGGGAGCTAAACTCCACAATCTCTCTCCACACGGGCCCCCTAGTAATTATGAAGCGCCTAACCTGAACATCTGCCGGGGAATGAGCTCCTTCAACTTGGAGGTCAGCTGGCGGCCCGTGCGGTAGGCGTTGTCGCGGTGGCAGATGACGGACAGCGGGTCGGCCGGCTCCCCGTTGATCTTCACCTCCAGCTTCACCAGGTCGTTCTCTCTACAGTGACACAGCGTAGGGGACACAATAACAAGGAGTGGCGGTGGCGCCGGTGGCGGCTGTGGTGAAAGGAATGAAATGGAGTTGGTACGGCTGAAGCACGGTGAGGCTCTTACAGCAGGGAGGAGACAGCAGCCAGAGCAGGCAGGCAAAGGGAGGGGGTCAAGGGTTGGGAACTGGGAAGTGGGGAAGGGAGACTGGCAGGCAAAAGAGGACGAGAGGCACCCACCTATGCCTCACACCGCCCACACATCAACAGCCTCTGAGCAGCAACCAGCACCCGTCCACGCACCACTTCCCCCCTCCCCTCCCCCCTTCCCTGCAGTACCCGCCGCCACAACCAGACGGGCACCGGGATAGGGCTTCCCCCCCCCCTTTCCCCCCACGTCCTTGCCTCAACCCTCGGCACCACTTCTTGAAAACTCCCTCCTGGAAGTTGTCTCCCGCCTGTAGCCCTCTCTTCCCCATCTACTCTACCTCCTGCGTCATTTCCCCCCTTCCCTACGGGATCAGTTGCGCCGTTTCTCCGGTGCGCCAGCAGTTCCTTCGTTGCTCTGGTGTAGAGAGAGTGTGTATGTGTGTGTTACGCCTCGGTTGTATGACCCAGAGAGTTATGACGAATGCCCGTACGAGCCAGCAGAGGCCCAAGAGCCTCCTTAGAGCCGCAAGCTAGAAGCTAGAAGCCACAAGCTAGTATTATAATTCATCCCCTCACGTCCCCTCGCACCTGTATCCCGTGATCTTGTACTCCATGCTGGCGTATCCCTTGGACCGGCTCTTGAGCTGATCGAAGTAGTCGGTGACCACCTCGGCCAGGGGGATGTTGAACACTAGGGTGGTGCGGCTGTCTGTCAGGTACCGCATCTCGACGAACTCGCCTGGAGAGGAGGGGATCGGAGGCGAAAATTACGCAGCGTAATAAAGATTGTCTAATTTTAGTAATGTTAGTAATGGGAGGGAGGCCCTGGGGAGGGGGTTTGACGGGGAGATCGTAAGGGGGGAAAGGAGGGGGAGGGGCCCGGAGGGGGGGGGAGAGAGGGAGAGAGGGGGTTATGTGGTGTAAGAACAAGCAAGAGTCAACTGCCCACCAACTTTCAAAGCATCAACTGCTGGAGGAAAGGATAGGGAGGGAGGGTTTCATGGCTCTGTCCCATAAGTCGTGGCTCTGATATGACCCCAACCCCACGCCAACTGGCAGCAGCTATTCAAAAGTCCGGGCCCTCTGGAAATGCGGGGTCAGTCGCAGCATTTACAGGAACTGTTTCATGCTCCTTTAGCTGTGTCCATTGCCGCTCCAGCTGCCATTTAGCCACAAGAACTGACCTCTTACATCTCACTTTTCCCCTCCTAAGAAACCAGAAAAGCAATGCCCAATGAACTCCCTAAGCCTCCCTACGGCTAGGTGTTGTCATCCTGAACCCGCACCTCTCCGCCCATTAGCCAGCTCCATGAGGTTGCCAACGTAATCAGTGGGGGTCACCATCTCCAGGCGGACGTACGGCTCGGATATCCATTCCCGCCGGGAAGCGTCGGGAAGGTCGGCAGGACTGCACGTTCGTGGCCAGGGACGACATGTACGACATGCGTATGACAACGCAGGCCAGCGGAGCGTAAGGAAAAGAGTCATGCAAACAATAAAAACATGTGGACAATCTTGATGGCGTTATGGGCTAGTGATCTCAGCTCGTCTATGGCACACACACATACACATACACACATACACACACACATAGTACATACACACACATACATACATACACACATATACATACACACACATACATACACACATATACATACAAACATACACACACACATACACACAACCACCGACCTGTTGACTTGAAACTCCTCGCCGTCAGTGGTCTTGCAGCGGTACACCACCGTGGGCGCCGTAGTGATCAGATCCAAGTTGTATTCGCGCTCAAGCCGCTCCTGGACAATCTCCATGTGCAGCAGACCCAGGAAGCCGCAACGGAAGCCAAAGCCCATGGCGTTGTTCACCTCGGGCTCGAACTTGAGCGCCGCGTCGTTCAGCTGCAGCTTCTCAAGAGCCTCGCGAAGGTCCTGATCAAGCAACAAGAACCAAGGACCAACGTTGAAAAACACCCCCTTCACCATCAAGATCACACCTAACCACCCACACCCTCATCCTCATCCAGCTTTCGCTGCTGCTCCTCCTCAGCCTCCCAGCACAGCCTCCCAGCACCGCCCACCATCCACGCACGGTGTGGGGACACCCCTAACACCCTGCCCACGCCGCCCACCTGGTAGTCGTCGGTGTCCGTGGGGAACAGTCCGCAGTACACCATGGGCTGAATGTCCTGGTATCCAGGGAGGGGGGTGGCGGCGGGCTGCTTCTTCTGGGTCACCGTGTCGCCCACTCGGGCGTCCTGCACGGACTTGATCTGGGCGGCCAGGTAGCCCACCTCGCCGCAGTACAGGGTATCCACCTGAGGAGGGTTGTGTGTGTGTGTGTGTGTGTGTGGAGGGGAGAGGAGGAGGCATATTAAGGGAGGCCGGGCAGGAGCGAGGGCGAGGGAGGGACGGGTTGAATGGCGGTGAGGGGGAACAGGAAAAAGCTGCCGATTCAGAAAGTGGTGCCCCCAGCCAATTGATAATAAACAGGAGGCGAGTGAAGGGAGCAGCGGCTTGCCTTTCGAAACCATCCGTACAGGTGTACGGCATGCGATATCACCATTGTTATAAACCAGCAGGGTGCATACGGGGCGTCCGCATGGCAGGCAGGAAAGGAGGAGTGCATGGCGGGGGCTTGCGGCGGCCCACCCCACACGTCGTTCAATAGGTCAAGCGAGGGCCTGTGATGGTGGTGGCGGCCGCAGTTGCATCCTCACCTGCACCTTGTGCGGTGCCAGCACCCCGATCTCGTCCAGTTGGTACTCCTTGCCCGTGTTCATCATTTGAACGACGTCGCCGCGGGAAACCTTACCATCCATCACCTGCCATGGGAAGCGCACAAACACCGACATACATACATGCATACACTTCCAACGTACACAACATACTACTTTCCAACGAACACAAGTAAAAGCCCATTACTACACACCAGTCCTGGATGTTTCCTATTCACACTTCCCGCCATTCCGCACGCGCCGCCAAACCGCGAGGTCCCCGTCTGCGTCCTAGAAGCCCCTTTCCCCGCCCAAACACCCCCGCCGCACCCACCCAACACCTAACCCCGCAACCACAACCCCGCACGGGCCCCCCTGCCCCAGCTCAAAGAACCCCGGGCGCACTGTCCCCCTCGTCCCCCCCCCGCTCCACCTTGAACTGGCACACCACCCCCCGGTATGGGTCGTAGTAGCTGTCGAATATGAGCGCCCTGAGGGGGTCAGCGGTGGTGTTCCTGGGTGCGGGAACACGCGACACAATGGCCTCCAACGTCTCCTCGATGCCGATACCCATCTTGGCCGAAACCTTGAGGATGTTGGAGCAGTCCAAACCGATGATGTCCTCGATTTCGCGAACGACCCGATCTGGGTCAGCGCCTAACCAGGGTGTTGGGAGGGGTACAGCGAGGGGAGGAGAGGTAGGAGAAGGGGCGGGTGGAAATGTGTGGGATGGGGTGGCGTATGTGTGTGTGTGTGTGCGCACGTATGTGTTTTTCGTGTGCGAGAAGGGAAGTCGGGGAGGGGGTGAGGGAGTTACGGAAGCGGAAGGCAGTTTTGAAGGTGAGCGCTGCAAAGGATGAGGAGGGAGAGGACGGAGGCAGCCCCGTCAGAGCCCCACCAACATGGCCCCGTTTCCACTCCCCTCACCTGCCCACCTGCCACCTGCTTAACCCAGCCCTTAGGCCTCCCTCTCCCCACACGCACCCACCCGGCAGGTCGATCTTGTTCAATACGGGTATGACCTCCAAATCGTTCTCCAGGGCCAGCCACACATTGGCCAGTGTCTGCGCCTCCACCCCCTGGCTGGCATCCACAACCAGCAGCGCGCCCTCGCAGGCGGCCAGGGAACGAGATACCTAGGGGGCGGGGAGGGTGGTTGGGTCGGGTAAGGCGAGGAAGGGGACCCAGAGAAATCTGCCTTGACCCCAACCCGAAAAGGCAGACCGAGAGAGTGGGAAACAGGAGCCGAGTGGGAGCCCCCTGGCATCGTGGTCGTGGCGGCAAATGGAAACGGAATGCACGAACCATCATCGCCATCGCCATCATCATGTACCAACATCGTCCTCATCCCCATCTGGTGGTGGTGTTGCCGCAGAGGGCCCCCAAGCGGGGTGGATCAGTTACTCGGGTACCGTGCGAGCACGCCGGCCCAGCAGCCATACGGCTTCTTACCTCATATGTGAAGTCCACGTGTCCGGGGGTGTCAATGAGGTTCAGCGCGTACAGCTCGCCGTCCCGCTTGCTGCGGTACTTCATACGCGCAGTGTTGAGTTTGATGGTGATGCCTCGCTCGCGTTCAATTTCGTTGCTGTCCATGAATTGCTCCTGAAGAAAGGTGGACATGGAGATAGAGAAATCGACGGGCAATGGCAGGTGTTGCGGTAAGGGGGTGATTTGGGTTGGGTTCCTCAAATGCAAAAGTGGGGCAAGGCAAGGAAGCAAGCTGTTCGGTAGCGGGAAGGGGGTTGTGGCCCTAAGTCCACAAGGCTCCTAGATGGTGGGTGGGGTGCTGGTGGCTGGGAACCAAAAGGCGGGATGGCCGGAATCCCCCTCCACCTGGGACACCGCCATTCACCCACCTCCCCAATGCGACCCGGGTACTCAGGGGAGAAAGACATGCTCAGCACGGGCGGGCGGCGGGAAGAGGCCGCGGCCTGGCACACACAGTAGCACACAGCCCAGCCAAACCCAGCACTGCCACACAAACTTATTCACACACATACATACACACGCACACACCCCTGACCATGAGTGGAATGCATCGGGTCGTCTGGTAAGCCGAGAGAGTGATGCAGTGCGGTAAAGGGGCTCGGGGTAACCGGTGATACACGTGACAGCGCTGAAGCCCTTTCCCCATTGCTTTCGCTCCCCAGGTATTCACGGTCACGGCGCCGGGCGCTGTCCCCAGCTGCAAGCTGGCGCTACCAGAGGACAGATCCCATTTGGGTCGGCGGGATTCCACTCTATCAGGAGCGGAGGGTCCTAGTGAGGGCTGAAATTGAGGATTTGCGCAACCCCGACACGTCCTGTGTATGGGGGTTGCAAAGGGTAGAGGTTCCCCTATGCAGTCCTGCCTTGCTCTGATGATGTCGCTGATATTTAGGCAGCCACGGGCCATGGCGAATGACGGTGAGGCGGATGGCTGTTGTTGCTGCCTCAAATTTGCACTACCGGGGTCTTGCGGGTTGGGCAGTAGCAGCCGGTTGGCTGCGTGGAAGCCTTGATAGCTCTGCCAACAGGTTGATAAGACGCATGTCAGCACGAGCCGCCCTCCCGCAGCATGTTCTATCACCCAAAGAATAGTCTCTGTAGCCCGGCGAGCTCAGCCCCCTTAACATGCATTCCGTCCCTGCCATCGCCAGCGGTCTTACCACCATGTCACGCGCGGCCACTGTCCCCGTCTTCAACAACAGCTGGTCGGCCAACGTGGACTTTCCATGGTCAATATGTGCGATGATGGAGAAGTTCCGAATGCGTTCAACAGGCACCTGCCCGGTCCAGAATGAACGCGCCAAGTTAACCAGGCGAATATGGCGATGTGCTTGCACAACCTCGAGCGACGTGTGGAAAACCGACCCAGATGAATGAATTTGCCCATAGGATTATCCAAAGCATAACTTTGAACCTTGCCTTTGCAACTGCGCCATCTGCGTATGTGCTGCCAGGTCCACCCTTCTCTAGCTCAAGCTCGGGCGCCGTCACAGCGCTTGCACAAGAAACAAAGCGTTGCTGCTGTTCACGATATGCCACATGAAGTGTTTTAGGGCAACGAACAGGTTGTAGACAAGAGCGAAATAACGGGAGAGCGTTTACAGGAGCGACAGGCGTCCTAGTGCTGCGGCCCAACAGGCCGCAGCGGCCCTGTTGTTGAGCAAGAGGACAGGACATGTCCAACAATATAAAAAGATTAGTAAAACGTGAGGAAATAGGTTTTCGCCTCTTCGGTTTACATGGCTCTTGCCGTGCCACAAGCTTCACATCCAACCACCACAACGTACTCTCCTCCACACAACCAGTCTGAATGCAAAAGCGATTCCACACATAGTCCACGCCAAAACACATAAGTCTAACGGTTAATACTATGCGTCGTAAAAACGTCGTCCCAATAGGGATGCAGTCCCAACCGTGTCATAGCCAGTTATCGTGAATCAGACGAAGTCGAGGACCCACTGGAGGACGACGACGTCGATGAAGAGCTCCTGCTCGGACTGCTGCTCGTTGACCGGTCCGAGCTGCTGCTACGCCCGCGAGCAGGCCGCCGTGCAGGCGACGGTACGCGTCCACCCTGCGTGGACGGAGCGGCACCGACTCAGTTGCAAGAAGACCTCGATAGCCGCTATCTCATTGAATTCGGAATCCCATCGACAGGACCACGTACATGAAGCAGAGAGAACAACCAACCCCAACCTACCCTCGGTCCAACCGCCGGCGAGCGCGACCGTGATCGTGATGACAGCGGCCGCCGCCTTCCTCCCCCCGGTGAGGACCTGCGCGGCGGGCTGCGGCTGCGACGCGGCGGAGACCTTCGCCGCAGCGGTGAAGCTCCCCGTCGCTGCGGCGGCGAGAGGGGCCGCCTGCCCCCTTGGTAGCCGCGCGGCGGAGGACTGCGGCTGCGCGGCCTGCAAGGGGACGTGAGGAGTAAGACACGGCCAGTTACGATCAAACCACTTCACGGATGACAAACCATCCTCATATCTGGGTGCTACACTAACTAGGAATAACCCTCGCAGGGGGGCACAGGCTCGCGGCCAAGTTAACGAACGGATGGCCACCCATATCCACGTCGAGCCGATATTAACTTCTCTGCCCTTGTGCCCTGAGACTAAAACACAGCAACATACCTTCGGACCGGCGAACCCCTGCGCGGCGGCGACGGTGATCGGCCGGCACCCGGCCGGTTTGGCGGCGAGCGGCGCCTGGGCGGGCTCGGGCCCCTGCGAGGTGGGCTGACACCGCCCCTGCGAGGTGGGCTCACGCCGCCCCGACGCGGTGGGCTCGGGCCGCCCCTGCGTGGCGGACTAACCCCACGCCGAGGAGGGCTGGGCCCACGGCGCGGCGGACTGATGCCACCTCGACGTGGTGGACTAGCGCCGCCACGCCGTGGCGGACTGAGCCCCCTACGGGGAGGGCTTACTCCCCGACGCGGCGGGCTCAGCGCCCTCCGAGGCGGGCTCATTCCCCGGCGTGGGGGGCTGGGCCCGCCGCGGCGGGGCGGACTGCCACCACGCCGTGGTGGAGACGGCCCACGCCCCGGTGGCGGCGGAAGTGGCGGCGGTGGCGGCGAGCGTTTCTTCGGGAGGATAACAAAGTTTACCCTGCATGGCAAGGCAGTTTGTGAGCCTAGCTGAAGAATGGAAATCGACAAATCGCTCAAAATAGGACACTGACTTTCCTTCAGAAATTACGTCTTGAGCTATAGGACAAGACATGTGCAGGGGTTTACAGTGAACAGGGCCCCGGCCGAACCGGAATTAGTGGCAGCACACACGAGCAATGCCCACCAAACTAATTACCGTAGCAGTCCAGTTCTCCAACAACGCTTATCCCAGAGGCCCAGTGAGACAAAGAAAAGCGCCCTTAGGACACCTGACCTCCGCATACCTGACCGCATTGCCGTCGATTTGTCCATTATTCATGAAATCCAGCGCACGCTCCGCATCCTCGTGGCTTTCGTATTCCACGTGAGCAAAGCCACGCGGCAAGTTAACGGCCCGGTCCATCGCCAGTTCAACGGATTTGAGCACGCCATAACAGCTGAAAATCTCCCGAATGTGGTCTTCTGTTACGTTGCGAGTCAAGTTGCCCACCACCAGGCGTGTGGCGCCTCCGTCAGCGCCAACCTCCTGTCGACACGTTCAACAACACACGGCGCTCGTTGTGCGGATGCAAAAGCTTCCCTTAGTCTGCTGGACGGATTCTGCGCATCCCATGTAGTCTGACCAAAAGCAGAAACACAGCCAACGCCCCTCTCTAGTAGACAAGAAGAAGCAACGCAGGGTTCAGACATGTTCCCGCATTCGCCCAGGGAGGACGGCCGCCCATCGCGTGGGGCAAAACCCGAGTTTCACCATATCAGCCCGGCAACGCGACGCCAGCCCAACGTCGTATTAGAAGATACCCTCATATGACATCATATAAGACTCCACCTTTGCTGGTTTGGGGCTCTGCGGGCGATCCCCATTCGCCTTGGCGTCTTTGCCGTCGCGGCTGGGGCCCCTCCCGCGAGGCGACCGTGACCGGCTTGGGCTGCGTGCATCAGTACCATAGGCCGGCAGAAACGAAAGTTCAACCCCTCAGTCCTCAGCTAACAAACTCAGCAAACTTCGTGCACAAGCAAGGCGAGATCACCTGGACCCAGAACTATGGGAACCACTGGAACGACTGCTGCTCCCGCTACTACGGCTCCCACTACTGTCGCTGGAACTCGAGCTGCCAGAAGTCGATGAACTCCCACGGGACCGTGAAGGGCTAGCCATGCCGCGCTGTTTGTACCGGGACCGGCGGCTGCCGTCAGAAGGAGTAGGATAAGCAGGTCAAGAGTGCTCGCTGTGGTTAATGCAAATAGAAGTCAGATGGCAACAAGCGCGATAGTCGCCATAAGCAAAAACTGGTGTGCAAACCACTGTGGAAATCCAATGTAAAACTACCATCCCCGCCCAAAGAATGTATAATTTGATATGTGACAGTGTAATGTTTTCGGGCGCTCTTCTTGTAAGTACGGCGCTGGGGGCCAATTGTTCCCAGACAGGATTTTCCGAGCTGCAAGTAGAATGCTTAGTGGCTTGCCCATATGTTACTTTCAAACAGATGGAAAGGTTCTATTTAATCCAGCATCTCGGTAGTCTCCGACACGGGCTCCGTGTTGCATCGTGAGCATCTCCTTATTGGGGCAGGCATTTGGACAGTAGTATGGAGCGTGCCTTGACTGGCCTCACGGCCAGGCTCACCTCCAGGAAGAGTACAAAGGACCTTGCCACGCTCGCCACGGGAAAGTGAGAACCCTCTGACTCCTCTTACCTAGGAGGCAATTTTCGATGCTCGACAAATCGTTCCCTTAAAATGTAGAGAATGGCCTACCGACGCAAGCGCATTTAAAATCCTGGACGACTGCGGTCGAGGCGTCAGCGCCACTGTGAGCTTCAATCGACGAACCGCTGCGAGTTGCGTCCTGTGTTATTTTACATAATTTATATCTACTCGTTCCTCAGGTTCACCGGGCAATATGCCTGGACAACGGAGCCGAAGTGGCGGTGAAGTTAATGAACCTGGAAAGCATGAACTGCGACCTGGTGCGCACAGCTGCGACGGTGCACATAATGGTCCCCTGAGTTCCGTGCTTATATTATCCGCAATAACCTGACGTGCGCAGGAGGAGATTATCCACGAGGCTCAAACAATGCGGAAGTACAACCACCCCAATATACTACCTCTTTACTGCTCGTTCGTCCACGAGCAGGAGCTGTGGATGGTAATGCCGTTCGTCGCAGGGGGCTCGGTGCTGCACATTATGAAGTACGGCCATCCGGAGGTGCGGGGGATAATAGACCATTCATGCCCGTGTGTGCGTGTGTGTTTTGGGAGTTGGGCAAAGCGGAGGGAACTCCAGGGGAAGTGGTTGGCCCTGCAATCTTTTTTCCTTGTCCTTCCAGGGCCTCAACGAAACTATTATTGCTACCATTGGCCGCGAGGTCTTGAAAGGTCTTGACTACGTACACAAAAACGGCAGCATCCACCGCGACGTGAAGGTGAGCATCCTGTCGCACGGAAGGAGCGCACACAGCCCAGCATCAACGTCGCATATATTGCCTATGTGCACAGGCGGGAAACATTCTGGTCGACGGCGATGGGAACGTTAAGCTGGGGGACTTCGGCGTCGCAGCCAGTCTGGAACGTGGTGGCTCGTGGGGCCATGACAAACAGGCGCGCATGACATTTGTGGGGACACCTTGCTGGATGGCGCCGGAGGTGATGGAGCAGACGTCCGGGTGAGTTCTTGGTAAAAAGCTCGTCCAATTATGGTTGGTGCCGTGTGAGAAGCGTGTGGGCGAGTCCGCAACGTTGAGCATGGGGACGCGGCCGCGGGTGCTGCCGCAGGTATGACTTCTCGGCCGACATTTGGTCGTTCGGCATCACGCTGTTGGAGATGTGCCACGGGCACGCGCCCTTCGCAAAGTTCCCGCCGATGAAGGTGTTGCTGATGACGTTGCAAAACCCCGCGCCCACGTTGGAGGATAAGGGACAGAAGCACTTCTCAAAGGTCTGTCTCTGCGTTGGCGGGCGGTCCGTTGTGGCTGCTGGAGCCTAAGCTGCCTGAGTTATGATGATATGCAGCAATCGCGTAGAGCGCAAGTGCCGACACATGCCTCATGGTGTTGGCGTCCCATTAAGTCGTGTGCGGGTGAATCCGCATTACTGGCTGTCAGCCTTCATGTTACCTCCTGCGGCATTGGAGGCTACAGGCAGATGCACCAATAAATGAACTTGACGTGTCCTGGCCAATTCCTGGCCAGGACTGAATGCCAGTATCGTGTCCCCCTAGTGAAGTTGCCCTGACGCTGAGACTGCCGTAGGGGGCCTCTCTGGCCCAGTACATGTTTAGCACCCGGTAAGTTTTGCGCACCTCTCGTGTTTATACCACTGCCGTGGCCCCCATGCCAACAATGCCACTTTTGCAGGCGCTGAAGGACCTCGTGACGCGTTGTTTGCAAAAGGAGAAGGACAAGCGCCCCACGGCAGCGCAGCTGCTTGAGCACAGGTTTTTCAAGGTGCGACTCGGGGCAACGCTGGGATGGAGAGGACTGTCGCGCGGCGGGAGGCTGCACGTATGCCATCCATTCGCAGCTGTGGCGCACTGTGCCTAAGCTTACTCCTTTTTTTCTGTACCGGTCCCAGATCGCCAAGGACGCCAAGTATTTGAAAGACAACCTCGTGGGAGAGCTCCCACCCTTGTCGGACCGTGTGAACCGAATCCGGACGGGCATGGCTGCTACCAACAAACAGGACAATGACCGCAATTTGGAGAAATCGCAGGTGCGCGGTTAATCCGTGGGAAGACAGGGTGAAGGGGTATTGGCTCGGGTGGTGGAGGACAGGGGACGCTGCGCACCTAACGATTCTTGAGTTCGGCTGTATTCAATTGTTTACTTATATATTATATATTAGTTATTTATATTAATTATTAGTTATTTATATATTAGTTATTTATATTAATTAAACAAAAAATTAGTCAACTTTGTTTCTCCACGCTCATGGTTAGCTTGTTCTCATTTCTGTTTAGGAAGAAGATGAGTTCCCCCTTCGGTTCCCCTTTAGGGGATGAAGAAGATGAACTAAAGGGGTGTTCCCCTTCGAAGAAAGGGGTGTTCCCCTTCTTCTTCTTCTTCTTCTTCTTCCCCGTCTTCTTCCCCGTCGTCTTCCCCTTCGGGGGGGAACAAAAAGGGTAACCCTTTGGGTCACATGTTTTATTGCATTGGAGGCTGGGCTAGCAGGGCCAGCTGTTGACGCTGGTTAGCCTCTGCGCATATGCACGTTTGGCAGGAGGAGTATCGGAAGGGCGTCAGCTCCTGGAATTTCGATCTGGCGGCGCTGAAGGCGCAAGCCGCACTGGAACCTGACGACGAGACCACGCACGGCGCTAACATGTTACCAACTATTACGGAAAGCGACGAGCGGGAGGAAACTATGACGGGCACCTCGGCGGCCGTGGCGACTCCTGTCGAGGCGGAACGGACGGCGCCCCAACCTACGGGGGCTGTGGCTGGGCCGTACACGTCTACGTCTACGGCGTCTGTCTTTGGTGAGGCGTTGTGTCGCGGTTTCTTTCGATTGGCGCAATTTCGCTTGGTTGTGAGAGTAGTTCTATGGTGATGTGGATGTGGATGAGGCTTGATGGGATGTACGGCTTGGCGGGGAAACGGGTCTACATATGGCAAAGGAGACCAGGCCAGCGGGGTGACAAGTAACATCTGCCTCTTAACCAAAAAACACACAATTGCGGGACGGAGTTGATAATATACGGGGGCCCGTCTCGAAATTTATTACATCCTGACTGAGTTTGTCAGCGTGTCGCATCAGGTGTAGCGGTGCAGGATCTTGAAAACTTCGGTGGGCAGCGTTGTGGGGCTCGTTCGGTCTTCTGACGCCGCGCTTGCGCCATATAGGACCGCAACGCTACGGAGCATTGTGGTAAGCCTTGGATTTCCCACGCGTCCTCCCGCCTGCGCAGCAACGATGAACGGTCAAGATGCCACGCTTAGGACCAACGCCATCGTGCCGTTGCTCACATCGGCGGCCTCGGATGGTGCGTGTTGTCGGGTGCGAATAGCAGTTCGGACACACTAGATTCAGGCAATTTAAGACGCGAATGGGAGCTTGCATCGGTACAGGGGCGAACTTTGGGAACACAACGGTATGAGCACACACACACCTGTTTCAACATGGGCACTGCAATCCTGAGTTTCTTGGGAGGGTAGCGCATTTCATCATATGGCGCGCACCATTTCTATTACAGTACTAAACTTCGTGTAGGGCTGGCGGGAGTTGTCATGGGAGGATCTGGTTAGTTGAGTTGCGTCAGCGCGCCACCGTTTTTATGTCGCTGTGCTGTGTTGGGTGGGGGCTGGTGTTCCGTTTTGTCCGTGATGTCGCGTAACACGCCGTTGGTTTGCTCATTGCGACAGGCGCCCCGCCACAGGACCAGGCAGGGGTCAGCGCAGGGCCCAGCGCAGAGCGCTGCAACACCCAGGGGGAACTGCCGCCCCCTTCGCCAGGCGGTGGCGTCAGCCCGGCCACGGGACTGAGCCGAGAAGGCAGCCTGGGAGGCAACCTCGCGGACGCTCGCGCAGGGCAAGCGGCGACACCCACGGGTGGCGTGTTGAAGCAGAAGAAGGTAAGTTCAGTCGTTGGGACAAGGAATCGGGGTTCGGAAGTGGCCCCTTGTTGGTCGCCGCATCGCATGCTGCACCATGCGTTGACCTGGTTGCGGGGGGTTAGGCCAGCGGGAGGTGACGCAGCCAACGGCTATGCTGCCTGCGAAAAACGAACACCGGACAGGTTGTGTGGTCTCTAGCTGTTTCCGCAGAAACTTAGAAACTGAAGTACGTGCTCGAGGCGGAAGGTGCATGGCCTCGGTGTACACGCCTCTGGGGCCTGCGTTGCCGGTATTCAGAATCAAGGCGAACTTGCCACTCCCGGGCAGCGATTCGTGAAGCTTATACCCAAAGATTACATGCCTTTAACGGTGGTTGCCTCCTTTTCGCTAGGGCCGCTTTGAGGTCAGCGTGCACGCGGATGTGCCAGCATCATCAGCAGCGTCGGCAGCAGCGCAAGCGCTGGCACAGGTACCTACGATGCCGGCGTCTGTTCCGCTTGCCGCAGCTCATCCGTCGGTTCAGCTGGCCCATGCGCCGAACAGCATCGGCAGCAACACCTTGGCGTCTATGTCGACTGGCAGCGGGGTGCTCATATCGGGCGGCACAGTGCCGGACCTGCAATTGTTACGGGGTTCGACACCGGGGCTTGATGCGGCGTCAGAGTCGCGTGACGAGTTCCCGGGGACACTGCTACCGGCGAAGACAGAGGTGGAGGAGTCGGTGACAAGCGTGGAACCAAAGCAGCGCGGCAGGTTCAAGATCGTGGCGGAGCAAGGGACGACCTCGGACGTAGGTTTCGGGTGCCTGCGACCCACCGGGTTAGCCGCAAAGCACGCAGGCAGGGGAGTGTTCGGGAGGGCAAGTTGGTGCCCTTTCTGGAGTACCGCATGTCGCACGCTCGCTTGCGGCCGCAGCTAGCCTGGTTTGTGCTCGCTTGGTGCGTTAGTTGATGAAATTAATTGGATTTACAATACACAGCGATGCAAGCGGGAAAAAGGCTTACATGCTTCACCAAGATTTGTTGCTCTGCTCTGCAGTGGCTTCCCTGACCTCGTTAGTTTTCACTCCGCATCCAGTGCCTGGTGAAACCCTTCGTCGCCCTCTCCTTTTGCTGCCTATCCTCCCGCAGTCGCGGCCCCTGTCAAAAGCCTCCTCCATGGCCAACTTGAGCGACTCGAATAAAGATCCCAGCAAGCAGCGCAGCGACGGGGGGAATCTTTCGGGTAAGCCACCCACGGCGCCCACCTCCATGACCACGTCAGTCTCGGTGGTCCTGCCCAAGCTGCAAGAGCTGATGGACCACGCGTCCGCGCATCAGGCGGCGCTCCAGGTGAGGCACGTGCCAGAGGACGCGATGAGGCGGGATACTCGTCTTGGCAACGCCACTGCATTCTGCCTGGCCGTTTGTAATGCCCCTCTCTGGGCTTCTTGCTCCTGGTACCAGCGGAGTGAATGGGCCTTAACTCCAGCTGAGGCTCACCAGGTGCATGGGGCATGCGGCACCGCTGATCTATAACGCCCAAGGACAATGCCAAGTAGCAGCATCTCAATGTCATGCTACCCGCAACCGATGTTGACCCGCAGAAGCTGATTGGGGCAGTACAGGAGTGCGAGAAGGGCCGGGTGCCGCTTCTGCTGTCCCGTACGCAATCCACTAAATCGCTCTTCGAGACGAGTCCTTCGGAGGCCGCGGACGACCTGCGGCTACAAGTGGTGGAGCTCCGGGCCAAGGTGTGCGGGCCCATAACACGTCCTCATGTTGCAGGCCACGCTGTCCGGGCCTTGCGTTTTTCCTTTGTGGCGCCTGTTGTTTCCTTGTGCTGTGTGAATTCCTTCTTTTAATACTGAAGGCACGCGAAGGCACTCAGTGGACTTCTTCATAAAGGACGTTCTTCTGCATTCGCCTTTACCCGCAGCTTTCCGCGTTGGAAGATGAGAACACACGGCTGCGGGAGCGGAACAAGGTGCTGGAAACCTTGCATAGCGCAGCGCATACGGTGCGGTTCACGTTGCCGGCGGAGGCGGCCTCGGCTCCAGGAGGGGGAGCCACGAGCCCGAAGTTCGAAGGGGCACCGACCCAGCAACAGCTGGCAACCTCGCAACCGTCGTTAGCGTAAGCAGACGCAAGCGGGTCAGAACTCTGCGCCGTCTTGTACTTATCGGGTTTTGAGCTGAAGTGACAGATGAGCGACGCCCACGTCTGGGCTCCTGAAAAGAGGCGCTCTTGCGAGAATCCCTTGTGCGCCGGGTGTGAGGTGTGCGACTGCCAGGACTTTGGTTCAGGGTACTGGATGATCAGACTGTGTGTAGCTGTACACTAGTGCGCTTGCGCTTGGACGAGCATCGCGTCGTGGGTAAGAGGGTGCTTTTAGTTGCGCTTGCCGTTTACTAGCAGCTGTCCGAAAAGGCTTTTAACACTAGGATGACGGCGATATGGTTAAGCGATGCGAAAACTGAGGACTTTGCGGAGTGGGGGAGTTTCGCGTGCATGGAGGATTCGTGAATTCTACATATTCAGTGGAGCGTGCGCATCAATATTGCAAATTCCGCTCTTTTGCGGCGAACATTCAACATTCAAATACTTTCTAACCAGCGCCAATGCAGCTCCCAACCACCGCATCCAACCACCGCACGTTTCGACAGAACCTTCTGTGCAACCCTTCATGCAGCAGAGCGATCCAATACATTCGTCGCAAACGTATGGCGTAAAAATTGCGCAAATAGCGGACGCAGCCCAAGAACCTCCTAACGCACATCATTCCCCCCAAGACGTGGCTGTCCTCTATGCTGTTCGCGGCTGTCCCACGATGCTCGTATATGTCTCCTCACGCCCGGCCGCCGCCCAATACTCGTCTAGTTTGCCGTCCAGCTTGGCCTTACGGTATGCCCGGCGGTCCGCCTCCATGGGGTCCAGCCGATCCTTGACCGCCTGCAGCGCCTGTGGGTCCACATCCCCTGGCCGCCCGCCGGAGCGCTCGAAGTAGCGAAGCGCGTAGGCCTTGTGGAAGAGGTCCTTCTCGCTCTCTGACAGCTTGTACCTGTACCGAGATGGAACAGCACGTAAGATTTGGCAAAGGAAGAGGCCAACTTGGCACACAAACAAATGATCCGGCCGACTTAAGCCGTGTTAGTGGCACGAAACTATGGATGGGTGAGACATCCCAGAGCCTCCTGTGAAGTCCCTTACTGCGAGCCATGCTACAGCCAGCAAAACCCTTAGAAAGGGCTAAGTGTCCCGCCCATTGTGTGTTGAGGCTCTGGAGCGCGGGTTCTGCAAGTTTCGGCCGCCCCAAGGACACAGTAGCTCTCTAGTGACCAACGGGTCCAATCCCCACTTGAGCTTACTTGAGCTGTGCAAACGAGTAAGCTGCCTCCAACGGTGTGTAATTCTGCAGCACTTCGTAAACCTTAGATGTGCTCTCCTCTGCCTCCTCATCGCCGGGCAGCGTCCAGCCAAGGACGTGACGTTCAAACCATTCGATTAGTTCGAAAAACTTGCCCACCACACGCTCGCCAGCCTGCTGTGGGGCGCCAACGGCTACTAGGAGCTCTGTTTGCACAAACCAATTCAACGACCTGCGAGCGCACGCAGCGCAAAAGAATTTGCCGACTTCGATGGGCGGAGGTTGCGACATAAGCGCGATGAAAAAGGCCGTACCTATGCAGAAAGCTCGAAAATGCGAGAAATAAGCCAAGATTTGTGATCAGTACCCACGTCCCTCGCATCAGCTCCAGGAATTCTTCCTGGATAGGCTGCTCGCCACCCGGCTGGTCCGCACCGCCGCCCGAAAAAAAGCCTCCTCCACCGCCACCACCTCCACCACCACCTCCTCCTGGAGCTCCGCCTGATCCGCCCGCACCGCCAAACATGTTCTGCAGCGGATTCTTCGGCTGCTGGCTGGCAGGCTTGGGCGGCTCGACAGGCTTCGCTGCCTTCTTGCTTGCATCTGGACCTTTCTTCTTTTGCCCAAACGATTGCTGCAAAAACGTCGAATCAAATTTCAGCGCAATTGGCCACAATTTGATTAATCGCGAGAGCACGAGTTAGAGCCGCACCTCTAGAGCTCTGCGCGCAGCATCCTCCTTATCCTTGCCACCTTTGTTTCCCAATGGATTCCAGTTTGCAATGGGTACGAGATGCCTCCGGCTGAACGCTGCTTGAACAAGTGTCCCTGCGCAGCTTCGGCAGTTCCCAAAGGGCTGCGTCAGCTGCCCAGCACGCATTATGCAAATTCTACTCTAGATTCGCAGTTAGGCCAGTGAATAGAATTGTTCGCGAGGCCAGGACTAAAAGCTGACGGCGCTGGCCGAGCTCTCACTGCATTTCCAACATGCTTGGTGAAATATCATGCATTCAGTTTTACATTGTAAGCCAGTTGCAGCACCGATCTTCGCTCTCCTGCCTCCCGTACGGACTCGTTAGCTTCAACCGTTTTTCACTTGACTGACTAACTCAAGTGGTCGAAGCACTTCTGTAGACTAAGAAATGTCTTGTTGAAGCTGACGATTACACTAAAGTTTGAAGTATTTTTAGGTGCTATCATATAGCCGGAACCGGTTTCGAGGCACGATACAAATATTGGACGTGCTGTAATGCCCAAATCCCTGGCCAAGCAGAAAGACGGCGTTTCTCCTTGCGGAAATTCATCCGTACATGCCGCCGCGCCAGAACGTACCACCGGCGCCGCCGATGCGTTCCGTAGCCCTGTCGGCTGCACAAGTGCCACCCCGGGCGAGGACGATTTCCTGGCATGGTGCAGCGAGGAGCGCGTGCGGTTCCCCAGCTCTCGCTTGGCTACGTTGCCAGATACGGGAAGGGCACTTGTGGCCAGCCGCAACATCAAAATGGGTGGGGAAGGAGGCGCGGGTTCCTTGTGTACGTGGGGTCCCGGGTTGGCAATTGCAATGCACCATGCCGCCAGCTAGTCACCTAATCTCCCCTTCCAGCACGGCGTATGCTGATCGGGGCGTTGATGTGCCGTTACCGCTCGAGTTGTGGGCTTGAGCTGCTTCTGAAAGGCCCCCCGTTGAAAAGGGGATGAGAGGCCTCCGGCGTCGCGCAGCTTGCTACTCGGTTATGGCGCTTCCTTGGGTTTATTCGGGTCCTGTCGTCCATGGGCGAAAGAGGCCATCAATCATCGTAGCCTCAGGCGGGCATTGTTCTGCCCCACGCTGCTCTGTCCGCATCCGCGCCGTGACCCGGGCTCTCTGTGAGGCCTGAGCTCCCGTTCCTTCCCGTACTTGCTGTCGACCCCGCGTATCCCCGACGTATCTTCGTAACGCATGCACCCGTCGCGCGTTGGCGATGATGGCTGTACGGCCCCGGTGACGGCGCCGGCTCCGCAATGCCGGTGGGGTCGATCACACGGCGGTAAATTGCGGCGCCTCCGGTGCTGTGCCCGGGGGTTCTGGCGGCGGGTCTGCAGGGGAGGTGGTTGTGGAGGTTCCGGACGACGCCGTACTGATGGCTGACAACTGCACTATCAGGGACATACTGGAAGGTGGGTCCAAATAAAACTTTAAAGGATACAAATCCGTAACCCTAAAAGGCATGAGTCACCGGCCTCTCGCCATGTCTCTGCTCTTCCCTCCCCACCACTCGTTAGCGGGTACACAGTCGGAGGCCGGGTGACGGCGCCGCTGCTGGTCCGCGCCGGGCTATTCCCCTCCCCCTTTTTTCCTCCCCCCCTGCTTCTCTCCCAGGACGGTTCCTTAGCCCAACCCTACCCGGCTGCTGTACCTACATGTGCTTAGTGGGGAGTTGTGTACGGCTTGGGGGTTGGGTCGTTATCTACGGCAGTGGCGGTGGAGAATGGTGTGGCCGATTTACGACAGTGATGGCAGCCAGTGGTGGCAGCTGGCAACCCAAGCACGCGTGTGGTGTGGGGCATAGCCATGTTCCTTTATTGTGGGGTTCGCTTTCGTTGCGATATGTTGCGGGATTGGGTCGGGCCCCCGCCGCCCCGGTGGTGGTTGAGGGCGCCCGCACAAGGCACTAAAGGCCAATTCGGGAGATGCGCCCACTCTTGTTCTTGATGTTGTGGATGTTGTGGATGTTGTTGTTGTTGTTGTTGTTGTTGTGTTCCCTGTGTTGCAGAGGAGGGTATGTGCAAGCCGGCCGATGACGAGATCTTGGAGGTGAGTTTTCCAGGCTGAACACCAATTGCGTGTGGGACATGCATCCATCGAGGTGTGCGTTATGTGGTGCGGGGTGAGAGGACTGCGAGTGACAACAGGTACGAAGCTTTGTGCCAGTTAAAGTAGGGGGATTGGAAACCGCGCTGGGTGTTTTTCGATGGCTCAAGTGCTTAGGTCCTTTGACACCGTTGGCGGGAGACTTTTCGTCGTTTGGGGTGGGGATGAAAAACATCAGCGTGTTTATTCCTCAGGCAGCCCAGAAACCTTAGGTTTGCACCACCAGTAGCTTGGCAACGCGGTCACGGGTACACAGCACTGGCACAACATGACTGTGTGTGTGTGTGTGTGTGTGTGTGTGCTATGCTGTCCTATGCTCATGATGCTCTCATGGCCTTTCGCTACAACAGGTCCAAGGCCTTATCATTGCCGTCATGTACGAGAAATCCCGGGGAAGGCAGTCACGATGGGCGCCGTACTTGAACCTGATCCCGGACGACATGACCCACATGCCGCTGTACTGGAAGGTACGGTAATGTACGGGAAAGGTGGATCGTACCGTGGACACCGTGCCACTCGCCTCCCAAACTCTATGCGCCGTGGCGAGAGCTCATCTTCACGCACTCAGCGAGTTCTGGTCCCCCGCCCTTAAACCCCGTCTACGGACAGCATAGGGAGTTCAAGGAGCTGCGTGGTACGGCAGCGTACGACAAGATGATGGGCAAGGTGCAGTGTCCCGCCGACGCACCCACGCAGGTCGGTTAACACTTTGTATTGTATGGGGTTGTCATGTGCGTCGCATCACTGCTCTTTTGCGGATCGTGGTACGACACATCACTGCTTTCCCCCCTCCCCGTTGACCGGGCGATCTGCAATCCTCCGCTGTACTGTGCAGGTCCCCGTTCTGTGGAGTGAGGTGGTGGAGCCCTTCATCCAGGAGCACCCGGAATTAGAGCTGCCGGAGGGGAAGGCGGGGTATGACTTATACCGCTGGGCCACGTGCGCTGTGGCGTCGTACAGCTTTATCTTGGGTGATGACAAGTACCAGGTGGGCATTCCAGTCCTGTACGGCCGGGGGCTCGTGACTGCGGCTGCTGCAAATGATGTCGTACCATGAGCACCTTATCCAATCTAACTACGAAAGCCCCCTTCATTCTCTCCCCCCTCTTTTCCTCCCCCTCTCCCCCTCTCCCCCTCTCCCCATCTCTCTCCTTTCCTCCTCTCATTTCTTTCCCACATGCGTATGAAGCCCACCTCTAGGCGCCCTCCTGCTCACCCAGCACCCTCCTCCCCCTCCCCCTCCGTCCCCGCGCTGGCGGCCGCCCCAGGCGATGGTCCCCGTCTGGGACCTGCTCAACCACATCACAGGTCGGGTGAACGTCCGACTGCACCACTGCGCCAAGAGGTAAAGAAGAAGGGAGGAAAGGCGATATTCGGGGTGGCTGCACCCCGTAGGGCCCTCCTGGAGTGGGTGGACGGGTGGCGTCGCGGGCCCCAGGGGAGTGAGTACGACCGCTCGCTGCACGGGGCGAGGCCATGCAAGCCAATCGCCAAGCGTCCTTGCTAGGTTGGGGATAACCCAACCAACCAACCAACTCCGGGCCCTATATCAGTTGGCAACTTGCTCATTGGGTAACCGGTATATATGTATGTATATATATTATATAACCCCCGGACGACTGCTGAAGCCGGAAGGGCGGACATGGTGATCTCGTCGCATGGCAGCTGTCCCGTGAGCCCACGGAGTTGTGTGGGATGTGCCGATGAGGCGGCGGCATTTGGGGCGTGGCGTGAAGCGTGTATGAGGTTGGCTGATGTCGGCGCCTCACGCACCAAGAGCGCCGCCAGGAACGTACCCGCACCGCACGGGAGAGCGGGCGGGGAGCCGTGTCCGCGTTCTTATCCGGCGGGTCTGTCCTAACCCGCCTAACCTTACCCGTCCTAACGGGGCACCGTGCGCCACCCTGCTGGGGATGGAAGCACCCCCCAGGTCTCAGCAGCCACTGGATTGCGCTTCCCGCTTGCGGCGTTGTTTGTTGCGCCGGTACTGCAGGCACGTGCTTCACATGATTGCCACTCGGGACATCCTTCGCGGTGAGGAGCTGGTCAACAACTACGGTGAGCTTTCCAACGCGGAACTTCTGCGGGGGTACGGCTTCGTGGAGGCACGCAACCGGAACAATCACGTACAGGTCGGTTGGGGATTGAAGGAGGCTGCTGGTTTGGGAGGAGAGTTAATATGGCTGTGGAGCGGGTGCTGGAGCAAAGCGCGCTTCGCACATGACGAGGAGGTAGCGGGTGACAAGAAAATGAGGCGGGTCGGGGGCGGGTAAGGGGTGGGCCTCCCTCCCCCCAGCGTGCTGAGCCCGGGTAAACGCTAAGCCGCCAACCCCGTCACCAATGCCTACCACTATAGTTACCCAGTTACCGCCAGGCAAGGCTTGTCCGTTGAAGAGGGGCGGCTGCGGGGCCGACGGGGTGAGGGTGGGGATGCTGGCACCTGCGTTTTGGTTTTGGGAGGGGAGCCATACCCAGCCGCTGCCATTGGACTCCGGCTCGCCCACGTGGCCCTCCGCGCAACCTGCCTAGGTTCCACTGGGCTTTGTGGTCCGTGCGGCGACGGAGCTTCTCCGAGAGGACATCACGGCAGCGGCGGGTGCCGGCCCTGGACCCGGTCCTGGTAGTCAGTCCGACCAGGGGGAGATACGAGCCCGCGCATCTGCGCGGTTGCGCCTGGCTCGCCGGTGCGACCTGTTGCCACAGCACCATGTGTTCAAAATTTTCGAGGGGCGGCCACCTCCGCCCCCCATGACTGCGCTCATCCATCTGCTGCTGGCGTCGGATGCCGACATTCCGGCTGTGCGGGGTGCTGTCCGCCGTGCAGCCGCGGCCGTAGTGGAAGGTGAGGATGGCGCGGATTGCGGCAAGGATAAGGGCAAGGCCCGGCGGCGTAATGTCGCGGCAGCTGGGGCGGTTCTACAAGCACGCACAGCGGCTGCGGTGGCGGCAGCCTTGGCTGGGAACGAGACGGCGCTGGCGCGGGTCGCGAGGGTGTACGACATGATTGTGCAGCGCATGCTCGGCCGGTACAGCTGTGACCTCGCAGAGGACGACAGGTTGCTGGCGGAGGCGGAGGCAGGACGCCGAGTACTTCCGCCACGCTTACATGCGGCGGTGTTGGCTCGGAAGCCGGAGAAGGACGCGTTGCTGAGTTTGCGGAAATTCATCGGTCAGGAAGGAGCTTTGCGTCAATCCTTGGCTGTCAATTCCGGCAAGAGCTTGTCGAAGACAGTCTTCGGAATAGCAGGAGCAAAGGGGTCAGAGGAACAGCTCTCTGAACCGCTAAAATACAGTCGTGCCATGGCTAAGAGCTGTAGCGCTGCTCCTGTCAATAAGTTTGCCCCTGCTTCGTTTTCGTTCGGTTTCTCTCTGTAAGTTTTGAGTTCGACTTGCTTCAGTTCGCTTTAATATGTGAGGATTCAGCAAAACTGGGAGGATCTAGTAAAACCATTGCATCTCAGGGATAGCCGCTTCTGTTCAGTGCGTGCCATTACAGATTTTCGTATCCCCGTCGGCAAGCGCATGTTCCCATCTGCAATGGTACCCAACGCCCTCTTAGTGCTTAGCTGAGGATGACGGTCACAATCCATGGATCGCAGGTTACAGTGGCCAACGTGCCCGCAGGTATAAAGGTGTCACTCTTCTCCTTCAAACGGCCTACCGAACCGCCACGGCTCCAAAAAATGCTGGCTGTCCGAACCCGCAAAAAGACAACGAGGGCATAGCACCCGGCAACCTTAACCAGGACATAGCAGTCGGTCACAAACGCCAGAGCGACAGGCGCACATTCACGTATGACCGTGAAGACGTGCCGATATTGAACCGTCAGGTCGGGAACAGCCTCCCCATACCGCCTCAAATTGCTATTTGTACAGAGACTCAGGCCCAGACATCATCGCTAAGCACTTCCCTCGATGAAGCAGCAAAACGAGAGCCACAGGCGTGAGCGTCACGTGCAAGCACACGCTTCGGCGCATTTACGAGGAGGGAGCCTCCTTCTCAATGTACCTGAGCACGCAGAGATGGGGGCAATGAGGGGGGAAAAGAGATTACGGGGAAAGGAAATAGTTTTGTACACAGTAATAGTCGCATACATACAACTTCAAAAATCAAAATGTGTGGCGTCCCGACACCATGCTCCCAGCTACACCAGCACTCACACGAACAGCGTAGCCATTCCGATGGCTGGCAGAACCAGGCCAGTCAGGGGCACGAACAGCGAGGGAGCCCAGGCCGGGGGCACGAAGGGGTAGCCCTCAGCAGCGCTAGCAACGGTGGCGATGACCTGCGAGGCCTCAGCCTGCAAGCATACAAGTGGACGACGAAAGATCGGTAGCCTGGGAGAGCCTCCGCTGCACTTCAGCATATTCCCAGACAAAGATGCAAAATCTGATTGTGCAAACAGTACGCAGCCATATCTCTGAAGCTTGTAAACAGGACTGGACGGAAGCGCCTTCCCCATCAAACATAAACACATAAACCAAAATTAAGCGCTGAGTAGGAAATGTCAGTTGCCCTCATTACTGCCAAGTAATTGGTAGAGCTGATTCATGGCTGCGGCTGATAGAGAGGAGATTCACACACATAGTCAGATGCTGGACTCTAACGCACCGAGTTGGTCGACGCCAGCATCGCCAGAGAGGCAACACCGGCAAGGGCCAGCTTGGCGTGAGCGGGCTTCAGGGCAGCCACCGGCTTGACGGAGGCCCGTGCAACCTGAGGGCGCACAGCCGGCTTGGCAAGAGTAGCGCGCAGGGCCATTTTTGAAGCGGTGGAAAGGTTGTGAGGTCTGAAGACGTAAAGTAATACTTCAAGCCTGTCACAACAATGTTGCGTGAGACAATAAGTTCTCATCTTGCAAGATCTCCGACGCAAAAGGGCCCAACGCTGTGCGGACCTTCCATTGTCAAAAAGCTTTACTTGGCCTGAACCGAGTACAAATTTTATAATTATTCATGTTGCGTTTTACATTATTTATTTAGAGCTCAGTTATGGAAGCTTTGGGACAATGCCCTTACCCCTCAGACTGGTCATACCAATTTGAAAATGTAAAGCACGCTTCTTGAAGCGCATATCATTTATACAAATAATTAGCATCCCATGAAACTCTTCGGCGCAGGCGGAGAAATCCATGTATCGGGGATGGTGTCCCTCGGGTCAGTCCCTTGAGAAGTGCAATCAGCTCTAATGCACAGAACGTATATCGAACCATGGCTCGATTTTAATACTGCTCTTTCTTGCCTCGGTTTATCCGGGTTCTATTACATCGATCTCTATAACCGCCCTTTCCCGCTCCCAGCTAGCATCGAACCGTGACAAGACCGGGGGCTTACCCATTCGCATGCGGCTTGTGTCCTCATGCCACCTACATGAGCACTACATGGGACTTTGCCGACTAACTCACGTCGCGAAGCAAGTGTTCATTTTTAAAAAGCAAGCTGGCAGACAAGCAAGCAAGCAAGCAAGTCTCGGGTTCCCCTTGTAGTAGCAGTAGGTATTACAGCGAGAGCCCCAGACCCCGAGGCATTACCCCAAGGTAGGGCCATCGAGCCACAACGGACCGTGCATTGGACTTTGAAACCTCCCTTGCGTGCGGGTTTCTGGACGGCGTTAGTTCAACCTTCCTTCCTTATACACATGGTTCCCGCATCAAAGGCAGACGGCAAACCCTGTCATGGAGACATCATTGCAGCCGCCTTCCCAACGGGGGCTCGCAAGCGCCACCCAGCTCGTCATCAGTCCAAACCGCGATCACGGCCCTGATGTACTGCCCGGGCCCCTTGCCGCTGAGCTGGCCCGACCCTACCCAAAGATCCGGAGCTGTTGACCTGGCCGAACGTGCGGAGGGCCAGCCCCCAGGGCGACGCCTGTTCAGCCCCTCCCTCCCGCAGGCGGGGTCGGCAGCTGATTCTTTGCACTTTGCATCATCACCTTGGGAGTTGTGACCCTATCTCCCGTGTCGGAAAGGGATTTACCAAAGATGGCCTGGTGGCGTATCGCTTTCATAACCCAACAAACCCACAGTTACCCCAACCACCGACCGCCGCAACCCTTAACGCCCTGAACCCCCCCTTCCCCAGTGAATACACGATACGCGGTCAAAGAGGCCTCTACGTGACCTCTCCCCCCGGGGCCTTGTGCAGCAATTTTCTAACCTTGGGGCTGGGCCTCTCCGCCAGCTTCCTTGCCCTCCTCCCTCCGCCTCTGTATTTTCAGCATTCAAGAAGTATCAACTGGACTAACACCCTGGCCTCCCCATAAAACGTAACCCGCAATACCCAGCGGTCAACGACCTGCACAGGCACCACACACACACACACACGCAGGTTGCCGGCGGCCTGCTATTACAATTCCGTCCAGTCATCTTCGTCCTCTTCCTCCTTCCCCTCCCCCCTTTTCGCCTCCTCCCCACCAACCTCTCTTCCTTTCCCCTCCCCCCTTTCCCGCTCTTCCTTTCCCTCCTCCTCTCCCGCTTCCTCGTCCTCCTCCTCCACTTCTTCCTCCTCCATCATCGCCGCCGCCGCGGCGGCATGCAGCTCCGACAGGCCCGTCAACGCCTCCAGCGCCGCCGGTGACTGCAGCGCCTCCCGCACCAGCCCCCAGCCGCGGGCCAGGTACGCCTCCACCACGGCGGCGCTGCATGCGGTGCACTGTCCGAATGCCCAACCCTCCATGAGCACCTGGCTGAAGGCGGACAGCTGCCCCCGGACCATGTGGGCCGCGGGACCCAGCGGGGCGGAGGCATCTGCGCGATCGTACGGAAACGTACGGACGCGTACGGAGGAGCGGGTGTTCTGTAAATGTGCTTGGGTATCGAAAAGGAGAAAAATTGGAAAAAAAGGTGGCTGCGCGGTCGACTTAGTGGTATCAAGGTTGCGCCCTGTACGTGGGGTGGATGGTGCGTAGATGAAGCTGGTCTCGACCCACACCTCTCATAATCACACGCGCAAGCGCACGCACCTGGTTGCATTCCGGCTAGGCTGGGCGGCGGAGCACACAGAGCCGCCTCCCCCGCGTAACCCCGCTGCACCAGCGCAGCCAGCAGCTCCACCGCCAGCGCCCCCGCCACCGGCGCCAGCCCCGGCCGAGCCACCGTACATTGCTGATCCAACGACCGGTCCCTCGTGCTGTTGGCCGGAGCGAACACGTCGTTGCAGAAGTAGCAACCCAGGCGCCGCTGGCCGCCGGCGGAGGCCGCCGGTGCGTTGGCGGCGCCTGGCGGCGCGCCGTGGCGCATGACGAGGAAGGAGTCGAAGCCGACGGCGGCGGTGATGGCGATGCGGCGGCGGGCTGCGGCTAGCAGCGCAGGCAGCCAGCGGGACTCTCGGGTATCGGTCAGCAGGAACACAGCGTCATGCTCCGAAACCAGATCGTCCAGTTGTTGGGTGGCCTGGCGGTGGTTGGGAAGGCGGTGGCAGTAGAACTAGTAGTAGTGGCGGTGGTGGGTTGTGGAGGTAGCAGAGCAGACGTGGTGGTGGTGGAGGTTTCCCATGAGGAGAACGATGGAGCTTCTACTCATAAAAATAATTGGGGTGCCATAACAAGCACGCGTTTTAGTGACGACGCGTTGTAGTGTACGATTGGTTACCACCACCGCGAAGAAACCTTGGCACACACGCCTCTCCCAATAACGTCTGCCACGCTCCGTGACCACCTCCCCGCGGCCTTCCCATCATCACACCCCAAAGCCCCAGAACAGCACCGACAGGTTCCACATCCCTCCACATCCCTCCAACCCGCATGTCCTCTCAACAGTCGACAACACTGCATCGCAGCAGCTCAGAAAACGCCCATCCATCACCAAGTCGCCAACAACACACACCCCGGCGGCCCTGCTTGGCGTACCTAGGCCGTCGTCTTTCCTTTAAAGTACTTACCCGCTTGCAAGTCCCTCCCCCCCTCCTCCGCCTCTCTGCCACCCTCCTGCACACCTCACCTGCTGCAGGGCCTGCTCCTCCGCCGGGTCCGCCGGTGGATGTCCCGGCATGGGAATGGACAGCTGCACCCCCCGAGTCACTGCGGAGGGGAAGATGCGGCAGAGAGCCTCCGCAGCCGCCTCAGCCTTGGGCCTGAATATGCACGTATACATACATACAAACAGGCAGACATACAAACAGACAGACAGACAGACAGACATGGAGGGTTGTAAGGGTACATGCAGCCGATGCAACGGTTGCAGCAGCAGCGGCAGCAGCAGTACAGGTACACCGGTCCGCACCTGCCACCCCCCAGGCAGTCCTCAAAGTTAAATAAGGATTGTCGTACAGGGTTGGAGAAGGCCACCCGGCCGCTATCCACCAGGGTGATGTGCCGTACACCCCAGCCCTGAAGGGTGCGCGCGACGGCACAGCCCAGCGTGCCCGCACCTGCAGGTTGTCCCCCGGGCGGGGCGGGGCGGGGCGGGAAGGGGTAGTGCGAAGGGGCCGCCGTGGGTGGATGTGGGATATGGTAAGCGAGGTAAGCGAGCCAGGATTCGTGCCTTCGGGCCAGGCGGAGGGGGAGGCAGAGCGGCAAGCCCCCAAACCCTCTCCACCAATATCCCAGCCGCGACCCAACCTCATCCCCACGCACCCAGCAACAGGCACTTTGTTGTCGCCATTGTCCCGACCTCCAGCTCCGGAACCGCCCTCCACCTCATCAGCCGTAAGTTGAGATCCACTGCCTGCTCCGCCTGTGCCTCCGGCCGCATGTGAGGGCCTAGGTCAAGGAACCTGGTTTAGGGATGGGACGGCAAGGGATGGGGCAGGCCGAGGGGGATAGGGGTTTCATGCGAGGGGATGTCGGGAAAGCGAGGGTAGGAGGCTGGTACGTCCCTACGTGGGCAGGGTCGGTGTGAGCAGGTAAATGGTTGAGTGAGTAGGTTCATGCGTGGGGGGGGGGGAAAAGACGAACCACACACGATTGAAGCTGCTGCCAGGGCAAGAGAGTAGCAAACGTAAAAACTGACCGAAAGGCGTCCGTGGCGACTGTGACGACTGTGACCTGGGGGGGGGGGTTGAACGTGATAAGTTAACAGCCGAGGCGGTCATGCTTTGCCGCCTGCGTGTACATCACCCCGGCCGGGCCGGGCCGCCAGGCCTGCGCCCTTCCCCCTACTCACCCCCACTCACGTCCCGTGTCGCCAGCCCTTCAAACCCAAGCCCACCTGGGAAGCAACTTGCCCTGAGCATTAGCCTCCCACCCCACCGCCTCCGGGCAGCGACCAGTAGCGACGTCGCAGGGCGATGATGACGTGGTGGCCGTGGCGGTAGTAGAGGCGGCGGCCTCGGCCTCAGCATTGGGCGCCCTCCCCGTCTCGCCCTCCGCAGCCACAGCCACGGCCGCAGCCGGCGGCGGCGGCGGCGGTGGCCAGCTGCGTGTGTCAATGTCCGGCAGCCGTACATCGAGAATCACGGTGCGCTGTGGATCCAAGCGGCCGCCGCCACGACTGCTCTCCCGCAAACACAACACCTGCGGCCCAAGGGGTGGGAGGTATTTGGTTTTGATGTGCGACTTGCGGCGTCTGACGGTGGGCGCCGCGCCTCAGGATTTAAAACCATCACCACATCCGACACGGGTAAGGTGTATGGATCATCGCCTCAGTAGGATGCGAGTCCTAGGATTTCGAACTTCCGACTTCGGTCGGCTCCCTCCTAGTCTTTTCCGACCTCCTCCCCATCCCACCGCCCCCAGTGCGCCCCCACAGCCCGATCCGGCCTCCAAACCCCCGTGCTGCTCCCCACGGGCGCAGCGCCTCCAGATCCTAACGAAGTCACCACGTTGCTCCCCCCTCTCCGCCCGCCCACCCCACCCCCTCGCTCTCCCACTGTTGCCCTCCTGGCCCCCCTCCCTCGCCTCCCCCCTCCCTCGCCTCCCCCCCCTCCCTCGCCTCCCCCTTCCTCTCACTCTGAGCTCCCGCACCCTCCACCGCACCGCCGCCATCAGCAACACGTTCCTCAGCTGCCAGCCCGGATACTCCGCCTGGTGGCTGCCGTCGGAAAACACCAACACCACATGCCGCCTCTTCGGGCTCTCTCCTCCCCCAGCACCATCACTGCCGGCACCCTCCCCCGGCTGCACCAGCTTCCCCCATTCGTTGAGGCCGTGTGTGAGCACGTCCCTGGAGAGGTCGTGTTCGGGACTGGACAGCAGCCAGAAGGCCGGGCCACTGCGGGCGAGGACCTCGGAGACGCTGTTGCTGACTGGGGCGGCACCGACAGCGCCAGCGGAGGCGGTGGCGGCGGTGGATGAGGGGGAGTTTGCAGCAGCAGCAGGTGCTAGGCGCCAGGCCGCGCAAGCCGCGGAGACCTTGAGCTCGCATGGTTTAGGTATAAGAGGGGGAAGAGTCGGGAAGACGAAGCAGGAACGAGTGAAGCTGATGCGCCAAGGATAGACTGATACGCCAGAAGTATGTAAGAAATAACTACCCAGTCGTAATTTGTAAAGGAGGTGTTGTGGGGAGTGGGGAGTGTGCGTGCGGGAAGAGGCGGGAGGGAAGAGGGCAAGCAGGGCGCAGGTTGGGGAGAGTGCGGGGGGGGATATACGGGCGGGGGTTGGTGTTCGCCGTTATTCTGCAGGTAGGCCCAGGGCAGGTCCCTCGTGTGGGCAGTGATCCGGGGGTCGTAGAGCGGGGAAATCCAGAAGGGGACTCCACAGGTGGAGTTACGGCAGGGTACGACAAAGGGCCGGGACTTGGGAAGGGACCTGGGAAGTAGGCGTCGCAGCCGGCATGTCAGGATGTAAACAACCCCGGGCATGCATGCAACAAAGGTAGCTCAGCTGAGGAAAGCAACACACAGCGGGTCGGCGGGGGGGTTGTTGCGTGGGCAGTGCTGCTATATCTTCTCACCAGCTCGATAGCCGTGGGCGGCAGGGCGGACGCCAGCGGGGCGGGCGGGGCAGCCAGAGTGAAGGGCGCGGGCGGCTTCAAAGCGGGGAAGGCAAACCTGAAACATCAGGATTAGCGGCAGCAGGTGCGGCAGCAGCAGCAGCAGCAGCAGCAGCAGTAGGCAATCCACAGGGACCCACCAAAGGGCGTCAAAAAGGGGAAGAGCTGAGGGATTATTGAGCAATATGTAGGTTTGCCGCAGCGCCGCTCCCCCCAGAGGGCCCCCCAGCCGTACCAGTAATGGAACTTATAGTGCTTGAGATCTCCGTGCATGAGCAGCAGGAAGCGACACAACCTCCAGGGCTCAGCCTCCGCTGCGCCGCACAGGATGTCGGACCAGATTTGCCCCGACACCTGGCCACCGGGGGGGGTGCGGGGCAGGGCGGGGGAAGAGATCGGGGCGGGGGGGGGGGGGAGCTGGAGGAGAGGGGTGCATGTGGCCATATGAGTTAAGAGAGGAGACGCCGCAGAACCCCCTGGACGCAGCGCATAGCCCCCAAGCCTACGTTTCTATACCCCGTGAACTCAGTCAACTTTCAAACTCGCCAATGGACACCCACCCCGCCTTACAGCCCCGCCGCCTTGCCCACTAGCTCCGACATAACCTCCCCGAGTCCCCCCCTCCACCCGCCTGGTCCTCATCCTGTTTGGTTCAGTCCACATCCTCTTGCCGTACTTAAACCCTCCTCCCTTAATACACTCCTCCTTTCCATCACCTTCCGTCCCATCCCACCCCTTCTTCACAACCACTCGTTCGTGGTTCGTCTTTACCCCCTTCCCCTCTTCCGCTTCCTCCCCACTCCCCCCCTTCCCCTCTTCTGCTTCCTCCCCACTCCCCTCCCTTCCCCCTCCCCCCACCTGGCGCATAAGGCTCTGCTTGTCGCTGCCCCTGAAGCCCTCAATGGTGTTGAACAGCAGCAGCTGCCCCGGGGCCGCGTGACAGTCCTGGGCATGGAACCAGGGGTCCGTTCCGGTGGTTGGTTCCGTTCCGGTTAATGGGTTGGTCCCGGTAGTTGGTAGTTTATATCGTTGAGTTGGGTACTTTGGGTCAAGGAATTAGGTGGCTACATAGCTGCACAGGTGATCGGTAGGGGTTAGGGTTGGGGCAGAGGCGTCGGGGAGGGTGGTTGGGAACGTTAGGGCCCTTGGCTGGTGTTTTGTCTGTTTGTTTGTTTGGTTCATAGTTGACTTATCGAGCCCACCAATGTGTACCTTACCAGCCTGGAGGTGGCGCTGGGGCGCAGACTGGACACATCCAGCTGAAGCCGGGCCGGCACGCTGTCATATCGGTTGGGACTGAAATAACCTGCGTTCGGTGCGGTGCGTGTGCGGCATGTAAGGATATAGATCTTAGGATGCGGGTCGGGTGACGCAAGGTAAAGGACTACGGCATATGCGATCACACACGTTTTTCTTTAGAAATTGATCCATTTGAGATCCAAGTCCTACATGCGCACAAGTGCAGGATTGGGGACAGGTAGGCTTCAGGTGGGTTAGAGTTCATGAGGACAGGGAGAGGGGATGTAGTCAGTGGCATGGACTGAGAGAGGGGCGAAGACTGGGCATGGACTGAGGGAGCGAAGCTGCGCGGTCGTGTCCAGGAAGGGAAGTCGAGCGCTTTTAAGGGATTTGGAGCCCTGTCGCTGCTCACCAACGATTTCTACTGGGTCCTCTGACAATTTCCACACGTTAAGCTTGAACTCGGACAGCTCCGACAGAAAGGTCACATCGACAACGCTCTGGGAGGGTGAAGGCGCGAATTAAGCGATCAAGAACTTTAAGGCTGTGAGGAAGGCCAGCGGAAGATGATTCTTTGAAATCAGACCTGTAACTGTGCAAAACGAACGACTTCGTTGGTGTGCGCCATTCTCATCCGTTCGAGGGAACGCCCATGCCTCGAGTCAGCCGCTGGCCTTTTGACACATACACAGATGTCTAATCAGTAGTTGCTTTAGACCAAATTACCACAGCTCGTCCACACAGGAAACCTCAGAAACGAGCAAAGGACATATTTTGTGTATTTACCTGTCCAGTTACGACACATGGAGTTGAGGCGGAGTGGTGTTAGCACCAATGTGGTGTTAACCAGTAGGGAAATTGTGTATAATGTAACAAACTGTTTTCCATTTTGAGGCGTAGGAGTTTTTGCGGCGAGGAGATATTTCCTAACCCTAACCTTCCACAGCAGCTCATAACCCAGACCGACTGATTACTAGAGTATCGGTCCATCGGAACAAACATAAAGAGGATGCCTTTGCAGGTGCAGCCCCATAGGTGGCTGTTCCTTATGACGAATGTCGGTGGTCGTAGACGGGATCTGCTCGAGATTGCAGTTGGAGACGGCGCATAACGCTCATCAGTGCTCAATCCTGGCTCGAATACCCGTTTGTGGATATGGAGCAGCGAAGTCAGCTTCATCGTCCACCGCGGACTGGAATTTCCGCTTGGCCATCGCGCAGCAACGGCGAAACACCAGGAGCACGTATGGAGGCCATTTATTCCCATCAAGACTTTGATGACGGCGGTCCCTGGCAAACCATTTCTGCTCGACCAGCGCGTTCTCGGACAGACTCCCGGCCTGCTCCTCGGCAGCAATCGATGTCGTCAGGTGACACTGGCGACGCCGGTGCATGGAGCCAGCGATCTGGGTCGCGACATTCAGCCCATTCCCCGACTCCACCTAGTTCTCTGGGACGGCCGGGAGGAAACCCACTTCCCGCCAGGGCTCCTCCAAAGGCGTCATCCGATTCAGCACGACCACCCGCACCTCCGACCATGCAACAAAACCCTGGAGCTAAAATGCATTTGTATGGCCCCCACGCCCATCGCGTAATGGCACGACCTGCAGCAGTACATCGACTCAGTAATTTGCCTGGGCAACCGCAGTCGCAGCAGCAGCAGCAGCAGCCTGGGCCACCGCAGCCGCGGCAACAGCGACACTCGTCCCCCCCGTCACGACATCCTACTGCTCTTACAGAAGCACCAACAGCGGCAACTGCGGAACCGTCTCTGGGCGGCTGTCCTAGCGCATCAACGTCCGCAACGGACTCAGCCTGGGGCAGCAGGGGGCCTAGCGCCCGTCCTGCTCATGGCTCCCAGCCGCCTCCGGCTGAGCAACAGGAGCCACACGCGGCCTGCGGCGACCGCCTGCTGGTCGATGGCGGCGCCGCCACTGGTACCGAACCGTCCGCTGCCGCCACCGTTGGGCTGCAGCAGCGGCTGCTGGCGCAGGCGCGTCGCAGTGCCTTTGATCCGGCCACAGGTAAGGTACGCTGCCGCGCGTGTGGCAAGGCCTTCGCCACCTATACCCAGCTGGCGCAGCACCTGGCGGCCGCGCATGACGGCATCAACAGCGAGGACGCCAAGTACCTGCAGTTCAGGCGGCAGCAGCAGCAGGAGGAGCAGCTGCAGCATCAACACCAGCGCCAGCCAATCCAATCTGAGCTCTTTCCAAGCCTGCAGGCGCATGCCACCTACCATGCCGCACAGCAACAACAGCAACAGCAGCAGCCACTTCCCATATCGCAACCTTGGCCTGCTAGGAGTGGGCCAACGACGGTGCAAGGCTCGGGCAGCATTAGCGCCCAGCAAAATTGGCTGGGCGGCAGTGCCAGTGCCAGTGCCAGTGTCAGTGTCAGTGCCGCCGGGCCGTCCGGGGCAGCGGTAGCTGTCGCGTCTGCCGGGCCGGTGGCCCCTCCCTGTTCGAGTTTTCCCGCCCAGGGGTTTATTCGCCCGAACCAGATGCAGGCGAGCAATTCCGGCGGAATAGGAGCAGCACTTGCTGCAGCTGCTGCTGCCACGGCTGGTTCATCGCTGCCTTCGATGGCTGCCAACGCCTGGGCCGCTGGGCGCTTGCGGTGGCAGACGTCCCCGCCAAACGGCAGTCGCCCAGTGGCACCGGCGCCGCCGCAATCGGCAGCACCGGTCAGTGACAGCGCCGCTGGAGTAAGCACCGTCAACGCCACCACCGCCGTTGACTCTGCTGCTGTTGCCCGTGCTCCTGCTCGTGATGAAGCGATGGCTCCCGCTGCTGCGCTGCCCTCCTGCCCAGAAGCTCTAAGCGCCGGCTGGTCCACGATTGGCTCTCGCCGAGCATGGCGCAGCGCTGCAGAGCCAGCCAAAGCGCCTGGGGTGGCGGGAGGACCGGCTCCACCCGCTGCTGCGGCTTCCTTACGCGCCCGTACTCCTACCCCAGCCGGCGCCACATCCGCCAAGCCCAGCAAGCGCGTCGTCACCTTGGCGGAGCTTCTGGACGCTGCTGTGCCGGGCACCGGAGGTCACGTCGCGACCACACCGGCCCGCGGCTCCGCCATCCCTGCGGGACGCGGCACTTCTATGCAAGTTCGCGTCAGCAATGCACTCCGGGTCGTCATGAAAGCGCCGGCCTTGAAGCAGCAGCACCCGCAGCACCCGCAGCACCCGCAGCACCCGCAGCTTCAACACGCTGCGGCCGGAAGCGGCGCCGCTGCCGCCATGAAGCCCGGCACACGCCGGGTACTGACCGCCGCCGGCACCGTGGCACCGCCGCGGAAGAAGCGGCCCACACGCGCCAAAACGCTCATTTTGCAGCATCGCGCCAACCGTACACTCGCAGCAGCAGCGGCGGCGTACCATCAAGCACGGCAGTCGTACTTATCCGTGGTGGAAGTGTACGACGCCATGAAGGCGGAGCTGCGGCGCATGCAAGATGAAAGTACTGACGGTGGTAGGGCAGGGCCGGAAGCTGCTACTAACTCTGGCGATGCTAGTCACGAGTCAAAGAGAGCCGCAGCTGCAGCGCCCGGGGCCATGCCCAGCACGGCCATGGACGGCGCGGCAGCGGCTGGGCCGCTGCCTCCGCCGCCGACCTCAGCGACCGCGCGCGAAATCGCCGCCTCTGCCAGCACCCTGCCACCAAGCTTGCGGCCCCAGTTGCTCATGCTTGCGCTGGCTAAGGCGCGGCCACACCTTGAGTCGCTGCATCGGACATTAGTACGGCGCAGGATGGCTTACGTAGATAAGCTGAAGCATCACTCTGCCGTACACCGTCAGGGAGAGCCCAGCAACGCGGAGCTGGCGGCGCACGTGCAGCTGGACCAGCTGCCGGCGGAGCTGGAAGCCGCGGCCGCGGCGCGCGCCCGGCGGGCTGACGGCAAATTGGCGGAGGCGGCTGACGGCGCTGGTGGCGGAGGCGGCGGGAGCTGTGGAGGTGAGGGAGGGAGCACCAGCGGCGACAGTGGCTGTGAAGGTATGAGGACAGCGACGCTGGCCACATCGCCCTGTTTCGATCTCGTTGATCTGTGGCATGGAGGGCTAAGCACTTGCCTCCGTGACTCGACCATGCCGCGGCCCACCATGCGAACCCAATACCCCGATCGTGCCGTGACACCGCCGCTGTCACACCAAAACCGCTGCACACACCGCCATGCTACCCCTTGCCTTGTTGAGGAAGACCCTTCATACATGGCGAGGCCTGTGCGACATGAAGCTATGTTCTTTTCCGACGTACCCGCCGCTGCCGCTACCGCGGCCGACGATGATGCTGGTGATGATGCATATGTTGGATAAACAAATTGCCACTAGTGCCACTATCTACGGTGCGCCGGCAGCTGCGGCTGCGGCTGCGGCTGCGGCTGCGGCTGTGGCTGCGGCTGTGGCTGCGGCTTGCGGCTGCGGCTGTGGCAGTGGCAGTGGCAGTGGCAGTGGCAATGGCTGCCATCCACACATCTGCACACCTGCCTCTTGCGCCCCCATCTGGGCTGTTTGCTCCGCTCTGCAGTTGCTGGGGGCGTCCAGGAAGTCATGCACCGTCGGGCCGACGAGCTGCGGCTGTCACGTAAGCCACACGACTCCGAAACCAGCCCGCCCGAGGGAACTTCATCCGGAGGCTCGTCTTCCGGGCCCCGGCCGCTAGAAGACCCGACCCTGGCTGCGCCGACGCCCGCCGCCACCAGCCTCGTGAGTAGAGCCGATAGCGCCACAGTGGAGCTGCCAAGAGTGGCTGACACTGCATCCGATACAGCTTCAGCTGCCGCTCCGGCGACTGCCTTTAGCGCCGCTGCCGTCAACGCAGCGTGCACGCAGCTGAAAGGGAAGCCCGCGGCTGGCAGCGCAGCCTCGACTAGCTCCATTGGCGACGCGGCGGCCGTCGGAAAGTCCGGCGTCAGCACCGCCTTTAGGGCAGAGCCGCCGCAGCCGCAGTTGCCTCAGCAACAACAACATGCGCAAGGGGTGAAGGTGCAACCGGAGCTCTCTTCCGCAGGACAGGCTGCGGCTCCCCCAGCCGATGCCCAGCTCGCAACGGCAGCCCGTTCCTCCCTGCCCGCATGGTTGGCTTCTAGCAGCGACATGTCGGATGAGGAGGACGAGGAAGGGGGCCAAGGCGCGGCTCTGTTCGGCGGTGCGGCGGCTGCATGGGCCCGGCTTGGAGGCGCCACCCTGCCTGGGTTTGGGCAGGCAGGGGCAGTAAAAGGTGCGGCAAAGGGCAGCAATGCGCCCAAAAAAACTGCCAATCGAGGCGGAAGCGCAGCAGCTGTGGGCACGGCGCAGAGCCTTGAAGACAGCAAAGTGACGGAAGAGGTCGGTAGTGGCCCAACAGCAGCAGCAGCGGCCTGCGGCAATCCGGCGCCGCTGCTGAGCAAGCTGAGGCTCGCTTAACGGATACCCAGCCCGCGCCAGCAGTCCGATCCTCCATGCCCGCATGGTTGGCTTCTAGCAGCGACGCGTCAGACGAGGAAGGGGCCCCAGGCTCGGGCGGAACCATGGGTCTGTTCGGCGGTGCGACGGCTGCATGGGCCCGGCTTGGAGGCGCCACCCTGCCTGGGTTTGGGCAGGCAGGGGCAGTAAAAGGTGCGGCAAAGGGCAGTTAGCGCCTAAAAAAACTGTGAGTGGCGGTGGAAGCGGGCAGCTGCGGACGCGGGGCCGAGTCGCGCTGGTGGCAAGGTGATGGAGGCGGCCAGCGCTGGACGTGGCCCAACAGCAGCAGCAGCGGCGCTGCGGCAATCCGGCGCCGCTGCTGAGCAAGCTGAGGCTCGCTTAACGGATACCCAGCCCGCGCCAGCAGTCCGATCCTCCATGCCCGCATGGTTGGCTTCTAGCAGCGACGCGTCAGACGAGGAAGGGGCCCCAGGCTCGGGCGGAACCATGGGTCTGTTCGGCGGTGCGACGGCTGCATGGGCCCGGCTTGGAGGCGCCACCCTGCCTGGGTTTGGGCAGGCAGGGGCAGTAAAAGGTGCGGCAAAGGGTGTTAGCGAGTTAAAAACACCTGTGAGTGGCGGTGGTGCGGCAGCTGCGGACGCGGGGCCGAGTCGCGCTGGTGGCAAGGTGATGGAGGCGGCCAGCGCTGGACGGAAGGCGGCAGCAGCAGCAGCAGCAGCACCGGCCGCGCCCGTGGCGTCCCCGGCTGGGGCTGGGGCTGGTGCAGGCGGACGGCCGCTGCAGCCCGCAGCAGGTCTCCTAGAGCCCACTGGCCACAGCAGCGACGAGGATGGTGACGATTCGTCCGTGGGCGGTGGTGAGTTGGCAGTCGAGATGAAGGGGGGTCGGGGGCTGGTGGGGCTGTATGAAAGAAATGTTGTGGGCTGTGGGAGGCGCTTCCATGGGCGCTTCCAGGTTCCGAGTTGTCTGTAATCCCTGAAGTGTCCCGCCGCGCGGGGCGCCTGGCCGTGTACGGACCGCAATATCCCTCACTCGCATCAGCGTTCCACCTGGATCGTGGATCATGGATCGTGGACTATGGATTATGGATCTAGCATCAGCGCTCTGGACTCCGGGCAGTGGCAGTTTGTGTCGTGGACGTGTCGGTAGTTGGTTCTCTTTGCGGCTCCTTGCATATAAGTCAACGATTCCCCCTCGGGGGTCCATCCCAGGTATCAGCATCACCCGTCTGTGGTTCGCCTTAACCCCCCTCGGCGTTGGAAAAAGAGGAGAAGCCGCGCGGAGCAGTAATGCGCGCCTGATGTCACGTGCCTCCTGCACGATTCAGGCTAGCATGGCTCCTCCGGCCTGTGCGTGTGAACCCCATCTTCCCCATGTGGCTCGTCTTAACCCCCTGCGCGCGCTGAAGCTGGCACTTCCTGGCTATCCCGTCATCGTGTGGCACACACCCTCCCGCACTCACCTGCAGTTCTGAAGGGTTGGACGGACACGATTTCCAAGTGGCAGGGCAAGGTCAGCGGGCCTCAGGCGGCCGCGCTGCCGCTCTTTGCATCCACCATTAAGGGCCTATCAGCTGGCGGCATGTGGGGCATGCCCGTCAGCCACCCTTTTGTGCCTTCCGCCGCCGCCCCGGCGGCGGCGGGGGCGCCCCCGCCGGCCCTGGAACCGGCAAAAGCGGGCTCTAAGGCCGTGGGCCCGGCCCCGTCCGGCGCGGCGTCCACGGCCGCAGGAACGTTTACGGGGCCTGGTGCTACCACGCTGATGGGGCTGCCGGTGGCGCGCTCGGCCCTGCTAGCGCCGTCCACGGCTGCAGCTGCGGCGGCAGCTGCGGTCTTTGCGAGCGCTGCGGCGGCGCTGGCGCCAGCAGCGGCGGCTGAGGAGGAGGATGACGACGAGGAGGGGCAGCTTAGTCCGGAAGCAGCGACAGCGGCGGCAGCGCTGATACTGCAGCGCCGCGATGTGCAGGCGAAGGTGCAGCAGGCGCAAGCGCAGATGCAAGCACAGATGCGGGCACAAGCACAATCTCAAGCACCGCACTCCGCAGCCGTGACGGAGGCCGCCGGCGGCGCGATTTTTGCCGCGGGCGCAGCGACTGCAGCGACGGATGGCGGCCGCGGCGGCGGCGGCGGCGGCAGTGCGCCAGGGCAGGGCCATAAACCTGCGTCAACAATGGCTGCCGCTGCGGCGGTGGTGCCATCTGCACAAGGCGTGTCTGGGGCTGGCGGTGCCGGTGCCATGGCGCCCGTCGCGACGGCGCTGCCATCTCCATCTTCCGCTGTCGCCGCTGCCGCAAAGCCCGTACTGCCGTCAGCAAATCCCCAGTCCCCAGTCCGGCCCTGGACATCGTCCATGCTGTTTGGCGGGTCCCGTGCCGCCGGTGGTGGCGACGACGACAACGAGGACGACGAGGACTTGCAGGACGTCTCTCAGGCCGTGAAAGTGGACGTCTTGTCCGGCTGGATGGCCTCCCTCAAGCTGCCTAAGTTGACAGAGCTGTTCAAACAGCAACAGCAATTGATGCAGCAACAGCAACAGCAGCAGCTCTCGTTCTACTATGCGTCTACGGCGGCGGCGGCTACAGCGGCCGGCGGCGGCGGCGGCGCCGGCGGCAGTGGACCAGCGACGGCTCCAAATAAGGCCGCGGCAGGGAGGCCGAGGTCTGGAACGCGGCCGGGATCAGGTCAAGCTAAAGCTGCTGCCGCCACAGCCTCCGCCGCTGGCGCCGCTATCGGCAACCCTCCCGCGTCTCCGGGAGTCATAAAAATTTTGCGCAGGGCGGCACCTGGCGACCTGGCGCCAAGCACCAATAATCCGCCGCCGACGACGACGACAGCGCCAGCGGGCCCACCGCGACAACAAGCTCAACAGCAACGGCAGCAGCAGCAGCAACACGTACGACAGCCTGCGGCTTCAACCAACAGCAACAACCCCGCCACGGCCGCGAGCGCCGCCGCCGCATCCGCTGCACCGCAACAGGATCAGCGTCCAGCCGCCGTCAGGCACGCTGCCGCGAAGCCTCTTGTGCAGTTACTGACCAGGGCGGGGGTTGTGTGTGGACCGCCTGCCGGGACCTCAACCCCCGGAGCCGCCGGCGGCCCCGCCGCGCACCAACATTCGTCTTCTCGTGCATCCGCTAACGCTGCGACGGCTTCGGCCTCAACCCGCAGCTCCGCTGGCGCAGCGGCGGCTGTAGCAGCCTCTGCACCTCCGCCGGGTGCTACTGCAGGCGGCAGAGGGCGGTCACCGGTCCCAGAAACGTGTACGACCATACGTGCCGCCCTTAGCACGGCCACGGGCGCGGCTCCGCCGCCTTCATCGTACCGAGCAGCTCAGGCTCCGGCCCCGGCCCCCGCCGCCTCCGGGGCCCCTCAGTCCAGACACCTGGCAGCACGTGAGCTGCCGGCGGCGGCGTCCGCTAGCGGCACGTCTCCTAAAGCGCAAAGCCCCGGTGAAGCGGCTCCGGCGGAGCAAAAGGCTCCCGTCAACTCCTGGTCTCGGCCGCTGATCGCTGGGCTCGCAGCTGCACGGACTCAGTCACATTCCGCGACGGCAGAGCGTGGACCGCAGCAGCAAGCGACGGCGGCGGCGGCGCCGCCGCCGCCAGGCGCTGCACATCAGCACGGCGACGCCGTACAGTCATTATCTTCGCCGTCGCCTGCGGCGACGGCGGTGGCGACGAGGGCGCCGTCGGCGCCGACACGAAGCCATGGCGGGTCAGTGGCGGTGTCCTACCTGGACAAGCCGCGGGGCCCAGCTGGGGAATGTGGCAGCGGTACAGAGACCGCAGCGGCGGCCTCTGCGGCCCAAGATCAGGCGAGTGACGCCGTACAGCCTCAGTCGCAGGCTCCACGCCCCCAACCTCCGGAGCCGCAGCAGCTGCCCCTGGAGTTCAAGTGCGGGCTATGCCAGGTTCACTGCAACAGCCGCTGGACGTTCGAGCAGCACTGTGCCAGCCGAAAGCACATCACGCGCGCCACAGCCGCGTGAGCGATGGGGGGTGCAGCAAGGGGCGGGGTGCTTGAAGGGATAGCCAGGATAGCCAGGCCAGGCGGGCGTGGGAGTACGACACTGCTGGGCATCCGACGGGCGCCGTAGTCGCCGTGCTCCGTCATGCGGAGTCACGACGCTGTCCGCTGCGGCTTGGGGGTGTTCCATTAGAATGCCGTCCCTGGGTTATGCATACAGTTCCAGTAATTGTGAACAGAAGCTTACGTTCCCCTCGCGCCTACCTGTCCGCCTTCATCTGTATGTATGTACATCTTATACACACATATGTATGATCCCCTTGCATCCCCGCCTGTGTGTGTGTATACAATCCCTTTTTTAACCATGTTTTTTGGATACTCAGGGGCTGGGTGCTGCCGCAGCCTGCTGCAGCGAAGTGCTATGCTCCGCAAGACGCCGCGCCGCAAGACGCCGCCGCCGGTGGCCCAGCTACGACCGGCGCCGCTGCCGCTGCAGCTGCCTCCGCCGCTGCCGCCGATGCATCGCCCTTCTCCTGCGCCCTATGCAGCGTGCTCTGCAACAGTGAAATGACCTTCCAGCAGCACATAGCCAGCCGCAAGCACCTAGCACGAGCCGCCCGGCAGCTGCTGCGACAGGCGCTGCCCGGCGAGGACGGCCAGATGGCCCCAGCACAGTCTCATGCGCTGCTACAGCCGCAGCAGTCGCAACAGCCGGGACACGTGCTGGAGCGCGGAGCAGCCGGCGGCAAAGGTGCGGAGGAGGGGGATGCGGCGGGTGCCAGTGTCGGACCAGGCGCTGGCGCGGCTTCCGTACCAGCCACCGCCGTCTCCTCAGCCCGCGGCGGCGGCTGTAGCAATAATGGCGGAGCTGCCGCGGCGCTGCCAGCGGTCGCGGCGCCTGGCGGCGCCCGGCCGGTAGCGGACCTCGCTTGTGCCGGAGTTTCTCGGCCGGGGCCTGTGGCAGCGCTGCAGCAGCAGAAGAAGCAGCAGCAGCAGCCGCACCGGCTGTGTCAGCAGCTGCTGGTTCCGGAGCTGGATGCCCTTGTGCTCGACACCCTGACTCGCATCCGTGGCTTCCAGGAGCGAGCCATGGCGAAGAACGCCATTAAGGTGGGGACATGATACGGGACATGACATGGAGGCATGTGGGCACTCTTGTCATGTGGCACGTCAATGCCCCACCCCAACCCACAACCCAACCCAACCCAACCCAACCCT